TTCATAACTATAACTCCACCACGAATTTCTGAGTTTAGGTATTTGAAATTTCAAAATAATCTATGAAGGGTTGAAAATATTTTTTAAAGAGTTTTACCACTATTTTACTACCCCCGTTTTCAGGGTATCGGGATCTAGACATTGAAATGAGGTATGGGCTTAGTTTTTTTTTAATTTTTTCTTAGTATCAATAGATATGCTTGTTCAGATTTTAGTAGATTTTTCCTAATGTTATTCACCTTTTTTATTTTTCTTTTTTTCCTGAATAAGTGCTTTTTTATAACTCTTTTTATCGTCTCCCGAATCATTCTCGCTTTCTTCATTGTCTTTAGTTGAGATACCTTTTAATCTTCTTTCACTACCACCTCCTTCAGCCTTTTCAACATAATTTAAACAAAATAAAAACAAAAAAAGAATTCCGCAGAAAGTTTGGATTTTCATGTTTACTAATAAAAATTCTACGAACTTTTGTTTAGAAATTAAATCTCTTAAAAACTTTAATAATTTAAATTATTTTAATTTATTTAAAGAATTTAATAATTTAAATTGTCTATTTAAAATTTAGAGTTAGAGAATTAAAATTGGCAAATGTCGATTAAAATTGAATAAAATAGAGAGGATGCGTCAAGCATTGGATAAAAAATTTTTAAAATTTATTATTGATCTGTTAATTGCATTTAAGACTCCTCTTAAGATCTCTCTTAAATGCAATTAACAAGTCAATAATAAATTTAAAATTTTTAATAAAATAAAAATAATTTTACAAATAAAATTACTGAAGAGAAATTTAGAAACAAACATATTTATTGTAGGACAAAACATCTCGATTAGAATGCCTCGATTTACTAGAATGTCATTAAAACTGAAGTTGAATATAAAAATGAGTTTCTATTAGGGTAGCTTAATCTCGATTAACCGAACTGAACTGAGAAAGGTTGTTTTGCCAAAACGCGTGGAAATAAAGATGTAGACTGATTGGTTTTTTTGGCTTTTTAAACTTGGGTGCTTTACAGAAAGATTTGCACTCGTTTTTGTTTTTGTTTTTTTTAATTAAATATAACAACAAAATCATATGAATAAATTCCTTGAAAATAGAATCAAAAATACTTTTAGTAATAATATCTTCCTCAGATTTTAGAACTGTCCAAATTTAGGACTTGAGTCCTAATTCAGTATTTTTTTGGTCTTAGTTTCAACTTTTTAAAGTTTTGGAAGAATATGTATATCATTCGGTAAAAATTTAGTCACAAAAAGTGCATCTGCCCTATTAAATCTCTAAATTTATTAACTAAATATATGTAGAATTTAATTTTAATCGTAATAAAATAAAAGTTAAATAATTTTTTAAATTAATTCTTTTAAACTTATAATTTATTTATTTAATAAAATTTATAAATGTGGTCACTGTTTCAACTTTTTGAAGTTTTATAAAAGAAGCAAATATCAGTTAAGGTGAATTAATATGCGAATTGTTAAGGCAAATTGACAGGATTGTTTAAATCCTATCATTTCATGTCCTTCGTTTTCTTGAAATTAATGATGAAACTTTTTTAATTTAAATTTAATTTAATTTTTTATATTTTTATTGTTTTATTTAATTAATTAAAAATTTTTTATTTCTACCTATTGATTCAATGTAAAAGTTAAATCTTTTTTTAAGCAGATAAAAGTATTTTATTACTTTACACATTTACTACTAGTTCTTTATTATTTACTACAAATTCCTTCCTCCTCCTCCTTTACTCATCCAATTACTAAAAGCATTCCATACCAACAACAACAAAAAGCCATTTGTAATATAGTGAACATATTTTTATTTTTTTTTTATTCTATAAAAGAATTTTCACCCCCAAATCACCTTAGAACTAGGGCTAGGATTTTAGGCAAAATGCGTGTTTTTTTCCTAGATAGGCCATGCTGAAACGTTCAAATTTTATGGCTTAGGTTCAACTTTTTTGAAAAATTTTAGTCTATTTTGTGCCAACAACAACTTTTGCCTATTTTTCGTTTTTTTCGGATTTTAGTGCCTATTTTGGCAGTTTTTTAGTGCCTACCTATTACTATTGTCTGATTAGATTTTGTTTAATAAAATTCCGAATACCGTATTTGCTCTATTAATCCCCCAGTCCTTTATTAATCCCCCAGGCTCTATTAATCCCCCACCCTGGGGATGGGTTGAAACAATAATCCCCCTCTTTCTACCCCACTCTAATAATCCCCCAGGCTCTATTAATCCCCCACCCTAGAGATGGGTTGAAACAATAATCCCCCTGGGGGATTACTAGAGCAAATACGGTATATTTTTTAATATATTTTTTCTCAGATATTTTTTAAAATATTTTTTCCGTCCTTTTAAAAGAACAATTGTTATTTTCTAATTTTATTTTTTAATTAGAAAAAACCCTTCACCCTCCGTCTTCTCCAACATTCCTTTGCTAATTCACGTCAATCCCTTCGATTTAAAATAAATATTATTTATTTAATAATAAATGTTATTTGCATTTTCTCTCATCCACTTATTGTATTTATATATTTATGTAAACGTGAAAAATGTTTTTTTTCAGTTTTTGTCTCAACTTTACAATTGATTTATTATTTTTTAAATTTTTTTCAAAAAACTCTCTTTTAATATTTTTTTGTTAAAAACAATTTAATTATATTTAAACAATTATATTAAAACAATTAATTATTTTCTTTGCAATCCAAGATTTTAATTGAATGTAAATTCTATAATAGATTTAATTTTATTTATAGAGACCGGCAAAATCGCACTTCAGGGATCCCGAGTCGGGATTTTTTTCTTGACCGATGTCGGGACGGGATCCCGAGGGATAAATCCCGAAAAAATCCCGAATCCCTGTTGATCCCGAAAATCAAAAAAATCTGGGGTTTCGGGATCGGGATACATTTGATAAGATCGGGATAAATAAAAACCCGTGGCGGTCTCTACTATTTACATGGATCTAATATGTAGGAATAAAGAAAAATTATTTTTCAACCCAAAACTTAATTAATAAATTAAAACAATCCGAAACATTTTACTTAAGTTAGTGTAACTTTTTTTAAACATTCCCTTTAATTAAATAAATTTTTTTTGATTTAAAAAAATTAATTTTATTTACTCAAATTTCTCTTTAACCTCTTACAAATCTCCTCTTTTTTTTAATCTAAAAAGTAGTGAAAGGGTCCGTTAAGGACAAATCTCTGACAATAAATGCTAATTCTATTTTAGTTAATTTAAAAAAAAATTAATGAAGGTCAAAAAATAAAAAGTTTAAAAATAATTAATTATTTATTTATTTGTTCTCACCTTAATTTTTTATTTAATTATTACATTAATGTTTTTACATTAATTTATTTTTTTCATTAAACAGTTTGACCCAAGGAATATTCTTACTAGAGATCGGCACGGGAAGGTATCCCGCACGGGATTGTACGGGATCCTCGGCATCCCGGGTATTTTTGCGGAAAACGGTATTACCGGGATTCCGGGATTTACGGGATTAATCCCGCGGGATCCCGTCACGTATATGTAGAATGGTGAAAAATTCCCGTTACGGGATCTCAGGAATGCGATTTTACCGATCTCTAATTCATACCTCTAGATCTTTTTAAAAGATGGTTGAAAAATCCGCAAAAAGTCCAAATATTTTGATAAAATAAAAATAAAAGCCTAAGCTATAATGAAAAAAATATTTAAATATTTTCATGTGTTTTTAACAATTAAAATATTGTAGTGATTCATAATCTAATTATAGAGGATTTTAATATTGAATCCGTCTCCATTTATTGAAAATAATTTTTAACAAAACCAATAAAAAATTTCAAAAGTTTTTTTTTCTAAATTATTTACATAAATAAATATTACATTTTAATTTTACATTTTATTCTCCAACTACATACATATACATATTTCTTTCAAAAATTATTAATTTTTTTTATTTATTTACACAACTGAAAATCTTCAATTTATTTTTTTATATTTATTATTTATTATTTAATATATACACCAGGGATCGCGCCGATAGAAAATCAAATTCCCGATTTTCGGAAATCGAGTTCCCGAAAATTTCGAATTTACGATTTTTGTGAATTGTGAATCGGGTCTGCGCGATCCATGATAATCACATTTTTTAATTTTAGTATGTTTACTTTAAAATTTATTACCCTTTACATACCTATTTAATTATTATTTTGATAAATGTTTTGACCGCTTGTTTTGCTGTTTTTACGTGACTAGAAATCCGGAAGTCTGCGCGTTTTAATAATTATTATTTAATTTATTAATTATCACCATTTAAATGATCATTATATTTTTTATTTTTTTCTAGATTTAAAATTAAATGTTTAAATAATTCCAAAATGTTTACTATCCCCAATTATTTGCTCATTTTTTCATTTTTTATATTTGCCTTATTTCCTCATTGTTTATCACTTAATTGTTTTGAATGTTTTGATAACTCACAATTATGTACGAGATTTACAAATTGTTCAGGATCTGTATGTGTTTTGTGTATGTGCATTATTTTTTTTAAATAAATTTATTTTTAAATTAATTAACTTAAATATATAGTGTTTAACTAAACTATAACATTACCATAAACAACTTTACCTAATTCAGACTTAATCAGAGAAAATTAATATTATATTGAAATACAGTGGGGTGCAAAAGTAATGACTCATGGGTCGCGCAAAGGAATTTAGTACTATGACTTTTTAGGAAATGGTCCAAATGAAACTCATAACGGATGAAAATATTCCCCAAGGTGTCAGCTTCAAATATATATAAAATTTATCTAAAATTAATTTTATGCATGAAAGATCCGATAAATTTATCGGATCATTTTATCGGATCATACATATCTCTGACTAGTTGTAAAAAAATTCTTCACAAAAAGTAGAAAAATTCTTTACTTGAAAAAAAATATTTTTCCAAAAATTTATTCTAATTTATTATTAAAATTATTTTTTAGACGAAAATTCACTAAATCGTTCATCCGTTGCTTTTTGTCTCTATTTTGCTGCAGAACTTCAAGGTTCAAATTTAATGGCCGAGGAAGGTTGTTGGCATGACCATGAAACTAAGGGAATACAATGTTTATGTCAAAAAGATTTTTGTAATTCTCCAAGGAATTTGTGGACATCAGATCCAACTAAGCCCCCAATTGAAGGACTAAAAATGCTTAAAAGAAATCCTTTTGTGGATTATGGTAAATGTATAATTATTCGAAAATCAAGAAAAATTATTTTTTAAAGAATATTTGGAAGAGGAAAGTTCGTCTGGAAAGAAGTCTTCGTCTTCCTCCTCCTCTGAAAGTATTAATTCAATAATTTCATCGCTTGATGCTTCTGAAAATGAAGATGAAAGGGGTAAAATAAATAAAAAAAATATTTTTTTAAATATGCTCTAGATTTTTGATTACCGAAAATATCCTAATAGAAGCCCATCCCTAATAAAAGTCCATCCCCCATCCCATCCTATCCTACTTCTATTAGGATATTTACAGTATCTTTAAAAAAATTTTATAATTAACAACCTCAAAATTATAATTAAACATTAATTTATTTTAACAGATTTAGTGCCAATAAATTTCGACGATTATATGAATTGGTTGGAAAATAATTCTGTCAAGACAACTCCAAATCCTAATATAACAACAGAAAATAATAGTATTCAAGACGTGCAATTTTCATCAGCAATAATTAATGGAATTAATATTTATTTATTTTACTTAATATATTTTATTTTTTTATTCTTAATTATTTAAAAATTTTAATAGATTAAAAAAATAAATAAATATTTTTTATTTTTAATAAAAAAATTTTCAAAAAATTTGGGAAATTTGGAAAATTGAGTTCTCAAATAATTACCCCCTCTTAGCTTCATTATTTTGTACTAGGGTTGGACACAATCGGTTAACCGAAATAAAACTGGGGGTCAAAAACCAGAGATAACAGAAAACCGGTGGCCTAAATCGACCGATTTCGACTTAAAAAATACACCCCGAACAATGGAATTTTTTGGAGTTTTTCGGACATATGAATTCCCAAAATACGTTCCAAAATATTATCCCTATTTATTTTTAACTATTTTATACCTGTATTTTATTAAAAATCCCCTCTAAAAATATTCAGAAATATTCAATGAAGGGATACTCTTAAATAAAAATTTTCCTCTATGTACTATAATAATTTATTTAAATTCCCAATTCCGTTACTTATTCAATATATAATTCAATGTCATCAAACAATTAAAAATCCAATTTTAAATTGACGCAAAAAGGGGATATCCACCAAAACTCGATTTTATTGTTCAAAATTTATTGCAAAATAATTTTAAATAAAAATCCAGATTTTTTATTATTATTGTTCACACTTGTCTTTTTTATAAGCACTTAAATGGACAAAAATTATTTGATATTTCTTTAGATTCTCTTGAAGTTTATTTTTGAAAATTGAATGAAAACAAATTATTATTTTAAATTATAATTATTATTTTGAATTTTATTTATCTAATAAAATGCTTAATAATTTAAATATCATATTCAGTATTTTAATTATCTGTTTGTGTATAAGGACAATATTTTCTGTTAGTTTTTATTTTTAAAATTTTATTAGAAATTCTGAGGTTATTTTGTTTAAAAATTAAAATAAACCCCTCAATTCACAGTGAATTTTCCATAAATAAAATTATTTTAAACGAAATAGATACCTTTATTCAATGTCTTTGTGGAAATTATTTAAAAAACTTTTTGTTAAGATATATCCAAATGCCAGGACTCTAATGGTCTTAATTGGCATATATCTTTAAGTCAAATGTATAGACGTGAGAAGAGTAACTTACTCTTTGCTCTCTAACTTTATCTTTTCTTTTAAAGAAATTTAATTATACTGACTATAAAATAGGGTTGGGCGGTATTGAGGTTTCGAAATAAAATTGGCATCGGGATTCATAAATCCGGGATGGTCCCGCCATCGGGATCCCGATCCCGCCTCCTATAAAGTGAATATCTAATAAGGCTATTTTTATGGCTATCTTTTTTAGTAAAATACATATTTACTTTAAAAATTATAAAATCAAAATAATTTAATTTAAAAATATATAGTGTATAAGTCTTGGTGGCTGTTCCTTTCTCAGTGGATATCCAGGCTATCAAAGATGTTTAACTGCAAGTGGGGCTACTTATTACAGAAATTGTTATGGAGGTATTTGTAGACATCATCACAGTTTAAAAGGCTCACAAACATTGTCATTAAATGAGTCGGATAGTAGCGAAAATAATAAAACTAATGATGGTGAAAATGGGGAGGAAGAAAAGGATGATTTTGGAGCAATACAAGTAAATTGAAAAAATTTTTTGAAATTATTTCTCCGAGAATCTTAAGAAAATAATTTAAGAATTAATTTTCAATTTAAGACAAATCCAGATTCAATATTTCTTGAATGTTGTAGAAGTTGGTCATTGCCTCCCCAGTGTTTAATTAAATGTTCATTTAATAATTACACAGCAGAAACAGTTGAATTAAATTTAAAAAAAAATAAATTATTAAATAATTAATTTTAAAATTAATTAATGTCAATTTTCTATTAATTTATTTTCTTTTAAAAAAAGCTTCGTTCAATGTTTCTCAACTCTAATGATTGCCCCATAGAATCTGCTTCAATTATACACTTTTGTGCTTCACAAAACCAAGACCATCGTGAATGTTGTCTCCGTTCTGGTATTGAACAGACTAGAGCTGGGCCAAAATGTCTTCTTTTTTGTGACCAAGTTGAAGGAAAAAATTTAAAATAAAAATTAGAAAAAAATATTTATTAGATGCCTGAAAATGAAACTTTACTCGATTTAAGTTATCTGCCTTGTTTTGAAAGATTTTCAGAGATGAAACGCTGTTTTTATGAAAATTCTTTAAGAACTATAGACTATTTGGAAGCAGAAATGAGAGAATTACGAAGAGGGAATGGGCAAATTTTGACTGGTAATTAAATTAAAAATTTGAATAAATAAAATTGAATACATTCGAACATGACTGTTAAATATACGTTTAAATTTTGTTGTTCATTCTCTTTAGGGTTGCCGTTTTCGGTTCGAGCCGACGTTTGGTGCATTTTTTCGAGTTTCGTTTTTTTTTCGAGTTCGGTTCGTTTTCGAGCTTTTCGAGCTGAAAAGCATCGGCTCGCTCGATCTTTCGAGTTTCGGTTCGAGCGAGCTGGCAACCCTAATTCTCTTGTATATGATAAAGAAGCCCAACTATTAATAAAATAATTAAGTAAAAAAATAAAGGGAACAATGAGGAAAAGAATGATGATAGCAAAATTTATCAATCAACAAATCCACTTATTTACATCAACGATGTTCGCCAAAAATATCCATTAATAAATGATGATTATGCAGTTACAGAAAATGTTATTAACGAAGAAAATAAAGGAAATTAAAATTTAATTATTTATGTAACTTTTCTTTTATTAATTAGTAATTACTTAGGTATATTTATAACTGAAAGAAGAATTTTCAAAAAAAAAATTCTGAAATATTAAAATTTATTTTATTTTTTGAATTTTTTAATTAAAAAATATGAGAAAGAATTGTTTGTCAAACAAAAATAAAAAAATAATTTTGAAAAATTGTAATTTATGTTTTTGATAATAATTTTATTGAATTTTATGGCCATATCCTAAAAATTGATTAATGTCATCAAACACGTTTTTCCTCAAATAATATAAAAATTAGTTTTCTTTAATTATAAAAAATATTCCTGTAAATTTTTAAAATTTCTTTAAAAAAATTTTTTTTTAATTTTTAAAATAATTATAATAATGGAACATATTTTCGTTTCAACACAATTTCGATGCGAAACAGGGCCAACAATTGTTGGTGACCACGAATCTAATCCAGAATTAATGGCTCAGGTCGGAGCTAAAATGGTTATGCAATTAGGCAATCGTTTTGCAGAATATATTACTGAATGGACACCTAGAAAAGTTTTGGACCGATTATCAGAATTGGGCTTCCGAGTAATTTGTAAGCAATTTTTGAAACAAAAATAATCTTAAAAATTTTAGGAAAAATTAAAATTTACTTAATATAAAATTATTTTCATTCATTCAATTTTTGCATTTAACAAAAATTAAAATTTTTAAATACGATAATTTATAATAAATTTAAATCATTTAAATTTAGCATCAACGGGGGCTGGACAAACAATTATTTGGACTTTAGGAAGAGAAAGGAATGAAAACAATAATACATAAAAACTAAATAAATTTAATAAATATTTTACTACTATATTTTATTTAGAATTTGTGGTAAAAGATTTATTTATTAGATAGTTATTTTTAAAGACCAAAGTGGTCCTTGTACCTCTTTAAGCTTTATTTGCCCATTTTTGAACTTTACCTAATTATTTCTCTGATTGCCTGGAAAGGGCAATTTGATATAAACCAATGCTTATTATATAGAATAGTTGAAGAATGAGTTATAAATTGATACTTAATATATGAAAATTTCTATAATTATGATGTTGCTTTAAAAACTAGGAGGATCATTTTATGAGTTACTGCTTAGAATATTTTATTTTTAGAATTAAAAATTGTTAGTTGGCAGCCAAATAATAAGATTATACTTACAAATAAACTTATCAAATAATAAGATTTTTCCGTTCTATTTTTTAATATTTACACTCTTTCTCAAGCAAATAAAAAAATCTAAACTCATTTCTATTTACCAAAATATTCTGACAAATATTTAACTTTATTATCAGTTCCAAAACAAAAATACAATAAAATAATTGAATATATGTCTGGGTTTTATTATAAAGGTAATTTTATGAAGGGTAATAAAATAAAAAGCAAATATAATGAATATTTTACCCTCTATAGGATCATACAGACAAAAACAAAATATTTCCTACTTCATCAAAATTAATTTTAAAATTTAAATTAACAAATAAAAAATTTTTTGAAAATATTATAAATGGAAAGGCAACAAATTAATAGAAAAATCTTGCCAATTGAATTACTTGTAGAAATAATTAAGTCAATAAAAACTTCACAAACTGAATTACCTAGTTTAGGTATCTTAACACCTGGCAGAGTGAATGGCATTCTGCATGTATTTGTAAGTAATTTCGATAAGTTTCAGCCGGAGCTGGAACGGACTTCCGGATTTATACCCCAAGTTGTTAGATGGTTTAAAACGTTAACCGATTTTTTTATACTTCATCAAAATATTAAAGAATTTTTTGTTTACGCTCCAAATATTCTTATTTGTTCTAGTATAATCTACAAAATCTCTGAAAAGGCATTTAAATTAAGAAAGGTAATTCTATCAAAATAATAAAGGTAACCCCCAAAAATTCTATTATATATTTATTCAATTGTAATATATTTATAGAATAATTTTTTGATTTCTAAAAACTTAATGAATTCCAAATAGTGAGGGAGCAAGTTAAACCGTTAATTTTTTTCGTTCTGTTTTTTAAATCCTCGGTTCTTGAATCACTTTTTTCAAGTATAGTTAACCAAAATAGCAAAATCTTTCATTTAATATTTAATTACTTAAATTACTATCATAAATAAAAATGATGATTTTTTAATAAATACACTAATATAAATGTAAAAATTTCAGTTAGATCTCGATTTTTATCATTACAAGCACGAGGAAAAATATGAGATTAAAGACCTATGCAGAAAAATAAGGGAAATTAAGGAGGGACTTCTAATTGATTATCCTGAAATTTTAAAAGTAATAGAAAAAGAGGTTTGTCGATATTACAAAAATTCAGAGGCAGAATGAAGAATTAAAGTTAATGCTATAATACAGAAAATTAAGGAAATTTAAAGTTCAAGATTTAATTGCTTTTTAACATGTTAAAACTTTTATAATTTTTTTGCATTATTTCATCTTTTGTAAAATAAAAATAAATATATGACTAGATTCGCATTCGTTTTATGAAAAATGCATTCTACACGTATACTATACTGCATGTTTTTGTTATGTTTTGAATTGAATTTAAACTCTAATAATAATAAACAAGCGTCAAACTAGATGATAAATTTTGTGAAGTTATAAATGTTGAAAACAAAATACTATTATATTTTCTCCGTGCCCGCTCAACTCATCGAATCCTTAACTCATCGAATCGACCAAAAACGCTCAACTCATCGAATCGGCTAAAATTCCTTAACTCATCGAATCGGCCAAAAACACTCAACTCATAGAATCCTTAACTCATCGAATCCTCAACTCATCGAATCGGCCAAAAACGATCAACTCATCGAATTTTTCCAAAAGGGGACGTTTGAGTCCCCTGTTTTTATTTTTCTCCCGAAAGGGCTAACTGAATCTTCGTTGAAAAAATTTTTTGCTGCTATGGAGGCTAGGAAAAAGGGCTTTTGGGCATAATCGGGGTCTACTGGACTAATTTGGTCCGGTTTTACCCGGTAAAATCTCCAGCATAATTTATTAGGAATGAGATAATGTTTTCAGGAATGAGATAATGTTCTGATGTTTTCACTGGCCGGATAAACTTGGATGAGTGCCCGATCAACTAATTAACAAAATTAGTTGAAACCCCAGAAGAAAACAAAAAAAAAATAAACAAAACAATAAAAAATCTAAAAAATAAACACGGGGACTCAAACGTCCCCTTTTGGAAAAATTCGATGAGTTGATCGTTTTTGGCCGATTCGATGAGTTGAGGATTCGATGAGTTAAGGATTCGATGAGTTGAGTGTTTTTGGCCGATTCGATGAGTTGAGGATTCGATGAGTTAAGGATTCGATGAGTTGTAGGGTAGCCATTTTCTCAGTATTTTAGTTCTACAAAAACATGTATTTTTAGTGTTTACCGTCTTGTCTTGGAAACAAACATTTGTTAAGATACCCAATAACAACAATTATTTACCAATGTTTTATTTTTTCATTGTCTTTTTTAGATGAACGTGGAAAACAACGAATTATTTAAATTAATTAAAAAGAATCATACTCTACGCGCAGCTGTTAATAATGGATATATGATTAGAAATGATGTTACTGTTAATGAGTTTATTAGAGCATCTGATTTGGATGTTATAAATATTGTGAATCGACAAAATGCTGCTCTTCAATCAGTAATTCCTAGAATGGTTGTTTTTAGCGATTTTACTTTAACTTTAAAATTTTAAGAAATTTATGGAATTGAAAACAGATTGGAAAATAATTAGCAACAAGCCTATATCATCATGTTGCAAAAATTTTTGTATAAATCCTAATCCCTTTACTGGAACATGCCTTCTTGGACATTTGCCACAACAATCTCCGGGAAACGAATGTTTTATTGTTACGGTAGACAGCTTTTATGTTTTAAGTATTGTATTTTATTAAAGGTACATGAGCGGAAGGCTCCTACTCTTTTGCAGGCAATTGAAGATTATATTGAACCCGGGTCAACAATATACTGTGATTAATGGAAAAGGTATAAAACAAGTGATATTGAAGAAACGGGTTTCGAACATTTCAAAGTGAATCATAAGTAATACAAAAATTACAGGGTGCGTAAAAAGTTCCCGGAATTTTTAAAATTTCAACTATTGGGTTTAACCATTGATTATTAAAACAAAATTCGTTCACAATCATATTCAGCACTATTTTTGGTTCAGAAAACATTTAGTCTATAAAAAATTTTCAGAGAATAGTGTCAAAAAGGGTGCCGTGTGATTTGGGCAGTGGTGAATTGGGCAGTGAGTAATTTGGGCAGTGAGTGATTTGGGCAGTAAACGTTTTTTAAAAAATAATTTTACACGCAAAAACAATTTGAGTAACATTAGAAGAATAATTTTGAGTGATTTGGGCAGTAACTTAGAATTTTTAAAAATCTAAAATTGATCAGAAAAATTTCGGGAATTTTTATTTAACTTGAGTAAATTCAAAATTTGAACATATTTTTCCAAAACTATTTTGACCTTTTTCAGATATTTTGGACCTATCTTGAGACCTAAAAACTTAAAATAGGAATTATTTCTCAATTTTTCATACCTTAAATCTACTTATCACCTAGGGAAACGTCAAAATTGAGACCAAGACAGTAGTTAACCAACAGGTTTCCGCACAAAGGGATGCCGCCTAACCGCAATTAATTATGATTTATGTTCGCGCACTAACCGCAACCTATTGACAGCTTTGGTGAGGGAGGGGTCCGCGCCAGCTATCCTAATCCTATCGAGCGGATGGGTGGTAGGAGGAAGGGGTGTGATCTTACAAATTAGCAATTAGTGGTGGGGGAGGGGAAGGAGGAAGGGTTTTTGGGGAGTAATTTGTCGACCCTTTTTTCTACTAATTAGTACAAAACACGCTAACCGCAATCTATTGACAACTGTGGCGGGGGTGAGTTCCCGTGTGTACAGTCCCGTAGTGGGGTCCCGTTCCTTTTAAGCGAATGGTAATAGGAGGAAGAAATTTTAAGAAGTAATTAGTGACGGTTAGGAGTCAAGTAAACCCCAATCTAATAAGTATGGTTTAAACTATTTCCAGGGCAAGGTAGGACGAAGATGAATTTTTAAAAAGTGATTTGTTGTCAATTCCTTCCTTCTTCCTTATTTTACAAATAAAATTGATGATTAATTGTTTTTCCAAAAAATCATTAATTCAAAATTCCGTGACTCAAATGACACCTTGGCGTTATGTTAAAAAATAATTAATGGGTGACTCAAACGTTAATACTCAATGCATGGAAAGAAAAGAAAAAAAATAATGGTCATTTACCAAACAAATGTATTGATTTTCCTTCTGCATTTGTTTTCCCTTGCCCATCAAAATATATATTAATTTTATAGATTAAGAATTTTTTTTTATTTTTCAAACATTTGAAAATTAATTATAGGGATGCTACTCATTAGTGTTTCACCGGAACCGAAATTTTGACCGGAACCGGAACCGGATCCAATTTAAGTTCCGGTTCCCGGAACCGGAACCGGAACTTTTCAAAGTTCCGGCCCGGAACCGGAACCGGAACTTTTAAAAAAATTTTTGCTAGCACATTTTAAAATATTTTGATTTTAAGTAGGGGTGCGGTTTCGCCAAATTTTTCGATTAAATTCTGCCAAATTCTTCTGTTAATCGAAACGAAAAAAAATCCAATTTGGTCTTGCTTGATGGCTTTTTAAAGGAAAACTATCATGAGTAATTATTATGAGTTGACTGAAGCTTACGAGGCTAATCCATCCGATAAAGGTTTTCTTTTTTGAATTTAGATTCTTTGGAGTTTAAGGGGATTAAATTAATAGTTAAAGATTCTTATTATATACACAATTTAGTTATGGAACATATGTCTGGGGTACCTTGAAATATATACCAGTATATATGCTTTTTATTTAGATGATGATTAATAATTGTCCAGTCATTGCTTTTATTGATTCTGGTTTTTTTTTTCGATTTTTATTTTAAAAATTAATTTTTAATGGGACACAAACTTCTTTTTCTGAATTTTGTGCTAAAAGATGCAATGTCCTTGTCAAATGAATTCTAGTTCAGGATGTGACTATTGATGTGAATTAAAAATGATGGTAAGATAGTTTTGTTTAATTTTGAATTTTTAAAATGGGAAAAATTTTACGGACAAAAATTTTAATTCCCCATACTTCAATTTTCTAAAATTAAAAAATAGGGATTGATTTTATCTTTTGTATAAGTCAGCATAGCAGGATAGTTCCTTAATCATTTTGTCGGATACCTTCTTCACCTACAGACATATCTCAATCAATAAATTTTATTAATTTTGTAAATTTTCTATAATATTGTAGGATCTCATAACTATCTTTTCACCTGACGAGATGAAAATTTTTATGTTGGAATGGACAAAGAAAAAGAAAATGTTTATAGTTTTTTTAAAATTTTTAATTTAAAAATAAATTTCAAAATAAAATTTTTAATTTAAAAATAAATTTTTTAAATAAAATTTTTAGTTTAAATTTCAAAATGAAAATAAAATTAAAAAAAATTTTTTTTAATTAAAATAAGTAGTAAAAAATAATTTAAAAATATAAGTAGCTTTAAAAATATGTAAAAGAGAATAGGAAATGAATTTTATTTAATATAAAAAGTTTAGTTTTACTACGAGCCTTTGGCGCGGGTTAAACTAAATATTCTTTTTCTCATAATGAGCCATTGGCGCATATGAGAAAAATTTTTTTACGAAATTGTAATATTTCCTATTCTTTTTTACTATAATTTGATTATTATTATTAATAAAATTAAAATTTAAAAATAGTTTATAATATAAAAGAGAATAGGAATTTAATTTTAATTTATTGAAAAAATATTCAGTTGTAATTACGAGCCTTTGGCGCGGGTTAGACTGAATATTCTTTTTCTCATAATGAGCCATTGGCGCATATGGGAAAATTTTTTTTAACTTTAACCGATATTTCTATTCTCTTTTATGTTATAAAACTACTTCTACATTTTAAATTTATTAATAAGAATTAAATTAAAATTTAAAAAAATATGAGGTTTTAAAATATCTAAAATAGATTTGAATTAAAATAGTCTACTTGACATAATGACTGTCAGTAATTTTATAGAGAATTATTGTGTCATTTGTGTAGCATAAGTAACTGAAAAATCAACAAAGACGTAAGTTTTATTATCGATAATGGCTCGAAATTTAAAATTTACTAGTAATTTTCTAAAATAATAATTCGGTGAAATTCATTTTTATGACAAAAACATCTAGAGATGATCCATTTTTTAGCCGTAGAGATAATTGACTAGGTTCTTTATTGTTTATTATAAAAATTTCTATTTTGTTACTGAATTTTCATAAATATTGAAACAACTCACACAGTCTAATTCACCACTACCAAAATGATTGGAAACATTGTGTTTTTTAAAATATATATTATTTTTTAACAAAAAATTTTTCTTTTTAAATTTATTTAATTATTGAAATTTTTTAAATTTGGAAAAATATATTTAATGTTAAATCTATATTTTTGTATTAGCGCTAGCAAAAAGTAATACAAGAATGCAACAATTAATTTGATTTACAAAAGAAAGAAACTAAAAAGGAGAAGTCTAGAGAATATATAATTTTTAACTAAAAAAGAAATTAAATTTACTTCAAGGATATTTTTATTTTTTTTTTAATTTTATTTAAAATTTTTAAATCAATATCTCTTCAATATTTCTCACACACAAAGACACTATTCCTAACCCTCGTTCAGGTATACCCACATCACAAATTAGATCACATCTTGATGTCGCGCTTCAATCAATACCTCAATACATTGTTTTTACAAAACAATTATCCAGAGACCTATTTTAGCGACTGGTCGCTACATGCCGTTCGCTCATCAAGGTCATTTTTTGAACAGATACAAACAAAATAAATTTAATTTAAAGAAAAGGGACTTTCTTTAAATAAAATTTATTTATTTTAAATATAATAAGGGACCATCTTATGTTTAATAAATTATATATTTTTAAATTTGCAATGTAGTATATCGTAGTGAGTATAAAATTCGAAGAGTATAAAAGTTGAAAATTTTTTAAATTATCATTTCATTTTTAAATTTCAAAATGCTCTTTCTTATCGATGAGTGTGCTAAAATTTTACACTGCCATCCCAAATCATTGCGAGATAACATACTTCATCCATCTAAGCGAGCATTACTTGTATCAAAGCTTAAAGGAAGAAAAGTCCGTACTCTCTATTCAGACAGGAACGGATTTCGGAAAACTTTTACAATTCATGGACTGACTTATAAAGGAGCCCATTGTACTATGGCTTATGGTGCTTTATCTCGACCTTTTAATGTATCAGTAGCAGCTCATTTTTACTCTCGACATAGAATTCGTCTGCAATATCCTTATCTTCAGTGTGTGATTGAACACTTCCCGCGCCGATGCGAAGATCGATTTTATCCTCTAGAATTATTAGAGTTTGTTGATGAAAAAGTGGAAGACTACATTGGTTTTCAACTTGATGATAAACCACTCTATTCTGAAGTTTCAGATAAATTACAAATTGGTAAAGAAACAACAAGTGATTCGGACAAAAATATTGATGATACTCTACATTTTGAAGATGATTTTGATGAGATGGAAGGGTGGTAAGCTTACACACACGCATATATGAAATACACATCATTTTTTCAAGTTTTTATTAAAATTTTCATAATTTAATCTTCCATTTCTTAATTCTGTAAATTTTTCCCTAAAATACTAAACTTCTTATTGTTAATTTAGAATTACCAAAAAATTTTATTTCCTATCTCTAATTCTGCAATTTTACCCCTTAAATTGACTACTTCTATTAATTTTTAAATGTTTACTTCTCAAGCTTAATTTTGTAAGTTTACCCCTAAAATCTTATACTCGAATTAATTAAATCAGTAGACAAAAATAAATTTTATTACAAAAATTAAATTAATTACAATTTATAACCAAAATCTAAAACAGTATGATCACTAGGGCGAATCACACCCTTCCCTACAAAAGGGCGATATTTTTTCTGAAGAGGCTGTGTAAACACAGATCCCTTCTTTACTGATGGTTTAAGGAAATTGGGATAAACAATGCTGATTGCATCACAATATCCCTCATTAATAAAGTTCAAAACCTTTTCTTTAAACGCTTGGTAGTGAAGTCCTTGTTTGTTGACCACATCCCAATTAAGCGTCATTCCTCGGACCTTAAGGACGTAGTCCAAATCGGCATCTGGTTGTTGCTTCTTTTGAAGCTTCAGTCCATACTGCTTTGCTCCGCCTGAACAATATTCCAGAATCCTATGTTGGGGATACTCATCTGTAAATTGACCCAGATGCGGGCCAAGCTGCAGCGGGCATATATCCTCTGGATGGACAAAAATCAGCGAGTCAGTATCTTAAAAAATAAGTTTTTTAACTCATTAAAAAATTTTTTACCTGTATAAAGCAGGGTACACCCTGGCGTCCTGACAACTTGTTGCATTGCTCTTAACAAGTGGATGCGCGCCATTGATGTGGTCCAGAGAGAGATGACTAAAAATTTTATTAATTTTGTTTAAAAATATTAAAACATACCGACATTTGAGCATTCGTGCTCTTCAACAAACTCCTTTTTGGTAAGATGGGAGATGAGAACCACAAGTGGTGTAAGCTCATCAACCCCAGACACTTCCTTGGTGGTATCGTCCAGCATTTTGCGAAGTGTTGAAGGCCTGTCTGTGACAGTACATTGAGAAAGACCGAAATTTCTCAATGCAAATCGACCCCCTTAAATTGAATTTATTAAAATAAAGTCATTAAAAATTTTCTATAAAAAATGAAAACCTACAGAGATTGTTGAGACACAATTTTGCCTGGGTCCTCTTCCCTTTGTTCATGACCTAAAATTAATATTTAAAATATATTTTTTAAATAAGTTTACCATTTTTCCACGTTCGATATTAATATCGAACTTCTCCGCGCATTCTTTGATGAACTGTTCTTCAGCCTCAAAGTTTCCTTTGATGCTGTCGTCGAAACCACTGGCATGTATTTTTTGCGCCATAAATTCTGCAATGTACGGTCTGAAGAGTCCACTATCAGAAGATGTATATTCCAGCACGCGGAAGATTTTTGTGACTCGGTAACCTTCGTCAAGCGCTACATTCAGTTCTACAGATGTACACGTGCTGACCCATCCTCGATCTCGATCTTCATGATTGCATTTGTAGTTCTCTTTCACAGATCCTTGAGGAAATTGTCGAGCACAAGCAGCACAGAGAGGAAAAAGTAGTCGATCGTCGAATTTAACAGGCAGAACCGGCACATCAATTTTGCAGGGTGGAATCACAAAAACCTATTTTTTATTGTTAAAATTTAAAAAAATTAAATTACCTTAAGAATTGCAAGTTCAAAATTGTTGTCTCTTGAACTAGTCCAGGAAACATCTTTATTGAAGACATGAACTGTTGGATGACCTATCGGGTATTTTGTCGTCACGTTTATAAATGGGTAAAGTGAAGTGACGTCGAAGTAGCTGATTTTCTCTCCAGGCTGCGCTTGATGGAATAATTTGAGGGGGCCAGTTCTTCCTCCAAAAAATGCTGACCGAATATCGATTGGGCCGTTGTCTATATAGTTGTTGAATTTCTGCCTCATCTCAATATTCTTTTTCAACATTTCCAAAATTTCACATTCCCAGAAAACCTCAACTTTAATTTGAGACTTGATGAAATTAAGCCTCTTGCTGTCCAATTCTCGTTGTCTTCCAGCAGTCTTACCATTGGGTAAGACGATGTTGTTGTCAGGGTAGCATTTCGTGCAACCGTGCCAACAACAACCATTCACTTCAATCCCAAGCTGTCGGCTCTCTACCCACCCATCCAAACGGTAATTACCAATCCTTATTAATTTTGATAAATTTTTTTTCTTTATTAAATTTTTACCTCTTTTCACCCTCAATCGAATAAGCCGTTTGAATCACAACATTGTTTTCTTCAGCATACCATTCCATGAACTTGAATGCAAGACGACTTTGGTTCTCCACGTTGTCATATCCACGTTCAGGTACAATCCCAATATGGTTAGCCTTCAAATGATTGGTCCTGAAGTGTTTCATGCATGCTGAAGCAATGGTCATGGCTTCTTTCAAGACATCTATACCTTTTGAAACCTATAATTTGTTTTGAAGATTTTTTCTAAATTATAAAGTACCTCCAAGAATTCTTTACGGAACGCTATGAGTCCGGCCATCAAAATCTCCACATCATTTGTGCAATACGAAGCAAGAGCTTCGTCAAGGTGGAAGGGTTCTTGGTGCTGTTGTTCAAACCATTGATCGAACAACTTTCTTTTCTCAGGCATCATCCCCTCTGCCAAATAGTCTTTCTTTGCTGGGAAGATGTTTTTTCCATAGTTGTTTGGGTTGTTTGCAAGGTGCGGGAAGAACGGCTTATCTTCAACCTGTAGACCAAAAGCAGGGACAAGCGAAGCCAAAGGCATAGGCATCAAGTTGTACGAGTCTCTGAAGAAGATGCTGCCTTTATTTTTGCCGCGGGAGACTAGCTTCATCTCGTACATTTTGTTGCCACGTTTAAGCATTTCAGGTGTAAAACCTTAAAAAATTTTTATATATAAATTAAATAAAAATTTACCTTTCAAAAATAATTCCTTGAAGACCAGAACCATGTCGAACCTACCACCAAAGTGAGAAAAAGCAACAGTGTCAAATTGGTGGGGCAAATCATTTAAAATCCATTCAACAAATGCTTCCAATGGATTAGCAGAGATGACCATTTTGTCAACTTTCGTCCCATTGAAAGCACGATGAGAAAAAGTGACAAGTCGGTGTTCACCACATACTTGACAATCTTTTTCCTAAAAATTTTTCCTTTCTAAAAATTCATTTAAAAAATTACTTCCAAAATACATATTGGACATGTAACTTTGGCGCAAATAAAATTGGCTTCATGTCGTTTGCTGTTGTTATCATCAGAAGGTAAATATTGTGTCGTCTCGAGGTCGAAGGCAACTATTCGGTATTTTTTGTATTCTTTTAATTCCAAAGGTTTAATAAAACACCCTCTCTTTGGGTCGTGGTAGTCTCCACAAGTAGAACAGTATTTTTCAATACAATCATGTCCCTTCCGACCTTTTCTGTTGTTATCATACACATTCCACACCACTCCACATTTTTCACATTGCTTCGAAATTCGGCAAAATCCGGATTTTAAATGATGTTCATAACAATTGTTGTTGTTAAATATTTTGGAGCACAATTGACAGATTTTGTTGAAAGCAGCTATAATTTTGCACGGGAAACCAGGTCCAATACGTGAACACTTGATGCATCGAGCCTTACACGATGTTGTATGAGTAGAAGCTCGGGCATAGACTTTCTCGCAATAAAGACAATATGGCTGTCCAAATAGCGAGTTGGCCCATTTCACACCGTCAAAGTGTTCCTCTTTGTAATACAATATGAGTGGAGTGTCAAAGTTGTCAGGTCCATATTTGTATTCAGGTTCATAATGGCCAAGTGAACCAAAAATAAATACTTTAAAAATATGTTGTCTTGAATATTTGATGTTCCAAAAATCGACAACTCGAGGAACCCACTGTTCTGCATTGTAAAAGTTTAAATCTTGCGGTGCTCCAACGCTCTCCATTAAATCAATTGTGTCGTTTTTAAATTTGTTGCTCATTCCATGTTCACTGCGGAGATAACGTGAAAATTTTTCCCAATGCCAATTGAAAATTCCATGGGCAAGAGTTGCCACTAAGGAATAGAATAAGCAGAACGAGTCGTCATTGCGAATCTAAAATATATTAATTAATCTAATGTTATTTTTTAATCCCAATCTCATTTTTTATCCCACTTTTAATACTCCATTTTTACATTTAATATTTAAAAAATTTATATTTAAAAATCCTAATCTATATTAATTCATTATAAACTCGGTAAACCAGCCTTAATCAGAGCCTTCTTGTTAATTTGATGATGAACCGGTGCCACTCTTCTTCCTGCTCCCGGCAGTTGATGTTCAATAGCTAAGCTGCTCTTGTCCACAACAGTAGCAATCACTTCAAAAGGTTGTCCCCAGAGGGTGACATCCTTCTGTTTGAAGCTCTGAGCCACCAAGAGAAATCGGTTGAGAATAGATTCAACCGAATTCTCATTAATATCTCTGAAAAATCAAAATTTTAGATTTGAATATTAAACTGAAACTTGCCTAACAGGGACCCATATATCATGATCCAAAAGCGGGCTAGTCACCACACACCCTAGTTGTTCTGCCTTAATTCCGCGTTTGCGGCTTTCATCCAAAGCTTCATCAAGGAAGAATTGAAAAATTCCTAAAGTTTTATTTAGAAATGTAAAGATAATAAACCTACCACTTAGCAAACCCTCCGGGTCGCGAGGTAAGTCTTTTATTAGAAATTTGCTGCGGCTCTTTATCAATTTAAATTTTCTATTATGGTCTATTGTTGTTTCAAGTCTTTCAACATAATCTTCCGGTTTTTTAGAAGATCCTTCTCCGATTTGTTGTTGCTGACTTGTTGAAGGAACAGTAGTATTCGAAGATTCGGATCGAAGTCCGAGTAAATTAGCGATTGAGAATACCGATTGAAGTCCAATAAGACTTTCAATCGTAAAACGTGTTCGTTTTGGAGGTGGTTGATCTTCCATTTTACGTGAACGCTTATTAGCTTTTTTATCCATTTTTAAAACTTGGAATAATTTTATTAATAAAAATAAAAATGAAAAATTTAATTTATCAATACAAATAAAAATTTGATAATTTTAGATAAATTAATAAAATAAAAACTTGAAAATTCTAAATAATTTATTGATTTATAAATACAAAGAAAAATTGAAAATGAATGAATAAATACAAAAATCAATACTTTTATATTATTTCCGCTTATAAAATTTAATTAAAAACGCCATATGGTGAACTTAAATAGAGTGAATTTTAAAAATTTTTCACTCATTCTTTCATCCAGCCTTTCTTAATTACCACGGACCCTTCCTCCACCTGCTTGACCGTTCGTTTCTATTATAATACTCAACACACTTCCTTTTTGAACTCACTTGTTTACATTAAATTCCATTCTTTTTTATCCTTATCCATCGCCTCGTGCCAGCCTACAGCTTCTCTTTTCCTTTATACCATATCCTTTAAGGTAATTACAGTAATATTTTCATTTCACATATATTTTTCCTTTATACCATATCCTTTTTAGTAATTACAGTAATATTATCTTTCAAATACTAATTTTCTTTTGATTTATATTATGTCTCAAGGAGAAGAGCAAACGCATTTTGAAATAGAGGTAGTACTCAAAATGTAAAATTAAATAAAAATATAATTAAAGGGTTTTTGTCAATATAAGAATTGTACCAGACACAGTTATCTCGCCGCTTTTAATTTAGCTCTGAAGAAAGGAGAGAAGCTTGATAAGGGTGCTCGTTGCAGTTTTATTTACCACTACTTCATGGGATTTCACTGGTGTGAGGACTGTTTGAAATTCAATCTTTTGAAGAAGCAAAGAAAAACTCTGATTCCGATAACCGAAAATTTATTTTTTTACTCTTTCTGGTTATGCACCGATTGTGCACTTTTTGCTACAACGCCATGAATCATTTTAATAATTTATTCACTACTTTTACTACAAATAAATCTGGATTTTGTTTTGTATTTAACATTTTTAAATATTCTTCAAAAGTTAGATCTTGAGATAAGAAATAAGTTAGAGAAATACAGTGATGGGCACAAGTTTTAGCCATAGGAGATTGATAGGGGTTGACATTATGAATTACATAGGGAAAATTTTTAAGGAATGAATTAAAAATACAAGTACTTATGGGAAGAGCTAAACTATCAAAATAGTAAACTTTATTAAAATTAGCAAAAATTGTTATCCAATGAGATCCTTTCATCCCTCCAGGGTCTAAGTTGACAATAAAAATTGATTTCTCTAAATCATTCATAGGAATTGAGTTACACGGGAAGCAACCTTTGAAAATCTTCCTTGTTTCTGGATTTGAGTTCAATATCACATTTATTTGATGACTGTTCATTTCCTTCTATGAAATAAAAATATAATTTTATCTATTAATTTTACCTTTCAACGTTTTTCTGGGAAGTACTACTTTCAACCAAAGAACTGATCGTAATTGATAAATAATTAGGCTAATTACAAATAGAATATACAATCCTATCATTCCCCAACAAAAAATATGACCATATATATTGTTTTCTCCTGGACTTTCTTTGCAAAGTTGAATTGTAGGGAAATTTGGAAAATTTATAGGGATATTAGTCTCGGGTGTAGTTCTTTTCCCTAAATATTCTGCATATTCAGGAAGATTTTCCACCTTTGAAATATCATCTATACTTAATGATTCAACAAGAGGACAAAAAATTCGAATAAGAAAAATTATTATGGATATTTTATTCATTTTAAAATTTCTTGAAAATTACAGCGTAAATGTGCTTATATAGTAGTGTCACTGGCAATTGTTCTGTTTTTATCTAAAATAATCAATGAATCTGCTTCACCCATAGCTACAAGCATAATTCCTCCATCTGGTACTGGCTGGCTAAATTTAATATTCACTGACGTTGTGCCATTCTTTATTAGATCAAAAAGTCCCCCTTGATCATCACCACTATTTGTCAAATTAAAGATGTATATACAATGAGTAGTGCCATACTGCTGATATGTAATTCCATTACTTTCTGATGAAGTTGCTAACCCAATGGCGTCATTCATATCATTAAACGCGCGAACATATTTTCCGTTATTATAATCAAAATCATATGGAGCTTGAGGATAACTTCTCCCATTTGCTATTATTGTAATTTCTCGAACACTAAAGGGTTGGAAGTTAAAAGGACTGCGTCCTAAATTTCCAACATAGTCAGAATTAGCGACAAGTCCTAGGGTTATTCTTCTAGGTATTTGATCCATAAAGAGGTTAGCATTAAATTCGTATCTCCCTTGACTAATAAATAGGGGTTTCATCATAGTCTTTCTTATCGCATAACGGGCTGGTTTAGTATCGAGTTTTCTTGCAATGTCCAAAGCTAATCCATCCATTAGATCCATCTTTTTTACATAAAGTTTACAATTTAAAACTTCAAAATAGTAACGCGTAGATTGGGCAATACCAAGAGTAGGGGGAGCAACTAAAACGAATTTTGCATCGTTAGGTAAAATTTCAATGTCAATTTCGCATTGATTAATTAAATAAAGAGGCTGATTAAAAATATCAGCATCAAGTTTTGCAATAAACTGAGCTGTATTGCTATTTGAAAATAATCTTTTCCTAGCATCATATCCAGCTCCGCTTTCTAGATTTGTATCTGAGCCAAAGTAATATCCAGCGGCATTAAGATGGGAACTTTTTGCTCCTTGAGAATACGATAGTTCGTAAGACAAATATGTTTTGTAAGCGTACAAAGAATTTGAATTAAAAATTTCGCGCCCATTAATATTAATTTTCATATTGTTAATAAACGTTTGTCCTATAAGTTGGATAGGTGCAATATTGTCTGTCGGCGCAAGATTTACCAAATAGCCATTTTCATTCTCCTTTCTTATTCTAAGTTCCGTAAAAAGATAGCACTTTGACAAGTCAATATAATTTTGACTTGAATGAATTTTAAAATGGTAGGGAGTGTCTGTAAGTGGATTGCTGGGGAGAATTTCAAATACTTTAGAAGAGGTTACTGTAACATTAGTTGGGAGAATTTGAAAGAAGTCAAGTGCACTAGTTATCGAATTTATGCTTTCATTATCAATTTTTTGAAAAGCCATTTTTAATAAAGTCCAAATGCGTCTGATCTTAAGCGTTTTCTAACTTTTTTACCAATAATTGTTTGATATGAGGGTATAGCTTGCCTTTTTATACCCTTTTTACGTCCAGTACCAAATTGTTTTGGTAATCCTCCTTTCTCTAAAACAGTATCTATTCCTTTCTTTCCTTCTTCTCTAAGTGCTGTTTTAAGTGGTTCCCCTTGATTTACTCTCTCTAACACTCGCTGTCCTGTATTTAACGCTTCACCCGCTACAGTACTTCCCGCTTGACGAATTATTGGTAGAAAGAAACGCCAAAGTCCTCTCATTACATTACCAATCCCAGCCCCATTTTGTAAATTACCATAGCCTCTTTGAAAAGGTGATGAACCTTTGAAATAATTATATTCATCTGTAATACCACTTCCTTTCATAGGAACAAATTCTTCATAACCAACTGATCGTGTATCAAAAACTACGTGAACCATTTTTTAAGAATTTTATTCAAAATATTAAATGTAAATTACAATTTTTGAGGGTATTTATATACACACGAGAAAATGAAATTAAAAATTTATAACTTTCTTAAATATTAAGACGATCATCACTGTTCCAAATGCAAAAGGGACGAGTCTTCCTCCATCCATTGTTCTTAATTCAATTTCTATTTCATTAATTTCTTTAGGAAGTACACGAATAAAAATAGGAGAGTCATATATCTTTTCATGATATTCTCCTGGTGTTGCTCCGGAGACAGACACAACTCTCAATAATGAGCTAAGCGAGTTTCCTACAATCATATTCTCTGTTAAACCTCTGGAGTAGACAGCAAAGCTAGAGAATCCTCCTCTCAAGTCACTTCCATATTTTGCGATTTCATTATGCATAACCATATTTGAATTTTCGAAACCTAATACATAGCCAAGTTGAGGAGAGAAAGATAAATATTTAATATTTGGATGAGAGAATTCCAATTTAAAACGTTTAAAGTCTTTGTGAAAAGACAGAGAAATAGAATCTATAATTTGTTTTTGTACAGTAGTGTCGATCTTGTCTTTCCTTAGATAACTGTATTTCTTCAGAAGACCTTCAATCATTGGTAAATAGTTCTCTCTTTGAAAGTCTGTAGGGGGCTTTCCAATTACATGTGTAAGAACTCTCTCCATGTCATCTGTCCATTTTATTTTTTGTTGAACCAATGATTTGTTCTGTTTTAATGGAAGAGCTTCAGGAAGTGAAGGAAGAGTTTCTGAAGGTAGGGGTAATTTAGGAAGAGTTTTTGTAGGAGAAATTATTGGCGGTTGAATAATTTCTTGCGGTTTTGCAGAGGAAACAGGTTTTGGCGCTAATTTTTGAGGCGTTGATATTTGTTGAGGCGGTTGTGTAGGCAAAAGCTGAGGAGGTGGAGATTTAAGTTCTTGTTGTGTAGCTAGAGGAGGTTGCGGAGGTTTTTGTGTAGGAGGCGGTGGTTTTTGAGGTGTTGAAGGTTTTTGGGCAGGAGGAAGTGGAGGTAGAGGAGGTTGTGGAGTAGAAGGTTTTTGGGCAGGAGGAAGTGAAAGTAGAGGAGGTTGTGGAGCAGGTTTTATGGCAGGAGGAAGTGGAGGTAGAGGAGGTTGTGGAGTAGAAGGTTTTTGGATATGAGGAGGTGGAGGTTGAGGAGGTTGTGTAGGTTTTTTGGAAGGAGGAGATGGAGGTAGAGGAGGTTGTGGATTAGAAGGTTTTTGGATATGAGGAGGTGGAGGTTGAGAAGGTTGTGTAGGTTTTTTGGAAGGAGGAGATGGAGGTACAGGAGGTTGCGGAGTAGAAGGTTTTTGTGTAGGAGGAGGTGGTTGTGGAGTTGAAGGTTTTTGGGCAGGTGTAGGTTTTTGAGGGGTTGAAGGTTTTTGGGCAGGAGTAGGTGGAGGTGGTGGAGTAGGTTTTTGAGTAGGAGGAGGTGTTTGTGGAGTTGAGGGTTTTTGGGTAGGAGGAGGTGGAGGGGGTTGTGGAGTTGAAGGTTTTTGAGCAGGAAGAGGTTGAGGTTTTTTGGGGGTGGAAGGTTTTTGTTCAGTAGGTTGAGGTAGAGGAGGTTGAATTGAGGGTTTTTGAGCAGGTTTTTGTGGTGTTGAAGGTTTTTGGACAGGGGGAGGCTTTTGTGGAGTAGGAGGTTGAGGCGTAGACAGAGGTGGAGATTGTGGTAGCCTAGGAGGCGATGGAAGTTCTGGAGTTGTAGGTATTTTATTTTCTTGAGATGGAGGCGTAGGTTTCTTTGATACAGGTGAAGAAGGATTGGTAGGCGAAGTTGGAGGAGGAGGAGAACGAAGTTCTCCTTCAACCCCTGGAGGCGATGGTAAATTAGTTTCCAAACTTCGTTTTGAACGTTGAGTTCTGGGTGGCGAAATTAGAGGTTGTCTATCTGGGCTAATCTTCGGAGGCGATTGTAATTCCAAACTTCGTTTTGGGCGTTGAACTCTGGGTGGCGAAATTAAAGTTGGGCTATCAACAAAACTTTTATCAATATTAGATTCTACTAGCACTCCACTTTGGTGTTGTAAAGTGGAAATTAAAAATTTCAGTAAATCCTCAGGTTTATTGTGAGATCCTCTTGGCACAGGGACTCTTATGACCTTAGCCATACCCTTAAAGTCTGTACAGTGGATATCAATCCATTGTTCATCAAGTGTGCCAATAGTTGAAGGCCATGAATAAGGGTAAGAAATGCTATGTAAGCCGCAAACCCAATCTCCAGAAAAATAAATTGGTTTGGGAAGATGAACACGGAACTTATTAGGCTGATTATCGGGGTAATCAGTAGTATTACTTAATAAGCAAACATAAAAACTATTTGACATTTTATGACAACAAATAAATTATACAATAAGAAAACAATAATGCCTTTTATACTAATTGATTCTCGTTTATCCATTCCCTCTCCGGATAGCCAATAAATTTTACAAGTACTTCATAGGCGCCGTCTGCCCGTTTTCTTTTCTGAAAAACCTTCTCAATCCTATACTCTGTACCCGCATCCTTTTTAACTTTAGTAAGTTCTTCGTTATAATAAGATCCTTTGAAATTCTCCCCTTTGTCATCTTTTAATTTGTAACGAATTGGTCTAGAATTGTCTTTGACTTTGTCAACTTCCGCTATTACATCACCCCAATTTGGAATGTAACCCTTTTCAAATGTCCCTTTATTTATACTTGTACGTACAAATTCTCCTTTTTTGAATTTAGGGTTTGCCTTTCTAATCTTTGTAGATAATTCATCGCCATAAATCTTTTCCCACACCTCTTGAGCATTTTGAAAATTTATGTCAATAGGTCTCATTCCATGAACCCGGCTCTTTGCTTTATTTATTCCTTCCAAAATCTTTGATAAAATCTCGATCCAATTAAGTGTTTTGTAATGGGCAAAATATCGATATAATCGTTGTTTAACATTTCTAATTGCACGCTCCGCAAGCGAAGCTTTAACTATTGAATGGGTAGCTTCAAACTTTTCAATTTCTTCTTTTTCAAAAAATTCTTTTAGTTGCTTACTTTTAAATTCTAGTCCTTTATCGGAAAATATTCTATGTGGCTTCATGGGCATTTGGTTGATTAATTGTTTAAAGGCTTCTAACATATCATCAATCTTTTTAGACTTGATAGGAACACCAAAAACTCTTTTTGAAAGGACATCAATTCCCAAAAGTAAATATTTATTTCCTTTATTATGTCTGGATAATGATTGAAAATCCGCCAAATCAACTTGAACATCTGTCATAAACCCAGCAGCCACGGTTTTACTTCGAGGATAATGTATTCTCTTGGGGCGCATAAGAGTATACGTTCGATGTCCTTACAGCAAGAGCAGAATTTGGTGAACGCATTAGAACAATGTATTGAGCATTTTGTCTTGCAACCTTGATCTTACGGTCAAATAGATTTTGAGTTACAAAAACAATTGCAAAATTTTGATGGTGGGATTTTTTAGTGAAGAGTTCAGATAGATACTTTTCGTCGATAGACAAAAGTAAGTCATCAAGGATTAAAAGAAGTGGTTTGGGAAATGTTTTTAACAGTTCTTCAGGAGGGACGCCTACGAAAACATCAACTCCAGATTTTTGAAGTATTGGAACAATACTACTCATTTCTCCAAAACAATACAGTATACTCCTTGGTTTAGGATCAATTAAATCTGCCGCTTCCGAAATAAATTTTAATAGGAAAGTACTTTTACCACTTGAGCTGGGACCTGACACAATCATACCAAAAGGCAATTTAAAATTTAAATCTTTATTAGAAAATGTTAGTGCTTCCATTACAAATAATAATTAATTGAAAATTTTAACTTAAATACTAAGTGAAGCGATGAAAATTAAAGAGGAGGCTGTAATTTTGTATCGTCCGGATTGTTTACTACTTCGTTCTTAACCTCATTTTCTGTTGAAATCATACCCATTGTAACGGCCTGCATAGAGTCATAAAACTCTAATAGGACTGCATCCTCATTTTCTTTAAGTTCCTTGATTGGTGATAATGTTAAAAGTGGCTCTTGTGGGGATGCAAGTGGTGGGGTGAATACCTCATGTTGTGGGGATGCAAGTGGTGGGGTGAATAATTCCTGTTGAGGTTCCTGTTTTGTAGAAAGAGGGGGTGGTGGCGGTGTTGGAAGAGGTAACTGGTCAATAGCGTCACGCTTTAGACAATTTGAATTTTTAATTGGGCAAACGTTTTGAGAACCATATGGGATATTCAAAACGCGGCCTTTATTTTTGATCTTAATTTACAATTAATTTTTGTGTTTAGAACAAAAATAACCTTGAAGAAACAATGCCCTGGTAAGTCATAAATACAGTCAAAAGGCACGAAGCGAGGTATCGATAAACGAGTACAATAGATTGTTACCCCTTCTTTTGTAACAATAAAATCTAATTCAACTTCAGTGCTTTTACACTCACGGCAGCGACCACCATGTTCAAAAGGAATAAATCTAGGGGTTGAAATTCTTTCACTTGTTAAGGTAATTCCATTGGTTGTGAGGTTGAAATCAACCTCTGGGATAATTTGAGAAGCCAGATATTCTTTGTCGTTCATATTTAGAGCCATTTTATTAAAATTTTTTGCGAATTAATTACCTTTGTTCAAATTCTTTGAACTTATATACCCTTGTCTCGTTGCGATAGGTGTCAATAATCGCTAATATAGATTCGCTTTCATCTTCATTGTTTCTATTTTTAAAAAATGAAGCCAAGCCAACTTTAAAATTAAGCCGGTTTTGAAGATATTGTTTACAATAAAAAGTCACGCCTCTTTTATGGTAAGGTATATATCATTTTTATTTCTTAGGATCATTCTACTTAATTTGCAACAAATTGCTTCCAACTTACAATATATATTTATTTAATATTTTAAATATTTAAAATATGCCACAGAATAGTTCATCGGGTGAGAAAATAATTTATTTAAAAAAAATATTTAAGTTTCTATTGCAAAAGATGCCGATTGTGAACAATCCAAAGAAATTTCTGATACAAAACCAGTAAAATTAGAAATGGCGAAAGAATCAAGTGCTAAAAACTCATTAGGTATATTAATAAAATAATTGTTCACATAAAAAATTTTTTTAAAGAAACAACGATTAGTAATCCTCCAATGGATGTAAATAATGTAAAAATACTTAAAGAAGCAAATGTTTGTGGACCAGTTGTTAAAAAACAACTTTGGAAGCTTATACGTGGAAAATTTTTAATTACCTTCTACCTTTGTCAAGGTGAGAAAAAATTAAAATTGTATTCAAATATTAATTATTGTTTCAGAATGCCAAAACAATCTATTTTATTCACAAGAGAAATTTTGCGAAAATTCTTCGGGTGTTACATTGAAGATTGATTTATGTAACAAGTGCGTCGATGCGAATTGTAAAGCTACTGATATTCTTGCACCATATAAGAAAATCGGAACAAAAAGAAAGGCTGAATAAATTAATTAAAATTGAAAAATAAATTTGTAATACTTAATTGTTAACTAATAAAATTATTAATAAAATTATTTAATTTTAACGAATGAAATTAATTCGAAATAATAAAATTATTTAAATATATTACTCTTTAATATCTAGAATAAAAACTCAATCTAAGACTCATTTGTCTAATTAGAACTCATTTCCTAAAGCATGGTAGAGAATAAATTTAGGAATTAGAGTCAGACTACTCTGTGTCTCTGACATTTCTCGTATTTATGGAAGATATAGCACATCCATCATTTATAGCACATCCATCATTCATTATCTCTCTCTCCTTACATTATTATCATCTCTCTCCTCATTATCTCTCTCATCACTTGCGCTTTGATTTATTAAATTGACTACACTTTACCCTTCGATATAATAGCTTTTTCACATACCCCTGGATTCTATGTAAAATTAGAATAACATACTCAAGAATCATAGACTCAACTGACTTGTAAGAACTCATTTTTTAAAACATGGCAGAGAAATGAATTTAATGACAATATCAAATAATAGAGGAATTAGAGTCACGTTGCTACTCTGCGTCTCTAATCTCTCTTCCCAAAATAGATGAAGATTAACTTTCCGCACTGAAAAAATTGCAAATTAATAAACTGCAAATTAATAAACAAAAATGTTAAAAAATTAATAAACAAAAATTTTAAAAGTTTATACAAAAAAAAGAAACTAAAGTCAATGTCTCGTTTCACTCATTAAATTTAAGGTTCTAAAGAGAACCGTATGGGTTAGGTTATTGTTGTTGTCCATCATCCATCAAATTGATTAATTATTTAAAATTTGGGTATCCCTTACCCTCACGACTTTGATCATTGGTAAGATAAAAGGAAAACTAATTTGTATATGCTAATCGGTCAATTAATCCACCCCTTGTTTTAATTGGTATAAAAAGATTAAAAGAGTACCATAAAAAATTCTTAGAGTTAAGGTGTTTAGAAAGAAAAATCTATTGCATGTCTTTGTAGCTCAGTCGGAAAAGCTAGTGTTTGGATAAAGAGTATATTTAAGAGTTGTAAGGTTCGAGATCCTCAAGGAACTTTGAATTTTATATAAACGCAGACTCAAATGTCTTGTCCTACCAGTGTTCACTAGTATAAGACAGAGAAATGAATTTGGGATTTACATGGGCAAACTGACAACAGAATCACCAACTGATCTGCGTCTCTATGTGGTGTTGTGAGAAGATAGCAACTGCACTTACAAACAAAAGAAAAAATAATTTGTTAAAACAATTATTGAATCTTAAGAAATAAATCAGAAAAATTACAACAATAATTTAAGTAATTTGTAAAAAATTTCCCCCTCCTACCACCCACTCGGTCAAAAGGGTAAGGTTTGCTCGCCCGGACCCCTCCTTCGCTAATTTGTAAAATTCTCCCCTTCCTACCCCCGCTCAGTAATTAGTTCAAAATTTTTCATTGCCCCCTCCCCCTCACTAATCGTTTTTTTTTAAAATCCTCCCCCACCTACCCCTCACTAGTTCAAAAGGATAAGGATAACCCCTCCACTCAATTTGTAAGATATTCACCTCCTACCACCCACTCGCTCAATAGGATTAGGATGCGCGGACCCCTCCCCCACCAAAGCTGTCAATAGGTTTGAGTTTGTGCGCGAACATAAATCATAATTAATTGCGGTTAGGCGGCATCCCTTTGTGCGGAAACCTGTTGGTTAACTACTCAAGACGATTTCAACAAAGGCTAATGTTGTACCTACAACGTTATCAAAATGAAAAAGGGGTGCGGTTCTTTGAATTTTTGTGTAAATAATTTAAAAATTCTAAGTTACTGCCCAAATCACTCAAAATTATTCTTCTGATGTTACTCAAATTGTTTTTGCGTGTAAAATTATTTTTTAAAAAACGTTTACTGCCCAAATCACTCACTGCCCAAATTACTCACTGCCCAATTCACCACTGCCGTTTTCACCAGACACGTCAAAAAGTCCTCTCAAAACTCCCCCAAAAATGTCGTTTTTTGAAGCGCTTGGTCGCAGCTGGTCGGCTAAACGGGTGTTGTTTACTTAAATAAAAATTTTTACCGTCCAACGCTGTCACAATATCAGAAACTGACACCAATAAGTCCGTAAGACTAATTGGTGTGTAAAAAAGACTTTTCCCGCAATCTGTGATGATTCGGGGAGGAATTTGTGCCATTGGAAGACACCGTTGGTTTTTATCGCCAAAAACGTCAAAATCAATGCTTATGTCTATCAAAATGAAATTTTGATGAATGTTTTACTTCCCTGGAAGCATCAACATTTTGGTGAAAATGATTTTATTTTACAACAGGACTTGGTACCAGCACATGGAGCTAAAACAACAATTAACCTCAATGCAAAGTTGTTTCATGGATTTTGGGGAAAGGATATTTGGCCCTGTAACTCACCGGTCCTCAATCCAATGGATTTTTGGTCTGGTCTAAGTTGTAGCAGAGACTCCCCTGCACACGACACACGTCAACAGAGCCACTTAGGACGGCATTAAAATATTCCTGGGGATCAATAACAGAAGAGGGGTGCGCGACCAACGAAGGAATTTTTCGGCTGTGTTTGGGTGCGTGTATCTCGGCTGTCGGATCTCATTTTGAAAATTTGTTATGATTATTTATTTACATGATCCTTATAAACGTTTTGTATGTGTAAACTTATTTTTATTATGATATACAAGAAAATAAATCCATTTTGATTAATTCCGGGAACTTTTTACGCACCCTGTAGAGAAATTTAAATGTAAAAATGTCTCTTAACATTCTCTACTTTTATCAATATTCATTGTTAAAGATTTTATTATATTTTTAAATGTAAAATTTGTTAATAAAAAAATGTAAAATGGCAGATTCAAAAAGACTAGCAATTAAAAGTTTTTCTAAATTTTCAATTGCAGATTTTGCACAATTTATTATTTGGAAGACCTAAAAATAATTTTTATCTCAAAAAATTTAATTGTAATTTTACCCATAGGCCTAGAACTGCCTTTTCCAATTGTTGAGATTTCACGGAATTTTTTTGCTTGAAATAAAGAAACAGGTTTTGTATAATAAATTTCAACTAGCAATCCTGAAGTAGAGTTTGTAAGATAACGAGGAGAACCAGAATTTGAAGTCGGAAGTAATTTCAGGAATTTATTGTTTGATGGATCAAGTCTGAGTAAACGATTAGCACAAAACCTGCAAAATTATTTATTAAAAAATATTGCAAATTTATGAAAAGATTACTTATCAGTTTGAGAACTTTTTTCACAAACAACAACAGTAATATAATGTAAAGCAGAGGAGACTCCTTGGCCGCCAGCAAATGCTTGATTACAATAAAAATCAGCAAAATACATATTCATTCTTTTAAAATCTAATATTTTGTTGACTTCCAATATCATTTGGACATCACTAAAAATTAATAAAAATTAGAAATTTCTTTTTTAACTTTATATTAACCCAAAAGGAGAAGCATTAGGTAAACTATCGCCTTGAAGTAATGAAGAAAAGAAACATCCTTCTATTTCGCCATTAATTGGACAGCCTGGATGGCCATTTTCGTCTTTCAAATAAGGCATCATCATTCGTTGACCATCTCAAATTTAAAAAAAAAATTTTATAAATTATTAAAATAAAAATTAATTTTGTCAAAATTGTAGAAAAAATCTCAAAAATTTCTCCAAATTTTGAAAAAAAAATTAAATTTACCCGGTTGAGAATATATATTATCAAAATAGGATTTTGGTTTACATCGATGGACTATATCGAATTGATACATTAGATCACCACAAAATCGTGAAGCTAAAGCCATTACACGTTCCAATTCACTTTTTGAAAAATCTTTAAATTAAAAATTTTTATTTTGTGAAAAGAATAAAATTTCAATTAAAAAAAATCAAAATAAGCAAGAAACAAACATGCTCTATAATGAACAGATGAAATTGCGCATTGTCTCCCTTCAACATCAAAACCTTGAATTGTAGCGGAATATCTAGTACCAGGTGTTACTTTCTAAAAAAATTATAAAATCTAGAAATAAAGTTAAAAATATAACCTGTAAATATTGTTTTTCCCGTGCTAATCTTTGAATAATCTTCTCATCAGTACCTCCAGTTATTTCAACTGATTGACTGTTTATGTAGATATCTTAAAAATATATAAATTTTAGGGAAAAAATATTGGACTAAAATTTGTAAAAAGTAGGATTATAGGGAAGAGAGGACACGCGAACATATCGGGATGGACATAACGGGATATTTCAAAGTAACAGTTACCCTACTGATTTCGGAACCTACGGTCACTGGCAGGCCCGTAGCCAGGATTTTTTTTCGGGGGGGGGGGGGGGATTTTTTGCGCCAAAAAAAATTATTTTCAGCGCCGCAGGCGAAAATTTTGAGAATTTTAGAAGGCCTTAGGCCAAAAAAATTCAATTTTTCGGCGCCGCAGGCGCCAAAAATTTGATTTTCAGCGCCGCAGGCGAAAATTTTTTTAATTTTGGACCTCAAGAAGCTAGATTTCTTCCTTTTTTAGCGCCGAAGGCGAAAATTTTTTAAATTTCAGAGGCCGTAGGCCAAAAAAATTCACTTTTTTTGCCCCAGCCCTTCCCCAAATTTTTTCCTTTTTCCCATTTCGGGGGGGGGGGGGGGAATTCCCCCCTCACCCCCCCCCCTGGCTACGGGCCTGGTCACTGGGTCTTGGAAAGTATATTGTCCCATCGAAGAATAAAGTTTTTATGTTTTAGAACAAACGTAGACACGCAAAAAATTATTTTTCTCACACCAATCCCGATATGTCCGATGTCCGCACACCGAACGGAGGACATCAGAAAATTATTTCGGTTGCTGATTTTCGTCTCGAATTTCGTTTGAAAATTTTTTATTTATTTTTCTGTTTGTTCATTTATTTTAATTCCTTTTTGTTGGCATCAAAATTTTATTTTCATGCTCGATAATGAGAATAATCTAGCCCATCCATTTATTAAAATTAATGTTCTGTTTAATATTTTCTTTAAAAAATATAATTTTATACCATCAGGAATACTCCATTTAAGTAAACAATGTTGAGAACTAATAATTATTTGAATTTCAAAAGGTGTTGTATCTCTAACAGAAAATGAAGAAATTGAAGTTGAAGCTGAAGAAGAAGAAAGTTGAGGAAATGAAATTGGTGGAGGACCCCATTTTGCGCCACGGTTATAAGGAATTGGAGGAGATTGACGAACTAAAATTTAAAAAAAAATTTTTTTAGAAAATATAATTGGAGAGAACAAAAATTCACCAGGTATTGTGTGTATAGATGGGATAGGAAAACGATTTAATGCTTGGTCAAAAGAAGCTGATTGAATCTAAAAATTGTGAGATAATTTAATTTAAATTTCAAAAAGCATTACAGAATTTGGCACTTTATGGAAAGATGAATTAGCAGAATTCAAAGGAGAAGGCTGTTGCGATGAAGATTCAAGTCTAGAAAAGAAATAAAAAAATTAGAAAGCAAAAATTTTTCATTTTACTTCAAATAAAAAATAACCCCGAAAAAATGAAAAATCCAAAAAATATAAGAATTTTTAGTTATTTTGAATTAAAAATTTGGTAATACTGAAAAATACAGACCCCTTTTTTTCCTTCCCAATTTTCCCCCTAAATTAGAAAGGAAAAACGGGAAAATATAAAAAATAATCCTTTTTGTTTGATTGTAGGCAAAAATTAGACAGGCAAATTGAATGGAAGAAAGGAAAAGTCTGGCCATTTTGTAAAAATATAGGGGGAACATTGGGAAGGAAAAAAGAGGGTCTGTATTCTTCAGTATTAAAGAAAATTTTATTGATAACTTAACCAAATATTTTAAATACCTTTTAAAAAAACTAAATAAAAATTTTAAATCTTTAAACCTCAATCTTTTTCCTGTCAATTTTTGGTGAGAAAGAGCAGAAGACTGTTGAGACGAAGATTCCTCAGCCGACTTTCTTCTCTGTTCCTTTCCAGGTCGTCGTCTTGCTCTTTTACGGTGCTTGGTTGGTGGCTATATATTAAATAAAAATTAAAATTAAAAAAAATAAAACCCCCGCAGTTGCTGAAGTATTCTTTTCAAATATTATCTCATCATCCAAACTTTTGTCAGAATTATTTATCGTTCTTTGACTTTCTCGTGAACTGTCAAACGAATTTTGCTTTGCTGTTAAAGATTTTTGACCAGCATTTTTACTCTTTGGAAGGCGTTCAGGATTTTGCGAATTATTGAAATTTAATGTGTCTGGAGCTGCTCCATGTAAAAAATAGTCAGGCACCATTAGGTTTAAATCATCAGAGTCTAAAATATTAAAATAAATATTTGTAGAAAAATTAAAATATAAAAGCATCCAAAGGATCATGTCCAGATTATGTTCTGGATTTTCTTGGAGTTCAAAGTTAGGGTTTGTCCGATGAAATTTTTTTGTTCAGAAACTAATACGAGTCGATTTAGAACTATCTTTTTATATCTATATGAATTTTAAAATTATAGTTGTTTTTAAAATTGCCAATAGATGCTAAATAAGCTAATGAATTAGCTAAAAGGTATTGAAAAGTAAAAGGCCTAAGAAAATTCAAAAAAAATCCAATTTTTAATCCAATGGATGGGAGCCAAAAAAATTAAATTCAAATAAAATTTAAAAAAAATTATTAGAATGATAAATATTCCCCAACCTGTAATTCGGAAAACTTTCCCAAAAAATTTTTTATAAAAAATTATTTACCACTATCACTGTAATTATCCAACCCTCCAAATACGAAATCAGCATTATCTTCATCAAAATCATTTCTATTTTCATCATTATATATTTCATCTTCAATATTTTTCCGTCTTCCCAATCTTTCAGGTCCTTTATCTGGACCAGCAATTTTGCTTTCTTCAATTATTTGTTGTAATTCTTCGTCGTTAGAAGGAGAAACGCTAATAATTCGTCCATACCATCCACGGCCATTGCAATAACGAACTAAAGAAAAAATTTTTAAATAATTAAAATGGGAAGTAGAAAAGTTGAAAAAAGGATAAGAATGAACAGAAAATAGGTTAAAAATTTAAGTTTGTGTCCCCCTTTTTTATTTTTAAAAACTCCCAATATGATGTGTTTGGCACCAAACAAAAAAAGGTGATTCTGAAGATGGTCCCTCTCCCCATTTTTTCCTTCGCTAAGATTGTACGTAATGGTCAAATTTTTCCCTTTCCTCTTTTCTCCATGTCATATTCAAACATGACTCGGCAATCCCGGAGAATCGTGGTCCCTGCGGAAAAAAATCTTAAAAATAAGAAAAAGAATTTTTCTAGGGTAAAAAATTATGCTAATTACGAATCTGAACTCAGATTTTCAAAAAGTCGAATCCCGAACCCGGACCGAATTTCGAACTCTGAACCTGAATTTCGAATATGCAAGTGATAGCTCGTTCGAAAGAGCTCGTTGAGCTGCATCGAATGACACCAAAATCAACGCGATCAGACCAGTTTCGACAAAGTTATGACATAAAGTAAACCTATGGGAGTACTGTAGGAGTCGGCGACTTATGTCATAACTTTGTCAAAACTTGATCAATCACTGTAATTTTGGTGTCATTCGACTCATCTCGACGAGCTCTTTCGAATGAGTTATCATTTGTATAAACTTTTTTTACTCCAAAAGACCAACCCTGTGGTTTTTCAATATTCAGAGGTCTGTATCTCGGTCCAACCCGGTCGGATTTCATTGATTTAGGTGTTATTCGATGCAGCTCGATGAGTTCTACTCATCGAGCTCCATTTTGTACAATAAACATTTGTACCAACCATTTTGTACAATTCCGACAATGTCCGGGGTCAAATGTCCGAATTCGGGTTCGGGATTCGACTTTTTGAAAATCTGAGTTCAGATTCGTAATTAGCATATTTTTTTACCCTAGAAAAATCCTTTTTCTTATTTTTAAGATTTTTTTCCGCAGGGACCACGATTCTCCGGGATTGCCCATGACTCCACCCCAGAATATCGACACCCAAAATATCGTTGACCCTAAATATCGACACCCAAAATGCCGCCATAATCCTCGTTAAGTAGGAAGTTTAGAAAAAAAAGGAAACACAACCTTACTTTTGACAGAAAAAAAAATTATTTTAAAAAATCCAAACCAGTTTCATCAGCAAATTTTTTATTTACAAAACCAACAATTGCATCATTTGCACTATATGCTCTAACCAAAGCTTCATCTGGTTCAAAATCGACAGTTTCCCAAATAAAATGTAAAATTTGACAAAGACTTGAATTACGGGGAAGATTATGCATTCGGACAAGAAAATTGTGTTTTTCCATTTTTCTTAATTTAAAATTAAAAAATTTAAAAAAATCTTTTGTATTTTTGTAGAAATTTTCAATTTTTCTTTTGGAAATTTTTTACTCAAATATTCATTTGGGATTTCGAACATTTTTTGAAAGAAATACACATAATGCCAACAGACATTTTGCCAACGTAGTTTTCGTCTACCCTCACAAAATACCGTAAATGCTCTAATTAAAGCCCTAGGCATCTATTTTCCAATGGGTCAATTTAGGTGGATTATAGTAGATATGGGCTTTTAATAGAGCCGGGCTTTAATTAGAGCATCTACGGTATATAATTTTGAAACAAAAAAATAATTTTTTAAACTAATATTCATTATCATTTAGGGTGGAAGTTTATCAAGAGTTTGAGAGATTTTTAGTATAAAAGATATTATCCATCACTTCTTTATCCCTTTTTCAATAAGGTTCAAATTTTAGCAATCTTGCCATGTCTCAAGAAGATACGACGGTGATGATGGATGGTCCTCCATGGTTATGGGTGGAATCTTCGACTACACCAACAACGGAGGCGCCGGTAAAAATAATTATTTTAAATTAAATTACTTAAAATCTCCTCTCATTAAAGGAAATTATTTGCATTAGTGAACACGAAATTCGAAACAGTTTGTTGGTTGGGGCTTTAATTGCACTTGTATTGTGAGTTTCTTCTTAATACATAAAGCTCTTTAATGGGACAAATTTTCAGTGTTTTGCTTTGGCACATTATTAGAATTTATTGTGGGTATAAAAAACAGCCTCCACCGCCACCAGAACCAACAGTAAAGCAAAGGGACAAAAAAAGTTCCGGATCTGTCAAGTCTTATGGAAGTGCAACGACGGCAAGTGTAACAGCTACAGTGAGTGGAGCACCGTCTTCGAAGGTTGATACTTCACGAACCTCAACTATAAAATCGAAAAGTGGAATGTCTGATGATTCTGAAAATGTTGTTCGTGTTTAATAGAATTGTAGTTTAATTATTAAATAATAAGTAAAAATATCTCATTGGTTTTGCTCAAAATACAGTATATTTTTGTTTGTTTGGTATGCTACATAACAGGGGTCGGTCGGAAATGACGAAGGTGGCGGAAATCGCAACTGTCGGAACTCGAAAATGGCTCAATAGTCTGAAATCAGCCTAAATTTTCGGAAGTCGGAAAGAAAAAAACTTCGGAAATCGGAATTTCGACCGACCTCAGTTACATAATTCTTTTGTTAATTACATAAATATAAAGTACCTAATTTAAAAATGCAAGTAAAATTTAAAAATGATCGGATAAGTAAATTTATTCGGATATGTTATAGAATCTCTGTCAATTCTCGAATCAGGTCTCTAGTATAAAGAAATAATTTAGAACCTATCATTAATCCTTTGCTTTGAATTTTTATTGTATGTAAAAAATATGTTCAGTAAATAGTTGTACAAATATAAATTGTACATAATATTATTTGCAAATACTGTTTAAAATTATCCTCATTTCTAATACAAAAAGGATCCAAAAAGTATAAAGTCGGTCAGAATTGAGTGGTCAGACAATTTATTTAAATTTGTAAATTTATGCAAAAACCCTTCCAAAAATCTCCCTCTCTAAGGATTGTTGGTCAGTTTTATTGTTTAGAATTCTTCTATTTAAACGACTTATTTAAATTAAATTTTACCATTAAATTCAAAATTACAAAAATAAATATTTTCCACTAATAAAAATGAATATTTTTATTACCTCAACAAATCTTTTGGCATTTAAAATATTAATTTTATTTATTTTAATCAAAAATATTCTGACTCTCGAAAATGGACTTGCTAGAACACCTCCAATGGGTTGGATGTCTTGGACAATATTTTATTGTGAAATTAATTGTTTTAAATATCCAACTGGATGTATTAATGAACAATTATATAAAGTTGGAGTTTTGAAAATCTTAAAATTTTAATTAGATTAGTGAATTAAATATGTAAATGAGAACAAAATTAATATGTAAATGAAGGTAGACTTGATTTATCAATTTTGGGATCTGATGGTATTAAATCGAGGGAGGCTCCATATCTATTTAGAAGCTCTCTAATAGTGGTCAACAGGTAGTCTCACGGTCTCGGGGTTAATTCTCAGTCTCGGTCTCGACTCTTAACTTGGCGTTTTTTAACTCTCGAACATCAATAGTAGTTTATATACCTAGCTAAAAATATATTCATAGAAATTGTTCTTTCTGATCAGCTAGATTCACCTCACTCTAGTATAGTTACTGGGGAAAATGGTATTTTTTACTCTCCCAATTTTATTTAAAAGGATATGGCTGATAAACTAGTTGAAGGTGGTTACAGAGATGCTGGTTATGTTTCAGTCCACATCGATGACTGTTGGGAGGCTAGAGACCGTGATTCTAATGGAAGACTCGTTGCTAATCAAACAAGATTTCCTTCTGGAATTAAATCCCTTGCTGAATATGTAATTTAAAAAATAAAATTAAAAAAAAATATTATTGTAAAAAGATGCATGTTAGAGGCCTTAAATTTGCCATTTATTCTGATATTGGAGATAAAACATGTGCCGGTTTCCCAGGCACTATGGACCATTTAGAAACAGATGCACAGACATTTGCAGAATGGGGGTCTGATTATTTGAAGTTGGATGCATGCAATATTGAATTTGAGCGGATGCCTAATGGTTTGATCTTACATTAGGAGTAAACAAGAAATTATTTTTAAATTAATCGAAAATAAAACAAATTTAATTTAGAATACATAAAAATGGGAAATTCACTTCTCAAAACTAATCGCCCGATCGTCTATTCGTGCTCTTGGCCTGCTTATTTATACGAAAACCACAAAGCACTAGTTTATCCTTTAATTGGGGAGCATTGCAATCTCTGGAGAAATTATAATGATATTGACCGTTCTTGGAAGTCTATTCTTTGTAAAGAAATTATTTTAAATTAAAGAAAAATTTCAAAAAATTTCAGCTATAATTCATTATTATGTAAAAAATCAAGAACTTTTACGAAGTGCCCAAAGGCCGGGAGCTTGGAATGACCCGGATATGGTTTTTAAAAATCGAGAATTTTGTGATTAAAAATAAAACAATTTATAGATAGTTGCTGGGAATCCTGAAATTACCCCTTCACAAGCACAAGTCCAACTAAGCGTTTGGGCTATTTGGTCTGCTCCTTTAATAATGTCAAATGATTTGAGAACTATTTCAAACGAAAATAAAAAGATTCTTCTAAATAAAAATGTTATAGCAGTCGATCAAGACCCTTTGGGGATTTTTGGAAGGATGGTTTATAAGGTTGGAGTTTATCCTAGAAAAGCTAATTGAAATGTACAATCAAACCTCACAAAAAACCTCACAATAAGAGGGATGGTGTCTAGGAGATATCCTTATTTCGGATACATCTCATTATAGGATAAAAATTTTTCCGGCCCTAAAAATGTACTATCTAGATTATAGCGAGGTTTGACGGTTTAGTAAAATTTACAAACCCAAAAAAATTATTTCTCAAACATTTTTAGGAAGCAAGTTTATATGTTTTTGTGAAGGAAATGATGCCCGCTATTCCTAAAAAGGAACTTTATTCATATGCTATTGCTGTGGTAAATTATGGGACAAAACCATGCGTAAAACGAAATTTTTTTAAATAAATTTTTAAAATAAAATTAAAACTCTAACAAATACTATGTATTTTTTATTTAAAAATTAAAATAATTTTCAGAAATTCTCAAAAAGTTTATTTTCATTGGGATTAACCTATTTGGGCGGTTATTCAGTAGAGGATTTATGGAGTGAACAGCAACTTGGTTATATGACACCAGTTGATGAATATAGTGTTGTGGTAAATCACACAAGTGTTTCGATGATTAAAGCAACATTAAAAATGGATTTGAATGATTTAGAATTAGATAAAATGTTATAATAAAAAATTTTTTGTTTTTTTTTTATAAAATAATTAAATAATAAAGGCCTCATTTAATAATATATAGAGTACGTCCGAGTCCGAGTATTTGAGAAAAACCCGAGTCCGAGTAAAGCCGAGTTTGAAAAACCCGAGTAACGAGTCCGAGTTTTATTTTTTGACCCGAGCCCGAGTACGAGTAAAACGGGTAAAACGAGTAATTTTTATAAAACAGTATTCTAAAATAATTTTAACAAAAACAATATTTTTACTCATTATCAGTGCTGGGTATTGGGCAATTGTTGACAGTGATGCAGGGGATCATCATCCAAATCCCATTTGTTTTCTTAATCCGCCTATATCCCTCTTAATCCGACGAAATTCCATGATACGCCCATGATCAATGCTGGCTCCGGGCTCCGGGTGGAAAATGAAAGGATAATATTATTTCGGGGGATTTGTGTAGGTTATGCGGATACGAGTGAGAGGAATGAGATGAATATCAAGGGATTAAGCGGGATTTGGCCTGATTATCAAGGGATTTGGGTGTATTAAGAGCAAAATCTGGGAAATTCGAGAGATTAATTGGGATATCATTTGATTAGGTATGTCGTCGAAAGGTATTCACGAAATCCGTAGATACGCCCATGATCAATGCCGACTTTTTTTACGCCGACTTTTTTTTAAGTCCCTCTCTTTTCGCTCCGCTGGCTTAAATTTTTAGAATTTCTGAAGGCCAAGAGGAACACCCAAATTCCGTAAGGCCAGATCCTTCCCTTGAAATATTTAACTATCACTAAAATCCACCCAAGTCCATTAACATCCTCCAATATACACATGTCTTCGTTTTCAGCGCCGCAGGCGAAAATTTTGAGAAATTTAGAAGGCCAAGGACAGAATTTCTTCCTTTTTCAGCGCCGCAGGCGAAAATTTTGGGAAAATTGGAAGATCCTTAAGCCAAAAATCTTTCTTATTGCGCCGCAGATATGGGCAAAAAATACTCGGTTTACGCCGAGTCTGCCGAGTATTAAGTTACCGAGTACCGGTAACGCCGAGTATTAAGACCCCGAGTAACGAGTCCGAGTAAAACAGCAAATAACCCGAGCGAACGACACGAGTATACTCGTACTCGTTCGGACTCGGACGTACTCTAATAATATAGTATTTTATAGAGATCGACAAAATCGCATTTCCGGGATCCCGTAATGGGATTGAGTTTGAAAAAATCGAGCCAGAGGAATCCCGCGGGATTAATCCCGTCAATCTCGGTAATCCCTCCGTCGCTAAAAACCCGGGATTTCGGGACGGGATCCGGTAAATCACGCCTAGGATCGCTCTCGTGCAGATCTCTAGTATTTTATAGGTTTAATTTATTTGCTTTTTTAATCATTAAAAGTGTTAAAATGTTTTTGACAGAATCACAAAAATCCTAATTTTTATAAGAGCTTTTCTCCACAATTTGTATATGATAGCATCTCTCTAATTTGAAACCCCTCTGATTTCATCGCAAATTTAAAATTAAATAATAACGCGAAAACATTTTAAATTGAATAATTCAAAATCTAAACATACAAAATATCAACTTGCCAATATATTTACAGTCCAAAAGGGAACATTTCATTTTGACAAAATTTCTCATGTCCAGAATTAAGGTTGGGGGCCCGGTCCGGCCCGGTCCGAAAGATCGAGTCGGGCATTGAATTTTGGCCCGAAAAAATGACTTGAATGTCGACCCACTCGAAAACCCCAACCCTATCCAGAATACTTGAAGACTGAAATTTTAAAGAATGAAAACGAACATTTTTTCGATTTATTGGGCAATTAAATATTGTAAGAGTGTTTTTATAAAATTAGAAACTTTGTTGTTAAAATTTTCTTTTTAGATTGTCAATTAATTTTCTTTAAAATTTAAAATGTATTCTCTACCTATTGAAATTCAACTTGATGTATTAAAATGTCTTGACTTTGATCAATTATTCTCTTTTAAACAAACGAATTTTTACTTTCGAAATTTGGTTAATCAATATGAAAATGGATTGGCTAGAATGAAATTTTATCAACTCGAAATGGTAAAATATAAATGAATATTTATTATTTTTTTTATCTCTTTTTAGGATAGTTTTCAGCATTACGTTCTTCTCATGTCAGAAACATACAAAATTATTAAACCCGATTCTTTAACGTTTGAATTTACTCTAAATGATCGACTTTTGAAAAAGGTTAAATTATTTTTAAATAAATGGTAAATGTAAAGATTACTGGTCACGAAAAAAATAAGAAAGGAATGCTTTTTGATATTTTTGACATTCGATTAGGCAAACCTCGAAATTAGTGTTCGGCAAATGGATTTTTTCGGTACCGGTTCCGGGAGTACCGGAAAATACCGACTCGCTATTTTCGGGAGTAACGAACCGTGCCGACTCAAAATATCAAAAAGGCATTCCTTCCTTTCATATTATTTCGGGCCCAGTAATCTTTACATTTACCAACCAAAATTATATGATTATTTTTAGTGGAAAGTAGCTATAGCTGAATCCATTCCGTTGTTTTTACATTATTCTGAATCTGTTGAAAATGGAAGCTTTTATGTTTGTTTGGAGAAAACAGGTTTGAACTTTAAGAAAGAAAATTTTTGTTGTTGGATCCGGATTTTAAGATTATTTATTATTAGTTTTTTAAAATATTATTTTAATGTTTTTCCTTTTATTTAAACTCTTCCCTCAAAACATATTTTAAATGTTTCCTTATATTTTATCAGTTTACAACATTTCCCCAAAACATTATTTGAATTCATTTTCTCTTTATATTTTCTTATCAACCTTTTCCTTAACCTACATTTGTATATATTTCCAACTTGTAAATACTTCACCTCTCTTAACTTCCCGCCCTTTGTCACTTATATAAATAGCTTTTTACTTACCTAAATTTAGCTTGGTCTGAACTAGTCTTTTGTAAATAAATAGTTTTAATTTGTTGGAGTTGGTTTTAATAAGATCCTCATTAAATTGAGAGAGTTTAAACTTAATAAATATATTGAGATCGGGGACATTACATTGGTGCCACGACCCGTCGCGAAATAGACGGAGAAGTAGATGTTTTAGTATATTAAATATATTGAGAATAAAATCATATGATAGAAAAATCAAGCCCCGAACATGGGAGTATTAGCTAATATGTGGTAATGGATGAAAATTGGATGATGGATGAAAATAGGAATTTTTTATAAAAGATCCTTGTGCTAAATCTAGCCTTTAAAATTCGTTTGGTGCGTTAATATGGCTTTGCGCCTTCGCTTAGTGCGTAAAATAGCTTTGTGCTTAAACGGCTTTGTGCCATAGCTTCGTGCTAAAACGGCTTTGTGCCATAGCTGTGTGCTAAAATGGCTTTGTGCCCTAGCTGTGTGCTAAAATGGCTTTGTGCCAGAAATTGATCAGAAAAATATTTTTAGGATTTGTGTGAAATCCTACTATGTGCATTTTTGGGTTTTCTGTGTGAAAACTCGCTGTGTTTATTGAGCTCTCTGTGTGAGTCTCGCTGTGTGCATTGAATTTCTGTGTGAAATTCTGAATTTTTTTCGTCTATTAATAAGACGGCTGTGTGCATTTAAAATAAAGGCTTTGTGCCAAATCCGCTGTGTGTAAGAATATTTGTTTTAAAGTGATTTAATAGGAAATTTTTGTTATGGACCCATTCTCTTGAAATGGAGCATTTATATCTGGGACAAGCAGATATGTCAAAATTTACAAATATTAGGAGCTCAATTGGATTCATAACCCATTCATTGAATGGAGCAATTAATAAATTGTATAACTGGAATATATTTTTATGATCATTAGACATCCTCTGGTTTTTAGCAGATTTAACAGGAGAGAAAAACAGCTGATAAGAGTGACATATAATTAAAGAATGAAGTTTTTAGATGACTCGATTGTTTTTTGAAAAATGAATATAGCATATTTCAACGTTTAATGGATAGAATACGGAGAATTAGGAAATGTAATAGCCTATACGATGACAATCTGGTATATATGAAGAATTTTAAGTCATATATAGAGACACTAAATAATGTTTTTGAAAGACCTGGGATAAACAGATATGTCAAAATTTACAAAAAATAAAAGATCAAGAAATTATAATGGTAATAAGAAGTGGCTAAATATTTTATAAACGCAAATCAAATTTCGTCACGTTTTATAACAGATAAGTTATTGTTAATTTATGCATGTCACCCTATTCAGGAGTAAAAATAAATTTTAATTGGATTGCAAATTTTAACAGATTGCCCATTACAATGATAAAAGTAATATGCCCTGAAGAGAAAGGAGTAGTAAATCTGATATTTAGAGAGAGGAATGTATTCAATAATATTACAGTACAGTATGTTTAATTTACTGGTGATTTAAAATAATTTCATATGGAAGTATTAGAAAAATAGCTAAAAATTGTAGACCTTTCAGAAATAATGTATTTTAAAAATAAATAAATGCAGCTATTTTAGATCTCCACTCCTCTGAAAATTTCAAGATTGTAATAATTTAAAAAAAAATCTAAGAGAGTTAGCAATCCCTCTAAGAAAGTAACCTACTTTAGTAGAGAAGTGTAACGGAAAGCTTGCCATTTTGTAGATTTTCAGCCTCTTAAAAAAATATCCCATTCCAAGAATGGAGCACTATGTTAGCTGCTAGATTTTGTATAGCTTCCTAGCTTAGTCACTGATTTTTAGAAAATTGTACTAGAGAATAAAAACGGAATTGGGTCTTTTTTTTAAGGCTTGATTGCCTTTTGAGTTAAAATGTGCACCTAGTATATTTAAACGTTCAATGGATAAATATAAAAGTTTCAAAAATATATTAGCTTATTTTAATGATAAAAACAGAAAACTTAAACGTTCCTATCTCCTCTTGTAGGAAGATGAAATAATTAAATGAATCAATAGCAAGAGAGCTGAAAAGCAAAAATGGAACATTAATGCCTACTGAAAATAATCTTAAGTTAGAAAAGTTAAAAAGATGGATATGAAACAGTATTTTTTAACACTACAGATTATAAGAAATTTGTACGACTATTGGCTCGTGCTCAGAATATGTGTATAACGCCGGAAAATCATAAGTAATGTTGGCAGTTTTATATGGCAGCCTGAAAAAAAAATCGCATAAATGCGCCTATGTTTTAATAAATAAATGATAGGAGAATTAACGAATTAACCGAATTAAAAGATTTTGCCCTATCTTTTGCAAATATAACCACACAAAACGATTGTGAGAACCTAGAACCTTTAATTACCGATCAGGGATTTGCAGTTCCTATGCAGACTAACAAAATAGAAAATTCGCAAAATTTTCACAATTCTTAAAAAAAAAAGACGACTAAAGAAATAAAAGATTGAGTCGTATAACGCCATAATTGGCAGCTCAAGCAAAGCGGAGCTTTTAAAAAAGATCATATTGGCCAACTGCGGTTGAGAATTTTTGCAGCTCCAGTCCAGTCGAAAATGACTGAGATTTGAAAATAGAATCTTTGAAAAAAAAAATTTTTTTTGTCAAATATTTAAAATTTTTGTATTTTACCTTTCTTTATTTAATACCTTCTAAATATTAACTGATATTGTCTGGAAATTTTCTATGTAATTGTAATTTATTTATAATGGCGAACTTGGAAGAAATTATGGATCTACAAATAGAATATAAACAACAGACAACAAAAACTCCAAAAGGACAAGAAGAATAATTCAAAATTCAAATTATAAAAATTCAGTTCTATGTATTAGCTTCATCAAAATATACCCTAATTTTTAGGAGAGAGTAAAATAAAAAGAGAGTTTAAGTAACATGAGAAACGGTCAAAAAAGGTATATCTGAATTAAAATCCCGCGCAACATTGCGGAGAAGGAAATAATAATGCTGAAGAAATAATAAATCCGTAAGGGGAGATAATAATTAAAACCCCACAGAAATAAGAGGAAATAATTTATTCGTAAATCACGTATCTTTCACCTCTTCCGTCAACTCAATAGTTAGAGAGGCCAAGAATGGCTGGTAACCGTTTCCATTCAAAAACCCACGTAATTGTGAGAATAACTGGTATTGCCTGGATATATTGGAAACTTTGAAAAAAAACAACAAGACACCAATTCTTCTAAAAGGGAAAGGAATGTTGGATTCATGCCTCAACAGAAAATAGACGAGCATTCTTCTAAAGGGGAAAGGAGTGTTGGATCCGGATTTTAAGATTATTTATTATTAGTTTTTTAAAATATTATTTTAATGTTTTTCCTTTTATTTAAACTCTTCCCTCAAAACATATTTTAAATGTTTCCTTATATTTTATCAGTTTACAACATTTCCCCAAAACATTATTTGAATTCATTTTCTCTTTATATTTTCTTATCAACCTTTTCCTTAACCTACATTTGTATATATTTCCAACTTGTAAATACTTCACCTCTCTTAACTTCCCGCCCTTTGTCACTTATATAAATAGCTTTTTACTTACCTAAATTTAGCTTGGTCTGAACTAGTCTTTTGTAAATAAATAGTTTTAATTTGTTGGAGTTGGTTTTAATAAGATCCTCATTAAATTGAGAGAGTTTAAACTTAATAAATATATTGAGATCGGGGACATTACATTTGTCATTTTCTTTTATTTTTCGGTGGGGTACCTTTCCGTAACGCCGATTCCGTGACGCCGTTTCCATGCCGCCGTTTCCGTGATTTCCCAGTTCTGTGACCCTCCCCCCCCCCCCCCCCCAAAAAAAAAATTCCCAACCTTGTTAGGTAAGCTCTCATCGGAACAGCCGTGGGATGGATATCCAGCACGCCACAACCAAGTTTTGGTTAGATAGTATTTTATTAAAAAACAAAATTATATTATTGGGGGGGAGGTCACGGAACTGGGAAGTCACGGAAACGGCGTCACGGAACTGTCCCAGTCCGTTATTTTTAAAGTAACAATAAGTTCGGGCGTTTTTTGCTTTAATCAAAAATAATTTTTAATTTTTCTATTTAGTTAACGAAAAGCATCGTAATTATATTTTGGAATTTCCAATTATCCCAAAAAATCTGGAAGAAATGATTATTAGTCGATGCTGGTTAGAACAGCTTCTTAAATGTACTTTTGAACGTGCCTGGTTTGATAAAATTATTTTTAATCCACAAATGCTTAATTTATTATTTGACAACAGCAAAATTCCAATTAAATTTAACATTGAAAGACCTTCTTTATCGCCTAACAATAATTCGTTTGAAAATTTTTTGCAATTTTCTTTAAATTATTTGACAATTTCTGACTATCTTTGTATTGATTTTGAGGAAATTGACAATTTAGAGCAACATTTAGATATTCTTTTCAATGTTTTAATAAGCGAAGGAAATAAATTATCTAAAGTTTGTTTAAGAAATTTTACATTGACAAGGCTTCATGAACTTATTACAAAAGTAAGCGATTTATTATAAAAGGCTTAGCCCGTAGCCAGCATTTTGGGGGGGGGGGGGGCAAGGGGGGAAAATTTTATGCGGCGAATTTTTGGCGTCGCATTAGAAGGCCGTAGGCCAAAAAAATTCACTTTTTTTTACCAAACCCTTCCCCAAAATTTTTCCTTTTCCCCATTTCGCCCTCCTCTGGCTACGGACTTGGGCTTATCCAAGGGGTCGATTTCAGAAGGGCCATTGACAGATATAGTTTGGAAAATTTTTTTTATTTTTTAGTATATAGCAACATCAAAGAACTGTTCGGAAATGGTGTCTACTATTTTTTTAGATTGTCCTTTATTCACAAATTTTAAATTGGACGAGAGAGCAGAAGATGTTAAGATCGAGATATCTGATAAAATAAAACATACGACATACCGAATTTCCAATATACACAATCCAAAAGTGAAATTTTTGTTTTACAATGTAGAAATAGAAGATGGATCTATTTTTAACATTTATATTTTTAGAACGGATTTGTTGACTGAACAAAAATAGAAATTTGTTTAAAAAATATTTGGTTAAATAAAATTTAAATTTTTTATTTATTTGATTTTTTATTGTTGATCACTATTGTTGATTACAATAATAATTACATAAATTTGTTTAAATGTCCAAAAACTTTTCCGTTTCTTTAAAACAATTTTAAACTTGTAAATATCTTTTATGAATATTTATGGGTTACCAAAATGGACCGACTCGGTCCGAAAAATTTAGTCGGGCACAGGATATTTGACCCGGAAGTGGCAAATAACGGTAATTCCAAACTGTCCCCTTTTCCTCCCCCCCCCCCCCCCCCCCCCCCCCGCCATTTTTTGCTTGCTAAAAATTGTAAATAATTCTCAGATTTTCTCCTTTTCTCTATTCTCCTATATTCCCTTGTCTCCTATATTCCTCCCAAAATCAATCCAAAAGAATGCCTCGAGCATCGGGCCCGACTCGAAAATTGTAGCCCTATTAATAAACATTAATTTTTTTTTTTAGAAGACAAAATTTTATTTTTAAAATGCTCTTCAATCTTTCAACAGAAGCAAAACTTGACGTCTTAAAATGTCTCAATTTTTATCAATTACTTTCTATTCGACAAACAAAACGACATTTTAATGATTTATTTATTCGATATGAAAATGAATTGACTCGCTTTCATTGCAAAAAACTTTATATTGTAATTTTAATTATTTTATTTTTTTAATTTTTATTTTTTAAAGTTGGACAGGAAACGTTTTGTTGAAGTTATTGTTAGTTGTGAGGATATACTTAATGGAATTGATCCTTGTCTGGAAATAGAGCCTAATTTGGGTGATTTTAATTTTACATTGAGTGATCAACTGAAAGAGAAGGTTGGGAATTTTGTTTAAAAATATGGTGATAGTTCGGTTTAGACCCCCCCCCCCCTCCACTCATTTTTCTGACCATTTTTTCATTTTTCTCCCTTATTTTTCATGAGGCAAGTATCAAAAAGAATTAAGAGGACTCCACCACAGAATCATGAAAAATAAGGGAGAAAGAACGAAAAATGAAAAAATGGTCAGAAAAATGATTGGGGGTCTAAACCGAACTATTACCAAAAATATTATTTTAATTGGAATTTTCAGTGGGAATTTTTGATAGGAAGACATCTTTGTTTAAACAAAAATTTGACTGACAATGAAATTTATTTTGTTATTAAAGGTTAATTTTTTATTTTTTTTTTTGATTAATTAAATATTTATTTTTAAAGACAATCCAATGTCACAAAAAGTGCTCTTCAAAATTCCAACCTCTCCAAAAAATATAGACGATCTTTTAATTATTCGTTATTGGCTAGAACGCCTTTTTAATTGTGTCTTTGAAAATGCCAAATTTTTTAAAATTTTGTTTAGTCATCGATTTATTAAATTACTCTTTCATGACTACTCAATTCCTCCTCAATTCAAAATTAAAAATGCTTTTCTAAAATATTATGAACCTAATTTTGGAATGAATTTTGTTTTGCATAATTTGGCTGTATGTGAATCTTTTAAAGTTAAATTTACTTGTGCAGCAGAATACTATGAAATAACTGATGAAAATGAGTTGAATCCAATTTTAAATATTATTTTGAATGAAGGGAACAGATTTCCAAATATTTGTGTTAAATATGCAAAATTAGATGAATGGCATGATGTTATATTGAAGGTAAATAAATTAATTAATGTTCTAATAAGATAAGGAAGATTAATTTGGGTAGCATTTAGAATGCTTATTGTTAGTTTTTAGGTTTAGAGAGTCTATAAAAAAGTAGTCGTCAGCCCTGTAATTCAATGAACAAATCACAGCCTACTGACAATGAGATATAGGTTCGAATCCTGCCTGACGGCTTCAAGAATAAATTAGCTAAAAAATAAGTGCCGTGAGTAAATAAGTTTAGCAATATTGTTTCTTTGGAATGTAATGTAGTTAATTTTTTGCTTTCAATTCTCTAGTATTGGAAACTTATGCCAAAATTCTTTTACTAGAAGAGGGATAGGCAGAAAAGAGAGCATATCTATGAGAAAAAAGGGCCAAATATGGTTAAAATTACTAGTAAAATTAAAATTCTGAACATTTCTCTAGCAAGAAAAGTTGCAAACTTTCAATTAAAATTTATCATCATTAATTAAACTTGAAATTTCAATAGGCAATCGAAACTACAGAAAATCCTTCAAATATTTTGTCCAACATTGACTTTAGAGTTCATTGGGATTATTATGATATGCAACCCAAAAAAATCAGTCAACGAGCTAAGAACATTCAACGATTTACAACAAAATATAAGGGAGAACCTCACAAAGTCTTAAAATATGAAATTACAAATATTCATAATTCTAAAGTGAAGTTCCTGATAAGTTATTGGGATTGTATTGACGAAGATTATATTGACCGATTCCAAGTTGAACGAATTAAATAAATAAATTTAAATTATTTTTGTTGTATTTTAGAATGCCTATACATGGGGAGGCAGCAAACTTTTTTGTTTTGTTTCTGTCTTTCAAGCGATAAAATTAACAATTCTTTTTTTTATTTGATTTGGAACTGTTAGAAAAATTCTAGGAAATATTTTTGAAAACAAAATTTTTTTCTAAAAAAGTTCAATAATATGGATTAAGAAATCGGTCCCTAAGGGGATCTCTGATCGTCGTAGAAATATGTATTTACATATTTTAAGAAATCCTATGATGAAATGTACTTTGCCATTTCATCATTTAGGGGGATACCCTCTTGCAATGAAAAATACTTCTCGAAAAATGAAATTCTTTTTACTATTTTTATTGAAAATTATTAATATTTTTTATTTTTACTTGAGATTAACATTACGTGAGCTCTCAGGAGTCTTTTATTATATTCTCGTTACATTTAGCCAGATCTACATTATAGTATCACAATTGTATTTTGTTTAGAAATTGTTATAAGGAACATTGTTGTCTATTTGTTTAATTCATATGAATATCTAAGGAAAACTAAAATTGTCATATGGCGAGACTTAAATTATTTTGTCATAGGAAATAAAATGATGAAATCACTCTAATTTGTAAGTGCTTTTCGGCTTCCCTTTAAAATCCCCTTTTAAATTCATTTATCGAAAAATAAATTCAACTTCTTTTAAAAAATGAATTCTTTAATAATATTAATTATTTTTTTAAATAATTATTTGTTAATATTTTGTGTTTTTGCTGGAAATAATAATAGTAGTGAGTAATGTTTTATAAAATATACCTATAAATATCTGTCATCCCCACATGTACGTCAAAAAAAGGGGAAAAATTTAAAGATTTTATTTTTAACAGTTCAACCAACTCTTTTTAATTTCAACACAAATTCTGGCGACTCTCGATCGAAAACTCAACCAAAAAATCAAATTGGATTTAATCGGAAGATTGGAAATTGTAAATATTTTTTAATTTTATTAATAATTTAAATAAAAAAAATTTTTTAGCAAAGTTTTTATCAGCAAATTCAAAAGAACGACATAGAAATAATTCTGTTATATTAGCAAAGGCTAATAAAAATGAAGTTAAAGAGGGGTCTCCATCAGAACCTTGTAATTTTTCCTTGACTGAATTTAAGTTTTGAATAAATAGTGAGTAGAGAGCTGGATCTGGATTTAGACCTTGATTTTCCCTGGATCCAGAGTGTCCAGATCAAGGCATTTTTCAGAGTTCCTTGATTTTTCCTTGACTCAAGGTGAAGAATCTGGTCAAGGCCCTAACCGAAATCAAGGTCAAGGTTTTTTTGAAAATCTCGCTCTCTAATAGTGAAACAAAATCTGTGGATAATAATGAGATCAGATAAAATAACTTAAATGTTTTTGATATAATAATTGTTAAGAAAGACCTCGTAAGGTAGATCAACATTAGGGGTTTACGATATCTAATTTTTAAATGGAAATAAATTTTTAATAAAAAATTGGCAAAATGTTTTTTTGACAATAAATCCTAATGGTTAGAGAATTTGATGGAATTCTCTGCCCTATTGTTTTCATAAGTTGTTTTTGTTTTCATTGTTTATAGATTTAGTTTAATCAATTCTTTAAAAATAAATCAAAAAATTTTATCAGCTTCATCTATAGCTAGATCTGCCATGTTTTTCAATCGTGCAGCTACTGCTCCTTTTAAAGACCGCCATGATGCTGGGCAAAAATTGGCTGAAGCTTTAAAGAATTTTAAATCTCAAAGGGACAAAGTTGTGGTTTTAGCATTGCCACGAGGAGGTGTGCCTGTGGCTTTTGAAGTGGCAAAATCGCTGGGGGCACCTTTGGATTTGTTAATGGTTTTCTCTTAATTTTTTAACTTTTTAAAATTTTCTCAAGGTTCGCAAAATCGGTGCTCCAGGACATGAAGAATATGGAATAGGTGCTGTTGTTGAAGGTAACCCTCCAGAATTGGTTATGAACGAGGATGCTGTTAAATACACTCAACCTCCAGAGGGATATGTTGAAGCAATGATGGAAAAACAATTGAAGGAAATTGCACGACAGAGAAATGTTTTTTTATAATTTTAAAATTTCTTTGTCCAAAAAGGGCCAATTTTACTGGGAAAATTTTTCTATAAAAATTTTTTTATTTTCCCAAAAACAATTTTTTACTTGATTTTCTTCTCTAAAATTCATAATAATTTAGCGTTATTTGGGTGACCGACCTCCTCTTTCACTTGCCGGCAAAATCGCAATTGTTGTTGATGATGGAATAGCTACAGGAGGGACAGCAAGAGTAGCAATGAAAGCGTTACGTCAAAAGAATGTTGCAAAGGCATTGCTGGCATCCCCTTTAGCTCCTTCTGATACTCTTGGTATTTTTAAATGATATTTCTCTATCAAAAATTCAAAAAATTCTCTTAAGCCGAACTTCGTGCGGAAGGCAATGAAGTGCTTGTTCTTGAAACCCCTCCAAATTTTTCTGCTGTTGGACTTCATTATACAAAATTTGACCAGACTAGCGACGGTAGGTATATATTTATAAATATTTTTAATTAAAATATTTTTAAGAGGAAGTAATTGATTGCTTGGAAAAATCGAGGGAATGGTTAAATAATGATTTAAAGAACTAAATTTTTAATACTATATTTCTAATTTTATTTGGATTTTATTTAAATTACTACTATTTTTGTAGTTGTAAAGCCAAAAAATATTTTGCAATTATTTTACAGATTATTTAAATAATAAAAAATTAATAATTATTTATTTACATTTTTATATCCCTCTTTAACTAACATGAAATCAAAATATTAACAGAAAAAATAAGTAAAGCAAAAAATAACATGTATCAGAAAATAGGGGGGATTTCAATAACTATTAGAAATGCTAAAAAATAATTTAATTCTGATCCATGTTTTTAAACAAAAAATGATTTAAAGTAGAATACTTGAATGGTTTTTGAAGTGAAAATTTTTTTAATCAGGCTAAAGATAAGATTTTTAAGAGGGTTCATAAGACTAAAAAAATTTTCAGGCAGTTTTCCTATTTAACTCCATTTTCAGAGGATCTTTAGCTTGTTTTTATTAAGAAAGGAAAAGATCTGAATTTTAAAACATTAACAAAAACTTAAAAATGTTTGGGTGAAGAAATACAGAAAATAAATTCAATTTGTTACTTGTCAACATCGTTTAGAAAGGATTGAATGCCCACAGCCATTGCAACTGGACTTATTTTCCTCGAAATTAATTTTTTAAAATATATTTAAAAAACTTGTCTAATGTAAAACTCCCATATTGATCATCACAGATTTATTTTTTTATTTCCTTCAAGTTCAATCGGTGGATCTGAATCCCGACAATCATTAAAGGGATTGACGGGATTAAGAGGGATATCGGTGGTTCCAAATTTGTTGTGCTAACTTTACTATTTTTTAAATTTATTTTAGATTCAGGTGAATGGCATGTTCGAATGTCCGTGCCGGATCAAGGCCATCTACCCAGGAAATGGCACCGTCGTTGTATATAACCTTGACCGCGGGGTCAACCGGGGATGAGTGATTGGCGGGATTAAGGGGGATATAGGTAGACTTGGGGGGAGGGATTAAATTGGCATACTTTGTTGTTTTAGTCCAATGGTATACGTCTATCTCCAAACTTTCCCAACAACACGTCTCTTCCTTGATGCGCTTCAGCGCAACTGGTTCTGGTCTCGACACGATGGTCGTCGTCAGACTCCTGATGGCGAGGTTGAATACTACAATTGTCGGGTCTGATTTAAAAAAAATTTAATATAGAATGAATACAGAAAGATAGGCAGGAAAATTTTTCGGGGGGGGGGGGGGGAGGGGGGGGGGGGGTTCAGTCTCTTGGCAAAATTTCAGCCTCTTGGCATTTATGCTAGGGTTTTCGCTTTACCAACTGAGCTACGGGAACGCTACATAGCTACGGGGACCCCAGCCATAAAGCGCTAGCCAGCTGGATCTTTCTCTTTCTTTAAATTATCTAAAATTTAATACCCTCCCCCCCCCCCCCCCCCGAAAAATTTTCCTGCCTATCTTTCTGTATTCATTCTATATTAAATTTTTTTTAAATCAGACCCGACAATTGTAGTATTCAACCTCGCCATCAGGAGTCTGACGACGACCATCGTGTCGAGACCAGAACCAGTTGCGCTGAAGCGCATCAAGGAAGAGACGTGTTGTTGGGAAAGTTTGGAGATAGACGTATACCATTGGACTAAAACAACAAAGTATGCCAATTTAATCCCTCCCCCCAAGTCTACCTATATCCCCCTTAATCCCGCCAATCACTCATCCCCAGTTGACCCCGCGGTCAAGGTTATATACAACGACGGTGCCATTTCCTGGGTAGATGGCCTTGATCCGGCACGGACATTCGAACATGCCATTCACCTGAATCTAAAATAAATTTAAAAAATAGTAAAGTTAGCACAACAAATTTGGAACCACCGATATCCCTCTTAATCCCGTCAATCCCTTTAATGATTGTCGGGATTCAGATCCACCGATTGAACTTGAAGGAAATAAAAAAATAAATCTGTGATGATCAATATGGGAGTTTTACATTAGACAAGTTTTTTAAATATATTTTAAAAAATTAATTTCGAGGAAAATAAGTCCAGTTGCAATGGCTGTGGGCATTCAATCCTTTCTAAACGATGTTGACAAGTAACAAATTGAAAAAAATAAAGATTAGATGATAAAGGAAAGCTGGATGAGTAATCGAAAAATTTTGGGGGTGACTTCCGCATCCAGTTTCAGGAGTTCATTTATTTAAAATGAACTCCTGTGTTTTCATTTAAAAATGTTCAGAAATTTCGAAACAGCCCTGTTAGACTTTTTAGAATTTGTTTATATATTCAATCAGATCCCTTCCCAGTCTTAACTTTCTTTAGAATATTAATACAATATCAAAATAAAATTTAAAAAATCACCAAAATCAATGTCCATGTCCTCCATGGCTTATTGAAGAAATGAAAGCAGGAATTAATGCAGAAACACAGAAAATTAAAATATCAAAGATTGAAGGTCTCCCAGAAGATTGTGAAGTACTTAGTCCTCCAAGTAATAATTCTCGACTTCCATTCATTCCAGAATTTTGGATTGAAGAACATCGGGATTCCTTAAATATTTAAAAATATAAGTTTTGTCTAAAAGAATCTCCCAAACCATTAATTCTGGCATAACATGAACAGTCGCAATATAAAGAAAAGTGCCCGCAGAAAAGAGCAAAATTAAGCCAGTAACATTCGAAGATGGAAGTGTTTCTCCCGTCATAGGTCCTTCAACTGTTCCAGAAGTCTGAAATTTATTTTTAAAAAATTTTAATTTACAAGATTCAAACCATTTGAAGTAAAGCGTAGGTAACAACAGTTCCAATTGGAGCAGCCAACGAAAATATTAGTAAATGCCGGCGTATCCTCAATTTGTCTAGACCTTGTGCCAAAAGAATACTGGTAAGAGCAAATGCTGCGGGGGCCTTTTTAAAGTTAACTTTCTAAACAAATCGTAAAAATTTAAAGAAACCTTATGTAACATAATAGCAACAAAAACGAGCATTTGCATTTCCAATTTGGATCCGGCACTTGACGCGCTTCCCATAGCTATTCCGTCAGCTTGAAAAATATTTTTTTTAATTTAAAAAAAGAAATAATAAAATAAACTAACCAAATGCATGAATAACCAACCCAATTGTAGAAACACTTTTACTATTATTTCTGCCATATGTCCCCATTTTTGTTAATTGTTCAATTACAAACATAAATAAAAATCCAATCAGAAGAGGAAAACCAATTTTCCCATCAATACTATTTTTATGCTGACTTTCATCAAAATGTTTATCTGGATGATTTTTATTGTATAAGACTTCACGTTTTTTAGGAAATTTTGCTAAATTTTTGTTGTTTTCTTCTTTAATCTTATTATTTTCGATTGGTGCAACATTATTATCTTTACTTTAAAAAAGAAGAATGTGATAATTCGTCGGTTTAGACACCTCCCTCCCTCCACCATTTTCCAGAATTCTTTTGTGGCATCTGTTATCTTATTATGGCTAATTATAAATCATTCGAAAGAGCTTTCCGAGCTGAGTCGAATGTAGCTAAAATAAACAAAATCTGATCTAAATGAAGTTATGATCACGTGTATTAATCTCTTGCAGAGGAACAAAAGATCCAGCTTCTTAATTTTCTTAGGTATCACCAAATCTACCCGATATTGGTATCATTCTACCCAGCTCGAAGAGCTCTTTCGAATGATATGTGCTAAATTATAGCTCAAGTAAAAAACCTCAAAATGGTCAAACATTTATGAAAATGGTGGGGGGTCTAAACCGAAGAATTCCCGAAAGAATTGTCTTTAAATTAAAAAAAATTTTACTTTTTATTATCAACTTTTCCCTCATTTCGCTGATTCCTCAATCGCTGATCATCATTGACAAGAGGAACTACTGCAGGTTTAGGTATATTCAAAGCCATCTGTTCAGAAAGTTTTGCTTGGACTGGCTGATTTACTTAAAATTAAAATATTTTAAAAGAAATACCTCAAAAATTTACTTATTTGTTGATTCTCTAAATGAGAATTAGATGACTCCAAAAGTGCAGAAACTCCTTCAGGAATTATTACACAAAGAGCAGTGCCAACCAAAAGACCCGCACCAAATATACTAGCAATTCGAATTCTTTTCTTAATTTTGTTAAAATTAAATAAAATTAAAAAATTAATTTCTTACCTCATTCAAAGTAAAAAACAAAGGAATGCAACCAGCAAAATAGGAGCCAACAAATAATGTAAGAGAAATGAGTGCTAAAATAGGCTCATCCATAAAAACGTTTTTTCTTTCTATTTAAAAAATAAAAAAAGATTAGAGAAAAATCAAAAAAAAAAATATTAAATATTTTTTAATAATAAATTTAAAAAAAATAATAAAAATTAAAACATTCATTTATATTTTAGAATACATAATTAAAAACAAGTCTAAATTAACTTTAAAAAATATTTTAACGAATGTCCATTCCAAATTTGTCAACTAAATAAGATTCAATCTTCTTATGAATAACATTAACTTCTTCTTTGGAAAGTGGACGGTCCATACTTCGGTATGTAATTCTATAAGTTTGGCTTTTACGTCCAGTCTTCTTATTTAAATATTCATCCGACAATGATACCTAGAAAATAGAAAAATGTGAAGAAGAAAATATTACAAGATAATTATTATGATTGCTCCCCACTGGGGGTGGGGGGGGGGCTACAGGGATAAGTTTTCGGGGAGACAGCGCCACGAGGGGAGGAGGGAGGATTTAAAAACGTCTCGAATTTCCCGACTACCGGGAACGAAGAACAACCCTAATAATTATGGAGTATAGAGAGGCGTAATTGAGAGAATTTTCCCTCATTGAAACGGGAAAATAAAGGAAAATTAGCAGGAATAGGAGGATTCAGGCCCGTAACCAGGGGGGGTGGGGGGGGGAATTCCCCCCCCCCCCCCCCCCCGAAATGGGAAAAAGGAAAAAATTTGGGGAAGGGCTGGGGCAAAAAAAGTGAATTTTTTTGGCCTACGGCCTCTGAAATTTAAAAAATTTTCGCCTGCGGCGCTAAAAAGGAAGAAATCTGGCTTCTTTAGGTCCAAAATTCAAAAAATTTTCGCCTGCGGCGCTGAAAATCAAATTTTTGGCGCCTGCGGCGCCGAAAAAGTGAATTTTTTTGGCCTACGGCCTTCTAAAATTCTCAAAATTTTCGCCTGCGGCGCTGAAAATAAAAATTTTTGGCGCCTTCGGCGCCAAAAAATTTCCCCCCCTCGAAAAAAATCCTGGTTACGGGCCTGGGAGGATTGATAATGAAAGATGGGTCGAAGGCGAAAAATTCTGAAGATCCTCCCTCCCAACATCATTTTCCTTTACTTCGGGTCCTAACCAATGTTTAAATAAATTAGCAATACTTGTTCGATCAAATCTCCTCCAATCATTCGAATAACATCAAAAACATCAGAACGTAATGATTCAATACTAGAATCCCCTTCAAAGATTTCTGGCAACCAAAAAGAAATATCCATAAAAAGTTGTGGTTGTTTGCTGATTTCTTTGTATTTTACAACATCTGAGGGACTTAGTCCCTTAAATTGATTGATGAAGCCTGTATCCTCCGACCAAAAGAGGCGTATGTCTGGAATGCCATAAAGGATCATTGCGAGACGTTCAAGACCTAAAATTAAATAAAAAATAGAAATGTTGTTTCCTTCCAACAGTGTTAGTGATAAACATGCTAAGCAAAGAGGTCAGGCCCATAGCCAGGGATAGGGGGCCCCGAAATTGGGAAAAGGAAAAATTTGGGATAGGGTTTGGGCAAAAAAGTGATTTTTTGGCATACGGCCTTCGAAAAAACTTAAATTTTTATAGGACATACCAGAAAATTAAAAAAATAATTCACAATTATTTACCTAATCCAAAAGCCCATCCAACACGTTCTCCCGCTCCTGCCGAATCCAAAAGGCTTTGTTCCATTATTCCACACCCAAGAACCTATAAAAATAAAATTATCAATAATTTGCCTAAATATTTCCATTCTCAAACCTCCAACCATTTATCTTCAAACAAAACTTCCAATTCAAAAGATGGATGGGTAAACGGAAAATATGTTGGAGTCCATCGCATTTGAATTTCGCCTTCTGGTTTTGCACCAGAAAAAATTGCCTGACATAACATTTCGAGTGTTTTCTTAAGTTCTGATTCGAGTAATTTTGCTGTAGCAATAGTATGAGTTTCTTGTTTTTCGTCAGTTCGAATAGGTTCAGAATCGTGATGGATTTCTTCAAAAAAGGGCATCGGAGCATCTCTTCCAAACAATTCATGGGGCGCATATGTTCGAACACCTAACAATTTAAAAATAAAAACTAAAATGAAAAATAAACCTTCGATTTGATGAAAACATGGGAAATGTGTCTGAAAATAAAAAAATTGAGAAAAATTAGAAGTTAAAATAATAGGAAAAGCAAGGACTTCAATTCCATTAAAATAATTTTCTAGGAAGAAAAAATTCTCCCAAAAATAAAAAACCTTATCAATTTCGTCTCTTCTGTAAACATCACCAACAATAAGGAAATTGTCCAGCCCCTTCTTAAGCAACTCAAATTGATGCGCAGAAGTATGGGCACGAAGACAAAAATCATCACTAGCGTAATAAGTGTCGGATGTCCGTCGAGATGGATGAGCTTCGGGAATTAGAAGAGAATCAAAATTTTCAAAAACATCCACCAAACGGGGCTCATTCTCACAAATGGCGAAGAGCGGAGAACTGGCACGTGGCTTTCTAAAATATAAAAATGTGATATTTTTATGAAGAACCGATAAAAGAGAGTTAGGCTAACATAAGCAAACGACAAAAATAAAAGACAGTCAGAAATTTATTTCGGAAAATTTCCCACAGGAAATTTTTAAAAATAATTTAGACCTACACGGAGAGGTTGCGAGGTGTCCGACCTAAAAACGGTCGAAACCGGGATCATTCGATAGAGAATGCGCCCTTTCTAGCAAGGACTTTGGCAAGCCATACTTTGGCCAGATCAAAAAACGAGCAAAAAAGGCTCAAAATCCTTGCTAGAAAGGGCACATTCTTTATCAAATGAGCTCGGTCTCAACCCTTTTTAGGTCGGACACCTCGCAACCTCTCCGTGTTAGAATATTCCCATAACTTTTAAAAATATAATATATTCAAAAAAAACCTATAGGTCAAATTGAAGTAATCCGTAATTTTTCTTTTCAACAAATTGAGTGGATTTCCCTCTTCCTCCAAAAGTCTGCGTTGTAATAACTGCTCGACTCGTGTTGAAATATTCCAAATATCCGGAGATGTTGCAATACGTCTCCCGTCCAATTCAAAATGACTCGGAGCATCAAATCGTAAGCATGAAGGTTTTGGCTGCTCTTGCTTTAAATTTTTGCAGGTTGCATCCAATGAATAAGGTCTAAAATTAATTTTAGATTTTTAAACAAAAATTAGAAAAAAAACCTGATTAAATGGAAGTAATTTAAATGTAATTGTCCAGCTACTGAATAATTAACTAAAAGTAATTTAGAAAAAACTTTCATAGTCAGGTGTTAAGAAACAACAATTTTCTAAAATTTTAAATTTAAGAAAAACTTTAAGGTGGAAAAAAAAATTTTTTAAAACAGAAAATTTAATCGCAATGAAATGGACGTTACAGACAAAATGGTACAGAACAAAATGTTCACGACAAAATGGTACATCCTTAATTCGTCCTATTACGATTCGTCCCACATCAATTTGGCTCATTCCTAATTCGTCCCACTGAACAAAAACCACTGATGGCAAATTAAGAGGAAGAAATGAATCAAAAAATAGATATAATAGATAAATCATTTCAGAAAAATATTTAACTTTATAAAAATGCAACATAATAAAAGTAAATTTAAAAATATTTTGGGGTTAAAACTTTGGTAAATGACATTGAAAAAATATTGTTTGTCCGTGAACAGTCTTCTGTAGTTAATGCTTAACATAAGACCCTCCTTCCCCCAAATAGTTTTGTGTTCGAACGGTGAAAAGTGAAAAACTCTCACGTGTATTGCTAAATTTCAATTTTATATAATAAATCATACAATTTAATTTCTGCATAATAAAATTTACAAGGTGTTCTACTTATATAAAAATTACGGTACTTGTGGGTTATCCCTACAGACTTTTTTGAGGACTTTATTTGCGGCACAATTTTACGGAATGGTCAGCGTTTCTCCCTCCCTCTCTACTATGCACATGTCAACCTATTAACCAAGATTAAATATTTTTCTTGGATGTACTTAACTGCACTAAAGTAAAGTTAGGCCTTAAGTTCGGCCTAAATATATATTCGTTTAGATCAAATTTAATCCTTAACGAGGGAGAAAACTTACCATTCCGTACAGTCTGTAGGGATAACCCACAAATACCAAAAATACTATGTAGTAGAGATCGGTATTTTCAAAAATCCTGGATCTGGATTCCAGATTTAGGTTAGTAACCTGGACAGGATTCTGGATCCAGAATAAATCCAGGACGATCAAAATATGCCTGGATATTGTCTCTGGATCCAGGAAAAATCCAGACGGGATTCAGATCGATCTCTACTATGTAGTTATACATATCTTAAATTCAATTTAAATAAAAATTTTTTTAAATCCCCAATGTTGTTCCAAAAATTAAAAAAAATTTTTCCGAATTTTTCTTGCTCTAAAAATCTCTCTTTTTATGTATTAATAAATTTTTCAAAATTTTTCTCATTTAAATAAGAAGCTCCAATTTTAATTTTTTCTTCTTCATCTACTTCAATATATTTTTTAAAATCATTTTCCTTTAATGATTTAATTTTATCTTTCAATGATTGAACAATAATATTTTCTTTAATTTTTTCTTTTTTAATTTTAAAACCAATAACCCAACTAGTACATTTCCAATCCTTAAAAAATTGAAGTTAATTTTAATTAGAGAGGCCAACTCTAATTAAGAAAGAAGATGTTGATGGTAATGCTTGCGGTGAATAAAGTTGCCAGAGGTAGCGTAGAGAGCGGGGTGAATGATTATTGGTATACCCCAGGGGTGTGCGAGTTTCGCGTTTCGCCTTTCGCGGATTTTCGTGTTTTTTGGACTTTCGCGTTTCGCGTGTCGCTTTTTAAAATCCGTTTCGGCACACTCCTGGTATACCACTTGGTCTGGCTCTAGGCCGACCGAACATTAGGCCATTGATTAATGAAGAACTAAGTTGGAATGAACATCAACTAGGCCGCTTTTCCTTATTTTCCTTCAGCTTAAATGCACCTTCTCTCTAGGCGGGGCCTTACAATAATCATTTATTTAAAAAAACCTTTTCTTTTATATTCGTTACTTCTGGACAATTTTCTCTTTTAAATAAAGCTTTTGGGTTTATATGGAAATATTCAATAAATTTTAATGTTTCAAATTTTTTTATTATAAGAAATGTTAAATGACTTTCGATAATATCACAAATTGAAGGACCTTCCAAACTTTCTGGGGAATAAGCACAAATAACGAGTAAATAATGTTCATACTAAAAATAATTGTTTAATTGTTTGATTAAAAAATATTTAATTTTATTAAAAACTTTATCTCATTCTTTGAAATAAAAACTTTAGGATTAATGGTATAAATATTCTGTTCGTTTATTTTAACTGGGTTTATTAAATATTATTTCAAAAAGTAAATAGTAAGGTTATTCCTCGACTTGGGGACACGGGGCAAATTCGCGAGGAGGCAGTGCCAAACGTAGGAGTGGTGGGTCGAAAATTTAAAGAATTTTGGAAGTCATAAAGCAAGGGCGGGGTAAAATTTTAGTAAATAGAGGATAGGTGGCATTAACTTATTTCTCAATTAGAGTTGTCGGTTTCACCAAATTCTTTGGTTAACACAAACCAATCAAACCGAACCAAAAATCTTCGGTTTTCCGGTTCGGCTCGGTTTTTTCAACCCTATTCTCTCAATCCTTTTCAAACTGAGCGAGAATTACTCTCTCACTTAAAAAACAAATTTTATTTAATAAAAATATTTTGAAAAATATTAAATGTCTTTAACCATTTTTATAAAATTTTCTCCATTTATCCATTCATTCCATTTTTCAATAATTTTATTTTCACCTTCCAACATTTCAATTTCATTTAATTGTTTAATTGCTAAAAATTAATTAATGTAAAGCATATAGCTATTAATTTCCTAAGGCTATTCAGTAGGCGGCGTGGTGTAATGGCTAACACATCAGTCCGGTCTACTGAAGATGCTGGTTCGCTCCCAGCCGCCGATTAACCTTTTGCACTGGCTAAAGGAGAGAAATAGCTATAGCCCAGCTGCTTTACTCTATTTAAATTTAAATTTCTCTAACCATTTCCGATTCTTTCTTCAATTAAAATTTTTGTAAAATAATTAATTTTATAAGCAACATTTTGTTGTGGATAACTTAAATCATTTATTTCCAAAATAATTTTTGTATTTTCTGAAGATAATAAACTAGCAAAACCATTATTCTTCAATTCCAATTCTCTTCTTTCTTTTTCATTTTTTAACTTCCAATCTTCAATATTTTTATTTTTATCTTCTTCTATTTTTATAATTTTATTTTCTTTCCTTTAAAAATAAAATTATTTTTTAAAAATAAATTTATAGGGGTCTTTTACTCACATAATTTCAAAAAATTCATTGAAAATTTTTTCAATTAAAATTTTTGTTGAATTTTCATTTTTATTTTCTTCAATTGTTTTATAAACCAAAATTGAAAATATTTTATCATTTAAAAGACCAAATATTTCTCCAAAAATTGAATTATCTAAAAGAAATTATTTTCAAAATTAAAGGGAGAGAGAGATTTTTGTCAGAATTTAGAATAAAGTTTAACTTTAATTAATTTAGGGAGACTTTGATCGAGGAACTAAATCCTCCACACATCCAATCTTTTTAAAACCAACATCATTCGACTCAGCTAACATTAAATTATAACGGTAGCTGAGACTTCCATTAAATTATGTAGGGATGATTCACCTAGAGCATTTAAAACGTTTAGGCGAGGGTTAAACGATCTAAAAGGATAAAAGAGAAAGCATTAGTAGTCGCCTCGGTAGCTCGGTGGTAGAGCACCTGCACTTCTGTGAGCAACTGTGCGAGCAACCGAATCCTACCCAGTGGCTAGGCTTTTGCTACTATAAGTAGTACTCTTTCTATTATAAGGAGTATTGTATGTATAAAGAATAAGTTTTTAACGAATAAAAATTTAAATACTTACTTATAGCCCAAACTCTTATAACTTTAAATAATTTCCAAAACTTTTCTTCAATTCCCTTTAATATTTGTAACATATGTAAATTTGAACGATTTTCTTAAATTATTAAAATTAAAAATATTTAAATTTTAGTATCGTCATATGTGAAGGAGAAATTCGAAATTAAAAAAAAACTTGTGAAATAGGGGTTTATTTTTGGAAAATTTTCTGATGCCCAAAACCGAACCGAAATATTATCGGTTCCGAACAATGATGAGAAAATTTCAGTTCCGGAACTAGACCATGGAACACCATGGAACCGGTAAAGGTCTGGAACCGGTTTGGAACTGGAACCGCCAAAATTAAAAGTTCCAGAACTGGAACCGGTTCCATAGAAATTTTGGAACTTTCCCATTACTGGTTCCGGTCCAACAACTTCTGAATTATTAAAAAATATTTTAATAATTTTTGAAATTATTTTTTAATTAATTTAAACAAAATACCTACCTGATAATAAATAAATTTCTCCCTTTAAATTATCTGATTTTTTAACAATAAAACTATTAATTACATCTTCAATAATTTCAATTTTATATTTTTTATTTGAATTAAATATTTTACTAAATATTTTTTCAAATTCTTTCCCAAATACTTCTTTTGTTACCGAAATTAGGTGTAAATTGAAATAAATATTTTTAAAATTAATTTTTATTGTCGGGCTATAATATTCGATTTTTCGGATAAATTCAATTTCTTCACTCTTAAAAAATATAAAAATAAAGCTAGTTAAATCGAGATTTTAAATCCGTATTTGCTAAAATAAACCCAGGGTAATTATTGTTTCAACCTTTACCTGGTAGGGGTAATTAAAAGGGACGGGGTAATTATTTGAGCCTTTTTTAAAGGCTAATTATCACCAGACCTGGTCATGGATACGGATACAGATAATACCAAAATGCCTGCGGATATCCGCCTGTATCCGCCGTAAATATCCGGATACGGATACCAAAATCAGTATCCGTGACCAGGTCTGATTATAACTATTTTCAGGAGGGGTAATTATTTTTTCGATCTCTGGATGTAGGGGGTAATTAATAGGGAGGGGGTAATTATTTGAGAGAGGAATAGTTCAGCATACGGTAAATACATTTAACGATAAGAAAGATGTGAAAATCGAGGTGTATTTAAAATTGGGATCTTTGTTATTTAAACAGTTGGTCGGGTTTTTTGGATAAATTTTAATTGGAATCATAAAGACTTGTCTGGACATATGGGTCATCAACTAGTCAAGAGACAAAATTTTCTAGATACACTAACAAATAAAATTTCATTAATATCCATTTAATTAATTAATTAACCTCACAAAGAATGCAAAACAAAGAATTAACATTTTTACACATTTCTTTTCTTTTAAATGTACATTTTGTGGTATTATTTCCAAAAAATTCATTTTTATTTAATTCTTTAGTTAAAATAATTGTTTCAATAATTTCCTCATTCTCAAAATTATTTAATTCAAATAAATAAGAATTTATTGGGAATAAATGAACATCCTAATAAAATAAAATAATTATTAAAAATATTAAATTAAAATTATTTTTGTAACGATTAATATTTTAATTCTTTAAATACCGTATTTGCTAAAATAATTGCCCAGGGTGATTAATGTTTCAACCTCTCGCTGGAGGGGGTAATTATCTGAGCTTCTTTTAAAAGGTTAATTTTAACTATTTTTAGGAAGGGGTAATTATTTTTTGATCTCTGGATATATGGGGTAATTAATAGGGATGGAAGAGAGGGACATTTTTATTTGAGATTGGGACATTATTTCAGCATTTACGAACTCTTTTATTTATTTTCAAATTATTTAAAATATTATAAATTCTACATATTACAAACTTCTTTATTGTTTACTTCAGCCCATTTATTTATAAATTTATCTTGTATTAACTTTAATAATTCCTCAACATTAACATTATTTTTATTTAATTTCTCATCAATAATTGTATCAAGCTAAATAATTTTAATTAAATTAAAAATTTATTTATTTCATTAAAATTTTATCTCTCTGATTAGTTTTGATTAGCATTAAGTTTTATTATATAATTTATGCTAAAACGGAGGAGGCTTGGGACAACGCCAGAAAAGTGATGGGGATTTATTCCAATGAAATAAAATTAATGTAAGGCCAGTGAATCCTTCCAGCCTAGCAAATAAAGGAAAAATGGAAACAATTAGAAGATGGTGGAATGGTTGTGTTTCTCTTATTTTTTAACCACGTATCTCATTGTGTTTTGTATTTATCTCATTTATTTTATCTTATAAATTTTGCGACATTCGAGAGGCTGATTGGGAATAGAGATCGGTCTGGATCCAGTCTGGATTTTTCCTGAATCTAGAGTCTAAATCCAGGCATTTTTTGATCGTCCTGGATTTTCCTGGATCCAGACCAAGAATCCTGTCCAGTTTACTAACCTAAATCCAGATCTAGACTTTTTGCTAATACCGATCTCAAATAGGGACTACAATTAAATTTTATCTCTAAAAATATTTATTTACCAATTTTGAAACTTTTTCTTCATTTTCACTTAATTTTGGATTCTTCTCCACAACTATTTCCGTTTCAATCTGTTTCTTCTCAATTTCCTCAATTTTTCTAAATTTTTCCTCCTCAATTTCTTTTTCATATTTTTCTAAGTCTTCTTTTAATTCCTCCTCAACTCCTTTTAAAAAAATATTTTCTTCTTCTTCAACTAATTCTTTCTTTTCTTTTATTTTATCCTTCAAATTTTTAATTAATTTAATTATTTTTGTATAATTAATTAAATTTATTAAATGATTTCTTCCTTTTTTAGTTGATAGAGCTAAAAATTAAAATATTACTTGTTATTTTAAAATATTTTCAAGACCTTAATACTTACCTCAATATTAGAGTTGAACGGAAGTTTCGGTTCCGGAAAGTTTCGGTGTTTTTTAGGTTCCGGTTCCGGTCAAAATTTCGGTTCCGGTGAAACACTACTCAATATGTAATATATTGGTTGGCCATCACGTGGGGAGGGGATGGAGAGAAGTTGCTTACAGGAGATACTCGCATTAAGATAATCCTCGTTATCGCGTTATTATGTTCATGCTGTGGAATTGAGGAATTCATTGGATGGGAGATGGAATAGAATCATCTTAGAATGGGCTTAGACCATCTAACCCGAAGATTTATTATTCTTATTTTCAGTAGTTCCTTTAATACTACCCTGGGTAATTATTGTTTCAACCTTCCGCTGGAGGGAGTAATTAATCGAGGGAGGGTAATTATACGAGGGTAGAAATTTGAACGATTTTAGGGCATTTGTTTGGGGGTAGATTTTTCAATCTATCGTTAATGGGGTAAATAATGCAAGTGTGGTAATTATTTGAGGAGGGATACTCTTTTACACAAATTTTTTGGGGCTAAAATACACAAATTTTTTGGGGCTAAAATACACAAATTTTTTTAACCCCAAAGCTGAAATCTAATTTATACCTTTAATCACAATTTTATACAATTCCTTCCTTTCTTCTCTTTCATTATTTTCCAAATTTTCTTCTTCCCAATTAATTTCTTTTTCCAAAACTTTTTCCATTTCTTCATTCAAAAATTCTTCAAATTCTTCCATTTCTTGTTTATTCCCCAAATATTTTCCATTTTCTATATCCTTCCAATTTTTAATTAATTTATTTTTATTTTCTTCTTTTAAATTCTTCCAAATTCCAAATTGTATTTTATTCATTAAATTTCCTTCCTTTTCCAATTCATTTTTATTTTTTAATTCAAATAATTCATCATATTTACTAAAATAATAACTTCTTCTAAATACCCACATTTTATTTAAATATTCAATTTCTTCATTCTTTTCCTCAAATTTTTTGTCTACCCAAATTACCCAAACCAAAAAATTTAAACTATATTTATTTGCCAATTTAAATTCTTGATTTTTTTCTTTTGCTTTAATATAGCTCGTAAAATGATATCTAATTCTATTAAAATCTGTTTAAAAAATATTTTATTTTAAAATAATATTAAATGGTTTAATAGCAGCATTTTGTTAATTTCACAAGGAAAAAGGAAGTAGAGATCAAGCTGAACCTGGGCCAAGGCCTGGGTTTTTTCTGTACCCAGAGTCCAGGTCCAGGCATTTTTGACCTTCTTGGGTTTTTCCTGGGTCTGGGTTTTTTCTTGGACTACAGGTCCAGGATCCAGTACAGGTCAATAAATCAAACCCAGAGTCCAGGAACAGGTCCAGGCTTTTCAAAAATCGCTATCTCTAAAAGGAAGATCCATCGGGATAGCATTTAAAGCGTTCACTTGGATGGGATTTAATATCTATTAAAAACCGAAAGCAATGTTTCAGTATCTCAGTCGGTACGGAACCAATACGTGGTGAACAAAAGCGGCTAGCATTAATTTCAGAGAAGTTTCAGGATCAATGCCTGCCCAGAGCTTAACTTACCTCGCTCTCACTCTTTAAACATAAAAATTAAAGCAAATTAAGTTAAAAATTAGGGTTGAGCGGTATCGGGATCCTGACCGGTATCGGGTGGTATATACCTGTTTTTTGAATACCAATCCTGATCTTGGCCAGTCCCGATACCGAGCCTGTATCGGTATCGGGTCGGTATCATCATTTCAAAATGCCGATACCGCTCAACTTTATTAAAAATATGTATACTTTCTTCAATAAAACAAAAATTAAATTAAAAACCTCCTTCATTAACCACTTTCAAAACTTCACTAAACATTTTTATTTGAGGTATCAATTGTTGTAATCTAGTCTTAATTCCCGGAATTTTACAAATTTTCGATAACAATTTATTTTCTTTAACAATAAAATTTTTGTGTTCCTTAATTAAAAAAGCTCTTTGTTCAACAAAAACAATTTCCTGTTCCCTTTCATTTTCACATTCCAATCCTTTCCATTTCAAAATTTCTTCCAAATTTTTTGTATTTTTTAAAAATTCTTTTTTAATTCCAATTGTTTTTAATTTTTTAACAAATTCTTTAACCAAATTAATTTTATTTTTTTGAATTGAAATTATTGAATAAATTTGGAATTTAAAAATTAAACAAATATTTTTTAAAGAAATTATTTCTTCTTCTTTTTTTGAAAATATTTTTGTTAACAATAACCATTTTATTTTATTCTCTACAGCTTCCAATAAAAGAATTTCTTCTTGTTTTTCCGAATTAATTTTTATTTGATTAATTAATTTTTTTGTTTCAATTAAATTTTTAATAAGTAAAGGGATAACAATTCTTTTTTCAATTAATTTTGAATTTTCATTTCCTATTTTATATTGAAGATATTTTTCGTAAAACATTGTTTTCATCGAGGAATGCATTACACCTTTAATTTAATTAACTATTAAATTATTAAATTAGTTTGTTATTCTGGATTAAATAAAGGCTAATAGGAAAGTGCTTTTTAAGATTTTTTTGAACATCAATTTTGTTACCGTCTACAATTTGGTATACCTCTTCAATTTAGGGTATATTTTTTAAACTTGGTTTACGCCGAGTTTCCTAAGTTACTTACAACTCGATTATAAGCACTACCTTTTTAAGTACTTTATCTATAAAAAAGAGTTTTAGTTAAAAGTAGGATTGCCGGTTCTTGAAAAATCATTGGATTCTAATCGACAACTAATTAAGAGAAAATACCATACTAAATATAAAATAATTACCAATTTTAAACAAATCTGGAAATTCTCTTTCCAATTTATCCAAATAATTTAATCCGACAATTTCATTAAAATTTGATTTAAAATTATTAATTTCAATTTCTTTTTCCTTTTTGCAAAGAAATATTCTAAACATTTTTGATTTAATAATTAATTTAATAATTAAATAATATATTTTTTGAATATTTTCTTTTATCTTAAATTAAAATAAAAATAATTATTATTTTTTATTTAAACCTCAAAATTTATTTTAAAAATTTCTTCAATAAATTTAGGCAATTTTTGATTATTTTTAATTAAATTTTCCTCCAAAATTTTATATAATTCTAAAATTTTCTCCTTTTTATCTCCAATATTTTTAATTTTATTTTTTAAATTTTCCCCAATTTGATTTTTTAAATATAAAATAATTATATCTAAATAAATTGTTTCAAACTTTTTCTTTTCATATTTTTCTAATAAAGGTTTAATTAAATTAAAATATTCATCATCATCAGTTTTCTCTTCTTTTTTACTCTCATTTTCAATAATATCTTCACAAATATAGTCAATTGTCTAGAAAAATAGCAAATAATTTTTAATTAAAAAATAGGTAATATTGAACCTAACAGACCCCAATTTTTCCTCCACAAGTTTTTCTACAGTACACTCCTCCACAAAAGTATAAGGGCACCTGTATTTTCGCAATTTTTTTACTTCCAATGATCCAAATTTTCTGAAAATTTAGATACACACCTTTTAGTGAATAACTAATAAGATGTGCATCGATTTTTGGCTGATTTTTTATTTTAAAAATTTTTAGACAAAAATTTGCATTTTCGGCCTCCACAAAAGTATAGGGGCACTTACAAAAAAGATATTTCCAAGATTAGAAAAAATCTACAAAAATTCTAGCAAACATACATAATGATATTATGAAAAAATAAAAAAGAACTAGACCCATATCTTTACCCGGAGCCGAGATCCTGAGACCCCGAAAATCAACGTAAATCAGAGGTAAGGTTCTTTGAAAAAATTTTTCGACCCCTTATGGATTGTTTTGAATTTTGATTTTGGGCTCATTCGAAAGCCCTTGAAATTTGCTACAAGATTTGCACAAAAGTATAAGGGCAGAATCAATTCAATAGAGATATGCAGGACGTTAATCTTCCGTAGCTAATTTTATGGGGCATTAGGGCGTTTTTTGTGCCTTAGAAATTTAAACCTTAGGAACTTACTGAGATAATTTTTCTAAAAAATAAAACTTTTGCTATCTTGTAGCAAATTTCAAGGGCTTTCGAATGAGCCCAAAATCAAAATTCAAAACAATCCATAAGGGGTCGAAAAATTTTTTCAAAGAACCTTACCTCTGATTTACGTTGATTTTCGGGGTCTCAGGATCTCGGCTCCGGGTAAAGATATGGGTCTAGTTCTTTTTTATTTTTTCATAATATCATTATGTATGTTTGCTAGAATTTTTGTAGATTTTTTCTAATCTTGGAAATATCTTTTTTGTAAGTGCCCCTATACTTTTGTGGAGGCCGAAAATGCAAATTTTTGTCTAAAAATTTTTAAAATAAAAAATCAGCCAAAAATCGATGCACATCTTATTAGTTATTCACTAAAAGGTGTGTATCTAAATTTTCAGAAAATTTGGATCATTGGAAGTAAAAAAATTGCGAAAATACAGGTGCCCTTATACTTTTGTGGAGGAGTGTATAGTCAGACTTTTTCCTTTCTTCCGTCCAGAGTGGATCGGAACAGTCAGAGGTGTCGGAAATCGGAAGTGCCGGAAATTGGAACTGGCTCAAAAGTCGGAAATCGGAATTCCGACCCACCTTTCTTCCGTCCCCCTTACGTTGTTCCATTTTTTATAATTGAGAAAAAAATTAATCATCCTTTTGCAATTGTATAAATTTAAATAATTTTTTTTGTTTGATTGTAAGCAGATATACAAAGGTAATTAGGACTAAGCAAGGACTCTGGCCATTCTGCAGAAAAACTTGGGGAGGAAAAATTGGGTCTGTCAGATTTAATATTATAAAAAAATAATTATTTTATTTTTACATTTGTATAATTTTGTTTCTCTTCTCCAATTAAATTATTCATCCTTTTCTTCTCATGTGGCCTCAACTCTAAAATTTTATTTTTAATTTTGTTAAATAATTAATTAAAATAAAAATTAGTCTTAAACATTAATTTTTATTTAATTAACTTTCCAAAATAAAAATATTTTTACAGACCTTCAATATTATTTTAAGCCTCGTCCCAGGGAAGGGAATTCCTCGGAGAATGTGAGTTTACCAAGGCCTCTGTTTCTGTGCCCCAGCAGTTCGAATTCCGTGTCCCCGTGTCACTCTTCTTGTAGAGAATAAGGTTGGCGGATAGTTGGAAATCTTCGGATATCCGGATCCGGTATCCGAGCCGAAAATTTCCGGATATCCGGCCTTATTTCGGATCCGGATATCCGGAACCGCCAACCTTAGTAGAGAATGGGAAAAATTTATAATTAAACCTTCAATATTATTTTTAAATATTTCATCTTCCTCAATTAATTTTTTAATCATTTTTGAATGTTCTTCTTTTAAAAATTTATTTAAACTTTCTTTATCTATCAGTTCTCTCTTCAATTCTTCCAAACCTTCTAATTCTGTATAAATTTCCTCTTCTGTATAATTTTTATTAATAAATTTTCTAAATTTATTAATTATATTTAAATACAAATTTCCATAATTTTCCAAATCTTTATTGTTTATCTCCACAATTTCTTCCAAAAATAGGTGTATTCTTTTTCGATATACTTTTGACCATATATCTTCATCAAAAATTTTATCAAAAATTAAAATTGAAACCAAAATATCCGCTGTATATTTTGATTTTTTATAGTTATAATTGTCTTCATTAGTTGATGTAAATATTTCAAAATAACTGGTTTTTAACCAATTTAGCAACTTTGTTTCACTTATTTCTAAATAAAAATTAAATTACGTTAGAACTTTCTACTTTTGATAAGGTGTTATTCTATTGCTCGTCGACTTTATTAGACCAAAAGTTTTTTGTAAGCAGTGCTGGGTATTTGCCATTTGTTGGCTCCGGCTTCGGCTCCGGGCTCAGGGTTTATAAAATTCTGGCTCCGGCTCCAGCTCCGGAGCCGGCAATTTTCGGAGCCGCTCCATGTTGGCTCCGGGCTCCGGGTGGAAAATCAATGAATTATTTTTCATTGCGAGGGGGAGGGGGATTTTGGTAGATAAAGGAGGATATCGAGTAATACGGAGGATAAGATGTGTATCAAAGAATTAAGCTGATTTGGGTGGATTATCGTGTGATTTAGGTGGATTAAGGGCGATATCGGGGAATTAAGCTGGATTAAGGGCTGATGGCTGCCGGAGCCATACCCAGCACTGTTTGTATGTATCCATAAATTTATTATTAAAAACTTACCTATGGGTAAAATTGTATGATTTATATTATATTCTTCAAATGTGTGTTTTGGCTTATTAATATCCAGAGACTTGGAAACAATTAAATAATTTGCTCGTCCAAATGCACCTGGAGTTTCATCAAAAAGCTGTTCTAAAACTTTTAACTTTTCATCTTCTTCCATTTTTCTCAAATCATCAAATAATTTTCTTGTCATATCATTATAAATATAATCAAACGTATCTTTATCTGCAGTTTTTATAGCTTCTAAATATTCTTTGGTTGTTTTATCTTTACTTTTTATGGGTGTCCAAATTTTATCAATAGCTTTTCTTATTTCATTTTCACCGTTAAATCTTTTCCTGAAGTCATCCAAATACATTCCAAAACATCCACGAAGCATAAGATTTCTTTTAACTTCTAATGATTCCTCCGAATTTAACGGGGACGAAAGTAATTTTTTATATTGATGTATTCTTTCAGAGTCCTCAACAAGATCTTAAAAATTTTTTAAATAAATATAGAAAATATGTATGTATTATTAGGGGTTTTTTGGAAAATTTTTCGACTAATTGGTGAATAATTTTTATTTTAAATCGGTCTAGTTTGTGGGCATTCTGTTACAAAAAATTTTAATTTTATTATATGCTATTTTTAATTAAAGTTCCGCTTTTAATAATTTTTTGAATAGTTTTTAATTATTCTTTGGCACCAGGGAACGAGTCGTCCCATTTCCCAAAAATCGTCAAGTCCCGACGTTTTTTGGGTCTTGAATCCATATTTCATGAAATCTGGGACTGGGCTTTGCGCCAAAATCTTCGCGGGGCGCGCCAAACGCCATGACGCATAGCCCTTATCGCTGAGTGTGTTTTTTGTCGGCTCGTTCACTGATAGGCACACTCTTCGAAAGGATTGAAAAATAGAAGGACTTGTAGTTCTACTAAAAGATCTCGGAATTGTCCGTCTGGGTCTTGCCAAATTAGACTTGATTTTTGGCATTTAGACTTGCCAAAAACTGCTCCCTTTAATTCAATTTATTCTCTAAACTAACCAAGTCTAAATAAAAGAGAATATCTAATCTCCAATTCACTAAACAAATATTCCCCAAATAATTCCCTCATTCTTTTTTTGACTTTAAAAAATTCATTTTCAGATTTTACTCTAAAATTTTTTTCTTGTAAACTTTTTAATTTTGAAACAAAAATTCCCCCTCCTCCTTCCTTTGATTTATTTTCAATAATTATTTTTAATTTTTCAACTAACAAAAATTCAATATCTAATTGACGATAAATATTTTCCAATTTTTCTTTAATTTTTTCTTCTTTTTCTTCCAAATTTTTTCCTTCCCTTCCTTCAATTTTTTCAATTTCTTCCCTATATTTTTTAAATTTTTCTTCAATAATTTCCAATCTTTTATTTTCTATTATTTCTTCTTCATTATTTTTTAATATAATTTTATTTTCAATTAATTCATCAAAAAATAATTCAAATATTTTTTTAAATTCCATTAAATTAACAATTAATTCCCAATTTATTTTTTCAATTTTAATTAAACTTCTCTTCTCAAAAAATTCAAATTTTTCAATTTTCTTTTCAATTTTTTCCAAATATTCCCTCTTTCCTTCCAAAATTGCCCACTCATTTTTAAATTTTTCATTATTATTTCCAGCCTTCTCAAAAATAAAATTTTCAACAATTTTCTTTTCTTCTTTTAACACATTTTTTATTTTAATTTTATTTTTTTTAATATTTTCACAAAAAATAAATAAATTTATTTTTTGTTCAATTTCCCAATCTTTTTCAAAAATTAATTTAATAAAAAAATTTTCAAGCTGTTCATTCTCAATATTGCAAATATCTGATATTTTTAAAATTAATTGAGATCGAGGGTTCTGGTCTGGGAATCAGAGATGGGCGAAAATTTTCGTTTCGATATAGGGATTCGGAGGGATATCGGAGCATTAAATTATATAATCTTAAATCCCACTAAATCATTTTTAATCACTCAAAATCTCCCCAAATCCTCGTAATCTCTGTTGATTCTCAAAAATTACACTATACCCTCTCCAATTCCTTTTATTCTCTTGATTTATTTTTTATATTGATCCTTTGCCCATTATTAAAATCAATGATTTTTAATAAATATTTTCAAAATTAGCTTAGGAAAAATATGGAGTAATTATTTAAGGGAGGGTATTTATTGTTTCGATCTCTCGCTGGAGGGAGTAAATAATAGAGGTGGGGTAATTATTTGAGGGAGAGTAATAAATAAAGTATATACGGTATATGAGGAAAATACTTTTTAAAAAATTAATTTACCAAATTTTTTGGGGTCAAGTTTAGACTTTCCTTTGTTTAAATTCTTTGGTGGGCAAATACAAAATTGAAAAAAAATTAAAATAAATAAATAAATGTGAACAAATAAATTTATTTTCATCTAAATTTTTATTTACAATTTTTTAGTTTTTTAATAAAAAATTTTTTTTTGGATTTATAAAAAAATTTTTTTAATTTCAACTAATTTTAATTTAAATTTTAATTAATTGAAAATAAATATTTATTTAATTTCCAACCAAATTTGACATCGGAAAATTAAATTTTTTGATTAAATATTTAAATTTTAGCAGTTAGTCGGGCTCTAATAAATAAATAAATTAAATAAATAATAAATTTAAAAAAATAATTTATTTTTTAAATTATTTATTAAGAAATTATGTACTATTTACTCTCAAAAAAGGGCAATTAAAAAAATTAATTAGTCAATCAAGTAAGGCGGGATATTATTTTATAAAAATTTATTTATTTATGAAAGGGCAAAATTGAGAGGGTAAAGCGACTATTGAGAAATCACTCGAGTGCCACGACATATTTAAAACACAAAATTATAAAAATAAAATATTTATTGATTTTAAATAAAAAATTTTAATAAAATAAATTTAAATATATATTTGAGAAAAGTTTTTTTATTTAATTAAATTTATTTTTAAATTTAAAATTCTTTAGTTTTAACAAAAGACTCGGTTTCTGATATCCAAAAATTTTTTTATTCCAACCCCTTTTAATTTAAATTTTAATTAATTAAGTGGAAATATAAATAAATATTCATTTAGTTTCCAAACAAATTTTACATAGGAAAATTAAATTTTTTTATTAAATATTTAAATTTTAGCAGTTAGTCGGGCTCTGATACATCCCGTATTTACTCGATTAATTCCCCTGAGGAATTATTTTTTTAAACCATCCGAGGCACGGGAAATTATTCAAGGAAGGGGAATTATTCGAGTTTTGAAATTTGAACGTGTAGCAGGGTATTTTGGGGGAGGGGGTTATTGTTTCAACTCATCCGTAGCATGGGGAATTATTCGAGGGAGGGGTGAATTAATCGAGTAAATACAGTAAATATGTAAATAAAATAATTTATAAATTAAAAAAAAATTTATTTTTTAAAATTATTTATTAAAAAATAATATTTTCTCCCAAAAAGGGCAATTAAAAAATTAATTAGCCAATCAAGTAAGGCGGGATATCATTTAATAAAAATTTATTTAATTATGTAAGGGCAAAATTTAAAGGCGACTATTGAGAAATCTTTATTCCTCGTGATAAATAAAAGAGAGGCACTCAAGTGCATGTTTAAAACACAAAATTATAAAAATAAAATATTTATTGATTTTAAAAAGTAAATTTTAATAAAATAATATTTAAATATATATTTGAGAAAAGTTTTTATATTTAATTAAATTTATTTTTAAATTTAAAATTCTTTTGGGTAATAGTGTCGTTTCCAGTCCCCCTTTTTTCCTCCCCAAGTTTTTCTCTATAATTTGTACAAAATGGGAAGAATTTTCCTTCTTTGATCACAATTGCCCTACTATATTTTGCCTACAATCAAGTTAAAATTATTATTTTTTATCCAGTTCATTAGAAAGAAAGGAAACTGTAAAGGAAAGTCTGTCCATTCTGTACAAATTTATAAGAAAAGATTTGGGCAGGAAAAAAGGGGGACTGGAAACGACACTATTACCTTCTTTTGTTCTGACAAATGAAGGAAGATTTATTTAAATTATCTGAAATGATTTTTAAAAATATGAGTCTAATTATCCCGGATTTTCAAGAAAAATTTCGGTTGTAGTTAAGTCGAGGAATCGACCCACCTAATTTTGATCCGGAAAAACCGGTTTTTATCGAAATAACCTGATTCTGGACTACCGGTTCCAGAAAATCAGGATCATTCTTTTTAAACTAAATTTGCTGTAAAAATTTTGTAAAAATGATTTTTTTACTTAATATATAAAAATTGAATTTACTTTTTATTTATATTAAATTTTATTTTATGTGTCAACTGAACATATCTCTGTTTTCGACAATTTTTGGGACGAGGATTTAGTACCAATCCTCATAGGTTAGGATATTGAACTGGTATAGAAAGGTTACTGATGGATATATCCGGATCAGACATGCACGAAACGTTTCGTTTCGTTTCGTTGTTTCGTTAGTTTCGTTATGTTTTTTCCTGTTTCGTCTCGTTTCGTGACGAAACACTTTTTAGTTTGTTTCGTTTCGTTTTGTTAACGAAACACCTCTGTTTCGTTAACGAAACATTACCCATTTTTTAGACCAAAATCCTACCCAAAAACTGAAAAATTTACACCTTTGGTGACCAAAATTCAAAAAATTTTTGCCTGCGGCGCTGAAGTCTGAATTTTAAGCGCCTACGGCGCATAATTTACTATATTTTTTTGAATTCCTCATTTGATTTTGTTTTTTTAATATGCAAAGCTCAAATTCCATGCTAGATTAGGCATATAGAATCGATCTACCTCTTAATGCCAATCAGGGCAGGCGCAAGAGTTTCAATATAGTTAGCAACTGATAGCAATGATCATGAATATGGTTGCCTTTTTTCGGGCCTGTTTCTATCGATTCGGGCCAGACAAGTCTTTTCGGGCCAAATATCTTAGGCCCAACTCGATCATTTGGTCCGAGTCGGTCCATTTTGGCAACCCTAATCATGAACGTTGTTATCAAAAAAATCTGAGTTGAGAAATATCATTGGATTTGGCGGGAGCAATGGTGGTATAGGAAATTGGAAGAGAGTAAACGGGATATCGGTGGATTTGGAGGGTTTAAAAAATTTAAAAAAATGTCGGGAATCAGGAAGGGGTTTGGGGGATAGTAATTTCCGACAAAATTAATTCCCGATTTTAGGGAATCAGGAAACGGGTCGTCAGGTCCCTGATATACACATATGCTCAACACATAATTCGATTAAAGTTGATTTGGTGGAATTAAGGCTGATATAGTGGAGTATGAGTAATCTGGGACCACATTTTAAGATCCCGCCAAGCTATTAGATCAATTTTAAGCCATAACTGGCCTATTAACGTGTCTAAAATCGAATATTTAATAAAATAAAACCGTTTTTATTAAATTTTTTGAAAGTTAAAATGTTTCGTTTTGTTTCGTTTCGTTTCGCTAAATTTTTACTGTTTCGTCTCGTTTCGTTAACGAAACGATTTTTAAAAAATTTTGTTTCGTTTCGTTTCGTCTGAAAAAATTTTGGAGTTTCGTGCATGTCTGATCCGGATACTGATACCAAAACCCATGTCTATGCACAGGTCTTGTTTGATCGAATAGTTTCCGGTAAAATTCCGTCATATGTCCCGGAAGCCGATTTAAACAAACATGAGGTCATTCGAAAGACTAAATTCAAATTTAAAATGCCTAAAAATAAAATACTTCAAATTACATTTTTATTTGCCAAATTACCAATTAAATAAAAAATAAATAAATTTAAAAATATCCATTTTCCCTTTTATTTATCCCTTTCAGTTACTCCTTTTCTTCTTCTTCTTCTATATTACTTTCATCATTAATTATCTTCTTTTTTCCATTTTCATTATCAAGAATATCAAATTCGCTAATTTCAGAATTTGATTCATCTTCCCTTTAAAAATATAAAAAATAATTATTATTTTATTTTTTCTTTAAAATTTTTTTACATACTTTGCTTTCTGTTCAACATTTTTGCCTTTTTGACGATAAATATCGAATAAAGAATTAACTTAAAATTAAATTTAATTTTTAAATTAATTAATTTATTTAGGTATTAACTATTATCAATTCCAACACAAATTCCTCTTTTCTCATTCCCCAACTTTTTATTTTTTGAATTATCCAAATAACTATTTTCCAATAATTCAATTAAATCCTTAAATTTAAAAATAATTAATTTAAATTTAATATTTACCGTAAATTCTGAAATAATTACCCCTTCCCTTTTAATTACCCCCTACAGTCAGAGATCGAAAAAATAATTACATTTCCTAAAAATAGCCATAATTAGTCTTTAAAAAACTCAAATAATTACCCTGGATAATTATTAGGGTTGCCGGCCCGGTCGACCGAAAGACCGAGTCGGGTCTTGAATTTTGGCCCGAAAAGAATGACTCGAAAAAATGCGGCCCGACTCGAAAACGGCACCCATGTAATTATTTTAGCAAATACGGTAATTTAAAATTATTTTTATTTACCTCCTTAATTAATTCTTCTTTATTTTCATTATTTTGTTTTCTAGTTGCTTCTTTTATTTCTTGTTCCAAAAATTTAATTTTATATTTATTTAACTTTAAAATTAAAAATATTTATTTTAAAATTATTTCCCCCTTACTTCCTCAACTTTCTTCATTAAAAAATTATTTTCTACCACCTTTTGTTTAATTTCATTTTTTAATTCTTTAACTTCATTTACGTGGTCATTATGCATTTTTAAAATTTGTAATGAAATATTCTATTAATTAAAAAAAAATATTTTTTATTATAAATAAGATTGCCTTATCATTTAAATTTAATTCTTTAATTTTTTCTTCCAATAATTCCTCATTATTATTCTCCTCCTTTTTTGAAGAACAATCAACTAGCAATTTTTCAATATATTTAATTGCATCCATTGCAGCTTTCGAATTATTATTTCCATTCTAAATTAATTTTTAAAAATTCTTTTTTGTAAGGAAAACTCCAAAAAATTAAAATTAAAAAAAAGAAATTTTTTGGCATTCCTGCCGTTTACGGGGGCCGCATTTGTCTTACCATTTATGAGACTATAATTTTAGTACCAAATTTTGAACTACCTTATCTACCTGTGAAATTAGTAAGGAGGAAAGGTCTAATTTTGTTTGTAAAATTAAAATTTTGTAAAATAGTAAAACTTTCCGGAAGTTTCCGGAAACACAAATTCAATTTATATACCGTATAACCTTTATTAATTGCCCTCCCTCAAATAATTACCCCATCCAGTGATAGACGAAACAATAACTACACCCAAATAAATGCCCTAAAACACGTTTAAATTTCAAACCTTATATAATTACCCTCCCTCGATTAATTACTCCCTTCCTCCAGCGGAAGGTCGAAACAATAATTACCCTGGGCAGTTACTAAAGGATATACGGTATATTTTATTCCTTTTTTGTTTATTTTAAAAAATTAATTAAAATTCGAAAAAAAAGAAATTAAAAAAAATAAATTCAAAATTTACTTTTCCAATTTTCGTGTCCTCCAAATTAATTACAAGTTCAATAGACTTTTTTTCAATCTCAAAAATAAATTTAAAATAATTTTTTAAATTTTTTCATTTTTTAAGTACCGTAAAACTCAAATTATCAACAATCCATCCATTTTTTGGAATATTTAAATTTTCATAATTTTCAACTTTTTGAGGCTGATTATTACAAGAATTTGTAGAATTATTTGGGTTTGATTGGATATTTTGTTGAAAATTATTATTTAAAGGGTGTTGAATAGCTGAAAAATTATTGTAGCCATAAGGCTGTGAAATTGGAGGTTGTTGTAGAGGTTGTGGGATAAATGGAGCAAAATTTTGATTTTGACCTAAATATTTAAATGTCGAGTGAGAATAAAATTTCTGGACTATCTAATGCAAACTTTTAGTAAAGTTTGAAAAATAATTCTAACAAAGACCCCGGAAATGAATTTTCAAAATAATTTGTATCTTTAGTATTTAATTAGCGAATTCAAAAAAATATATGTAGTATATAATTACCAATATTATTCATCTGGCTGTTATTTTGTTGATTTTGCAAGTTTGGTCTAATCTGCATCGGATTATTTGACGTTGGATTAAAATACATTTATGATAATTAAATATTTTTTTATAAAATTAATACTTTATCTTGAAAAAATTAATTAAAATTAAATTATTTTTTCAATAATAAAAAATATAGGTTAGGTATATTAACAACGAAGACAAGAATGAAGCGTTTTCATCGATTCTACTCTTATTTAAAGGAAATACGCAATATTCCTCACAGGTAAGAATTTGGTGGTAAATTATGGTTTTCATGTTTGTTTTGTGAAAATTTTGCCTTTTACCAAGTTTTAGAAGAGTTTCCCAAGGAAAGATAAATTAAAGAGATTAAGAAATCTGATATTCTCGTTATTAAACAAAAATTTAAATATTTAACTTATTAAGCGTTATTCTAAAAAATTTAAATTAAAAAATGTATCGAGACTAAACTTGTTCTCTAATTTAAATTTCAAAAAATATTTTTTATTAAAAAATTGGCTAAAATTAATTTTTTAAGTTTAAATAAAATAGCCATCAAAAATCCTTTCCAATTTCTTCCTTTCAAATTTCATTATTTTCTTCCTTTTTCTTACTTAATTCCGAATTTGATTCATCTTTTCTTTGAAAACAAAATTATTTTTTCGCTTTGTGTTTCTTATTTTTTTCCTTTTCCCTTTCAAAAATAAAATTTTATCAAAAAAAAGCCATTCTTAGGGGTGTAAAAAATTCCCGACTTAGTCGGGAATTGACACCGGGAGTCGGGATCGGGAGGCCAAAAACTCGGGAAATTTTCCCGAGTCGGGATCGGGATAACCGAACATCACTAATACCTATGTGATTTATTACTTAATTTACCCATTACCTCTCCTTTAAATTTGCGAACATTCTAACAATAACACACCCGTGCATGAACATGCATTTTGATGCCCGTATCCGGGTATATCCGTGAAGTAACTCTGTTCATAAGTCTGTCATTTCCTTCATTCCCAACCGCACTCAACTTACGAGGATTGGCGCCTAATCCTCTTCCCAAAAATTACCGGAATTGGCCGGGTCCGTCCTAATTAAACACACACGATAGAATTTAATATAAATAAAAGTTAAATTCAATTTTTAAATATTAAGCAAAGACGACTTTTATAAACTTTTTACAAAATTAGTTTCAAACAAATATTAAAGTTTATTAAAATATTCCTAGGATATTTTTAAACAAAAAACATTCTTTTCTCCTCTAAAAATTTATTAGAATTTTGAAAAACCCTCAAGCCAAAGAATTTCCTTTTTTTGCGGCAAAGGTGTGTGACCTTAGAATTATGTTGGACAATTTATCGCCTTTGAATTGTAGGGACACAATGGAGAGATATAAGGGGATTTTTGGGATTAAAAAAGATGCCCTTTATTAATTTCTCAGTAACTTGGGGATTGGTGGAAACATATTCGGATGAGTGGAAACCGGACTTGTCCTTTTTTAAAGTTTCTAATTCTAAAAAATTTTCTCTCAGCGCTGCAGGCAAATTTTTTTTAATTTCCCGTCTTCGGGGAGAAAAAATTGAAAATTTTGCCTTAAAAATACTCCAAAAAGTGACTAAAAATATCGATTTTTAGTACTTTTCGTGCAAAAATGTAGTCTACGAAACGAAACGAAAATACTTTTTAAACGAAACACGAAAATTTTCGCCCATCTCTGATGCGGATTCTCTTTGCGGACAGGTGGGAAGTCAACTGGACATTTACAACAAACATTATTCCATAATCCTGGTTTTTCTTGCTCTCTAGATTATTCTCAAGCCGAATTGTTTACACCGAATCCTAATTGTTTTTTAAAGGGAATATTTTTAAAAATAATTTCTAATTTTCAAAATTAATTTATTTTACATTTTATTTTTAGAATTTAATTAACCCAAAAAACAAATTAAAAAAAAAAACAAAAAATAAAGTCGAATAAAAAAACAATAAAATACCACAAAACTTTTCTTAAAAATTTTTGTTCCTTTTTTATTCAACAATTTTAACAATCTTTCCAATTCCAATTGTTTTACCTTCATCTCTCAACATAAAACGTCCCATTTGTGCAAAATTTTTAAAAAGATCCATACAAAATTGTTCTGTCGATTCTAACCTCAAAATACATTTATCATCTTGTTTGACAAATCTTGCAGGTTTTTTGCTGTTCGGGTCTTTTTTATCGATCGTGCCGATTACATGCTGAAAATTAGTAAAATAATATAAAGATTAATTATTGTTTAATTTTATAAAAATGTTGAAATTCTCCAAAATAAATTTTGAAATTTTTGAGGTGTCAAATGGAAATAGAGTTGACTGAATCAAAAACCAAAAGTTTTGAATTTTAAAGGGCAAGTGAAAGAAACTTTTAGAGAAAATTTTGGAAAGGCCCCAAAATAGGAAAAAGGACAACAAGAAAGATTCAAGCTCAAGAAACCCCAACATATTATTTAATATTGAATGGATGTCTAATATTAATTCTATTTCAAAACACCAATTTCTTCCCAAAATTCTTTAAAAAATTTCAAAATAATTCCAAATAACCTTAACAGTAATCTCTTCAATAGCTTCGTGTATATGCAAAACACAAGTAAAACCAGACGTAATAATTGATTTATAATCCAAAATTACAACCTTTAAATAATTTTAAATTAAAAAAATTTACAAAAAATAAAAAAAACCTCAGCATCAAAAATACGTCCAACAGGACAAGGCTTATCAGTAGAACAAAGAACAAAACCTGACATTATGTCAGTATCTTCAACGCCTTTTAATTTTAATTGAAAACTATCTCCAGCATAAACTTGATCAGTTTCCGTTTCATTAACGTGACAAGAAAGTACTTGAACAGGCATACGATTTGGCATAAGTAACATTTGTTGCCCTTTTGTTATCATTCCTGATTCTAACTTGCCAACTACAATTGTGCCCATATCCTAAAAATTAATATAAATGTGTAGTTTGAATGAAAATAGTTTATGAAGTCGGGGGTAAATATGAGGACAAAATTCTTGCGAAAGCTCCAGTTAAACCTATTTAAAGATCCGAATTCTTGTGGACTGAAACACTGACCAAATTAATACCTTATTAAATTACTATTGTCTTGTTATATACTTTTGTTAAATTTTGAGTTAAAAAATTTCTTAGAAAGCACGCAACTAGATATTGGTCTTTCCGGGGATAAAAGCAAAATTTTTTACCGAAAATTTATTTGCAACAATTGCCCTAGTCGGCCCTTCTAAATCGCGTTTAATCGGCGGCAAAGCATCCAAATAATCCAAAAAGCAAAGTCCAGTGTACCAGTTACAGACATCAGCCGAAGGCCGCTCTTTTAAGAAAGCTCCAGTTAAACCAGAACAAGGCATGTAGATGAAATCTTGTTTAGGAAAGCCACATTTACGTAGATATGGAGTTAATTTTTCTTGAATCTTAATTTTTTCTTGAATCTTAATTTTTAAAATTAATTATGTTGATGTTAACTAAAGAAAAACAAAAAAAATGACTTGAAAAGGGAAGTGATGTTCGAAAATAACGAAATATTTTTCAGGAATTTATTTTAAAATTCATTAAAAACCTCATTGTAACGGCCAACATCCCAATTTACTGTAGGGTCATCCATTTTATTAACTAAAATAATCATATGCTTCACTCCAATAGTTTTTGCCAACATTGCATGTTCACGGGTTTGACCGCCTCTGTCAAAGCCTGTTTCGAATTCACCACGGCGGGCACTGATGACCTGAATTTTATTTAAAAGTATTTAAAAATGGAGTCCAAAAATGTTCTAATAGAACAAAAATGTAGCCCCTTGCTCTGGTTATTTCGGCTCTTGTCCAGTTTAGGCGTCCAATGAAACGTTTATACAATCACAATTTTTAAGTACCCGGTTCTACACTAAATTACCGTAAAATCTATGGAAATAGAAAGCTTTACTTACCCAGAGTTTAATACACACACATTTTACCAGACACTAGGTTTTATCACATAGAACTGGGTACTTAAAAATTGTGATCGGACGCAAAAAGTTGATTGGACGCATAAAAATTTCTTTGGACGTATAAAGGTGCGATTGGACGCCCAAACTGGACAAGAGCCGTTATTTCTAATGAGTCAAAAGAATAATCAAAAATAGCTTACCAAAACTGCAATATCTGCTTGTGCGGCACCAGAAATCATATTTGGAACGAACGATTTGTGTCCGGGAGCATCCAGAATTGCAAAATGCTTCTTCTCCGTTTCAAAATAGGCACGTCCACATTCAACAGTTTTTCCCTTTTCACGCTCTTCCTCATCTATTTGAAATTAGAAAATGATAATTTTATAAAGCAAACAGACTTGTATCCAATGCCCACGACAAATACCAACTTTCACGGCCCTTTTCTTTTGCTTCTTTCTCATATTTCTCTAAAGTTCTTTTGTCGACCATTCCTGTTAGATACATTAGTTGACCTCCAATAGTTGATTTTCCAGCGTCGACATGTCCAATAAAAACAATATTAACACGTTCTTTCCGTGATTCGGTGGTCATTCTACTATCTAAATGATAAAATTAATGTAAAAAAATAAAAATAAGTAAGGAAAAAAAAGAAAAATTTGTCAACATGCCCTCCAATATTCCGTTGACGAACGACCCGTCGACGCACGCGCAAAAAACTAGCTAACTCTTACTCTCCTTATTCAATTGCATCTCTAGTGCGTCTGACTTTGTTTCGTGTCCGAACAAAATATCGATTTGCAAAAATATCGAATTTTAAAATATCGTCTAGGCCAAAACGGGTTAAAATGTCGACTGGGCAAAAACTTACAATTAGCACGTCACTTCTCATTTTTCCAGATTAGGAAAGCGTATGCTTTCCGGATCCGCACGCTCATGCTGGATCCGGTTGTTTTTTGATTAATCCGGCCAGTTAACCCCATTTTACCCATGTCGAGATTTTAATAAGCGAGATTTTAACGTTTCGATATTTTGTACCGGCGCCTTTTGTTGTAAATAAGAAAAACGGTAAGAAGTGAGACAAAATATAAAATGGTCAGAGTCAGATAAATTATGAATGATTTAATTTTTTAAAAGGTTGTTTTCTGGTTTTTTTTGAAAATTATTTTATAATCATTTAAAACTTTTTTCTCTCTTTTTAGTTGCTTATTTTATTATAATTTTTAATTTAACAAAAAATATGCCAAAAACAACCCAAAAGAAATATATTACAAATCAATTAATACAAACACTTGTAGAGGAATTGGAAGAGGGACAATTTGTTGCAAAAATTTTGGCTTCAAGAGGAAATAATTTGCACGAAGTGGAGAGCTTTAATGGAGAAAATTTTTTGGTGTAAGTTTGTTTAGTTTTTTTAAATTTGGGCAAAGGGATTTTTAATTTTCGTGAATTAAATATTCTAGAAAATTCAGCCGTGGCGTTCCAAACGTTTTTTTGGTTTACTTCGGCGTTCCGAACGCAAATTTTTCTGTAACTATATTATTCTTCTAGCGCCTCAGGCGAAAATTTTTTAAATTTAGAAGGCAGGCGAAAAAATTTCATTTGACCATCCTCCTCCCGATTTACCCCCCCCCCCCCTCCCCCAACCTCGCTGGACCGACCATCCATTTCCATATTTAGTTTATGAAGCTGTAAGAATACCTAAACTTTTTGTAGAATGCAATATTTTTTATAAACAAATTATAGAAGTATGCCTTCAAGATTTCGTCGAACACTTTGGGTTAGACGTGGAAATTTTATTATTGTTCAGCCAATAGAAGAAGGCGACAAAGTTAAAGCAGAAATTGTGCATGTTTTGGATATTGAAAATATTTCTAATTTAATAGAAAAAGGCAAATGGCCTGAAAGATTTTTACAAGAAGGAGAATTGTTAACTAAAAGACGAAAGAAATTTGATGAAAATGGAAAAGAAGAGGATGAGGATTCGAGTATGTTCCCTCCAACATCTTCAGAAGAAGACGAGGATGATAATGAGGCGGATGAAGGTTTCTTAAATTTTTAATTAAAAAAAGTTTTTTGCGTCCTTAATTGCTCTGCGTTTTAATTGTTTTTACATGGTTTATCAAGGTCGTAGTCAAGAGGTCGGTTTCAGGGGGCTAAAATTGGGTGTGCGCCAAAATGTTTGCGTTCACTTTGGGGTTCCGAACGAATTTTCTTCATACATTTCCGAACGCAATTTTCTTCATACAAAAAATAAAATATTTTTATTTTTTCGGTGCCGCAGGCAAAAATTTTGAGAATTTTGGGGGTTTTTGATCCAAACCTTTGTTTCTTTTTTATTCCAGAATATGCTCAAATTTTTCTTTAAAAATTTCATATTTTTCATAAATTTTTATTTTTAGCTGATAATGAAGACAATGACAATTCTGAAGTATATGACGAAGACGAATGTAATGATGACAAAATGGAAGATGACAAAAATTTGCAAAGTATTTCTTCAAAATAAATAAATCTTATGTTTTATTATAGATTTCTAAAAGAAATTATTTATTTAAAATTTTGTTTTCAATTTCTTTATTTTTTTTCGACTTTTCTTTTTTTCGACGTATCTTTCCTTTGGTTAAAATTCTTTTTTAAAATCCTTTTATATTTTTATTAGTGTTTTTTTAACAAAAATACTTTATAATTTCCTATTTTTATTTAAATCTTTTTTAGAAAATATTTTTTTTTAAAATTTGTATAATTATGGGAAACAGTAATGCTTCTTTAATGCTTCAAGAAGAAGAAATTGTTGATACTGCAAAGGAGACTGGATGTTTGTTTTTTTCGTTAGTAAATTTTATTTTTTCTTTAGTTTCTCGCAACCAAATTGTTCGTTTGTATAGTCGTTTTCTTTCGTTAGACAGACAAGGTTTTTTAAAGTTTTCAGTAGGGTTGGACGAGACCGGTTAATAACTTCGTTTATTGTTCCCTGTGGCTGGTCAAAAAGAGAAGGGAAAGGAGCCACAGGGAAAAATAAACCTCGAATTAAACGGTCTCGTCCAACCCTAGTTTTCAGTTTAAAAATTTCTTTAAATCTTTTCACAGGTCGTGGTTATTTGGACCGTGAAGATTTTCTTCGAATTCCGGAACTTGCAATAAATCCTTTGGGTGATAGAATTGTCGATGCTTTTTTTACTGATCATGGAGTTAATGACCCTGAGACTGATGCGCGTATTAACTTTCGTCAATTTGTCAAAGTGCTTGCACATTTTCGTCCAATGAGTAAATCAAAGCCTAATATTGTTAATAGTCGGGAACAAAAGTTAAAATGTAAGATTCTTTTAATTTTTGTGAATATTTTTAATTCTTTTCAAAGTTGCTTTTTCAATGTATGATTTAAACAAAAATGGCTATATTACACGTGATGAGTTTAAATTTATTTTGAACATGATGGTTGGCTCTAATATTACACCTGATCAGGTTCTTTTTTAAACTATTTAATAAGGAAAGGTTGCGAAGGTTTCCGACCTAAAAACGGTCGGGACCGGGCTCATTCGATAGAGAATGTGCCCTTTCTAGCAAGGATTTTGTGCCATTTTTGCCCTTTTTTGATCTGGCCAAGATATGGCCCTCCAAAGTCCCAAAATTTGGGACTGGAGTCACAAAAATCTCGCAACCTTTCCTTGTAAATATATTTTTGCGGTCGTTTCATTTGTGCTTTTTTTGTGAGACTGATTTTGAATCCTCCCGTGTTTCTTTAAAATGCAGGATTAATCCCACGGGATCCCGTCCTGCAAAATAAAAAATTGTTGTATGAGTGATTCCGCAAATTCAATTTTGCTGGGTACAAATTCCAACCACTCCCCTATAATTTCTTCAAAAAGTTTTGAAAAATATATTTTTTTAATTAGCTGGATAGTATTGCCGATCGTACAATAACTGAGGCAGATGCTGACAAAGATGGAAAAATTTCTTTTGAAGAATTTTGTAAAGCTATGGAACGCACTGATGTTGACCAAAAAATGTCTATTCGTTTTCTTAATTAAATGAAAATTTGAAAAATGGGAAGGATGAGGAGACAATATTTTTAGGTTGTGAATTAAAGACTATTTTTTAAAAAATGATTTTTTAAAAGTGTAAGTATATTTTTGCTTAAGTATTAATTCAAAAATGTAAAAAATATAAACTGATTTTTAAAATTTTTAAAAATTATTTCCGTCATCGGTTTCAGCAAATTATTTAATAGTTTTATTTTCTAAAATTTATTTAAAAGGAAAAAATCACTAAAAATTTTTAAATTCTCAAAAGTTTTGCTGCTTCTTGTTTTGCAATTTCTTCCAATTGTTGTTTAACAACTTCACGGCGCATATCCAAAAATTCTTTATATTCATTAGGGTCCAAATCCTCATATTGTATTTTAATCCCAATTTCTGAAGCTCTTTCAATAACTAATTGGCAAATTTCCTTTAAAAAATTTTTTTAGAAAATGGTTATTTTGGCAGATTAAAATACCCCAGACCTCACTTTAAGACAACCCCAAAATTAGGTATTCCTCAATGCTAAGATCTAGTTTTAATTTAGTTGGCCATTGGGTGACGGAGCTGTTCAAGGGTGTGCCCAAGCCTCATTATAAGTTCCAAGAGTATGTCTTATAGCGAGGTCCTACCACATTTTTAATTAAAAAAAGAAACCTTTAATGGAACACCAATCATAGCTTTATCAGTCGATTTAATTTTTGCAATTTCATAGATGTGTTTTACAGAAAGCTTTCCGGTAATTTCACCTAAAGAAAATTTTTTTTAATTATTAAAAAATCTCCAACCGTCTTCCTGTTTTTCTCTTCGAATTCCAGCCGCCTGCATTAACAACCATTTTGTTGTGGGAGTCTCTATCTCAATTTCATATGTTCTGTCAGGTTTTACATGGACAGTAACAGGCAAAATTGTGGCTGTTTTTTGAGCAAATTAAATTTAAAAATTTTTTTAGAAAAAACCGTTTTTAATGCTTTCAGTCACGGTATTAAATTCTTTGCAAAAATTTCCAACGTTAACACCTCTTTGTCCAAGCGCTGGTCCAAGAGGCGGTGCAGGAGAAGCCATTTGAGCTCTTTAAAATTATCAAAATTGGAAATAAATTATGAAAAACCTAATAGTTGTTTTTACTCTTGGATCTTGCATTGCTTTCACTAAATTTTCTCTTTTTGTTAAAAGTGCCTTGTATGCTTTCCAAGCTGACATTCTTGTCTAGATATTAAAGAAATTTTTAGGCCTGAAAAAATAAAAATTTTTAAGAAATACAAGAAAATCCGTTAAAAATCCTCTACGTCTCTGCTTGTTTGACTAGACTCTAGTGTTCTCTTTTGGACAAATTGTCATTTAAAAAACATAATGCCAATATCACCCCCCAATTTAAAAATAATTTTGAAAGGTTACTTCAACTTTTTTCAGTCAACTTATCGATTTTTCTCTCATTTGTCTTTTTTAGTTTTTTTGACATTAAAAATGCTTCCATCTAACCAGCAACAACCGCAACAGCAACATCTTAACGGAGAACAATCGAGCTCATCGAATTTATTTAAAAATTGTTCAAAATCTCCAAGTGCTTATGATTTAAAAATTGCAAAGAAAAAGCGTCAAAATAATAACAAAAAACCTGTTGGAAATAATAAAGAAGTTAATAAATCTTCAGGTTTTTTTAAAGATTTGCTGAAAATTTTTACTTTATCAATTTCATTTTTAGCTCAAATACCTGTCGGAAATACTCTAAATTCACCAAAAAAGGCAGCAATCAGAGTTGGATCAAATTTCCAAATTCTTTCACTTCCTGAACCTAATGGAGATAAAAATTCGGATAATGAAAATCCAACGGATCTATGTCTTTGGAAAATGCATAAAATGATTAATGATAGCCAAGTGGCTAATTATTGTATTGATGCTTATACAAATTTTGGAATTGAACCGGACAGGGTAAACTTTAAAATTTCTATTTGAAAAGATTAGTTACTGAGAAACCGTCAATTAAGTTTATAAGATTGAGACTCTGGACATTTTATTGTCATTCAACTCACAAAGGGACTTTACTTATCAGGGGGGACTTCAGATTGAAACTTTTGCCACTCACTGGGTCTTTACTAATTTGTGGGGACACGTATGTAAGCATTTTTTGCCGAATTTAGACCAGTCAGTTTGGGCCGTTATGTCTTTAAATAAGTATGTAGAATCCGAGCATTCGGTTTTACCCCAATAGACTAATTTTTTTCATTTTCTTTAATTTAAAGGCTCTCTACATTCTATACAAATCAGACTATGATTTTGAAAAATCTCGATTAGAATTGCATAACAAGCACATTTTTACTAGAGACTTCAGCAACGATGATGCTTATGCCTTTCGTAATGCCTTTACTTATTTTGGAAAGAATTTTGCTAGAGTTCGTCAAATTGTTGGTTTTTTAACTTTTAACAATTTTAGAATTATAAAATATTTTTAAGTTTTTACGGATTTTAAATTTTTTTAAAATTTTTTAACAACGATTTCCTTTTTAAATTTATTTTTAAAGATTCCTCATAAATCGCTTGGCTCACTTGTTGAGCATTACTACAAAACTAAAAAGAAACAAAATTATAAATGTGGTTACAAAAGATATGTGGATATTGAGGCAAATTGTTCATTTTCATCTTCAGACGATGATAACACTGACAGGTTTTTTTTAAAATCTTTTTTTGAAAATTTTTTTGTAATTTTTAAAGTAATTCTGACACGATGTTTGCTTCCAGAAAAGTTTCTCAAAAAGTGGAAGAAATTTGTCAAGTTTGTAAAGAAGTAACAAACAAAATATATTCAGTAACTGGATTAAAAGTCTGCAAAACATGCCATCTTTATTTTAGGTTTTTTTAAATCTTTAAGGGATCTCTTGGGTTCTAAATAAAATGTACGCAAATTGTGTACATAAAATTTTTTTTGACTTTTTTGTTATTTACCGATGTTTTTAAAATTTTAAAGATTTTCTGAAAATTTTTTTTTCCTGTAAACTTGAAAAAACTCACTTCTTTTTTCTCTATTTTTAAAAATTTTTCCGTTCTTAAGTCTATATTTTGAATAATTTCCACTAGGTATGAGTCACATTTCATCAGTGGGTTTCTGTCTGCTAAACTTTCCCCTGTTATTAATTTTATCCCTATTAATTTCATAACTAAATTTTGGAATTAAAAAAGCTTTTTAAGAGTCAACAATCAACATCGAGTCTTTCCACAACCGGCAGAAGAGCCAAAACGTCAAAAACTTAAATGTCCATTAGACATGCGTCAAATTTGTGATCAATTTGTCGATATGGCAAAATATGTAAATGTTGGTGATGATTCAATGGATGAAGAAATTACTGTTTTGGAAGGGAAAACTGTTTGCGAAGTTAAAATACAGTTAAGAAAATTTTAAATAAAAAATTTGGAAATTTTTTTAAGAGAAATTGTAACAAATCAACAACTTTTAAAAGCAAATACAAAACGTTTAATTCAAAATATAGACCAACAAAAAAATTTTGAAGGATGTCAAAAATACTCTGTTGTGTCGGCATTGGAATTTTTGTCAAAAACACAAAATTCATTTAATTTACAAAAACAAAACAAAAATGTAAATAATAAATTGTTACCACCGGAGAAGGAAGCCATTTTTCATGGTTTTTTTTAAATTTTATTTTTTAAAATAATTTTGAGGAAGGTCCGCTATATTTTTCTGCTTGCAAAAATTTTTAAATAATTTTTTTCGAGAGAGACTCTCACCAATCTTTAAATTAAAATTTTTTCTATAAAATTTTTAACAAAAACTTTTTCAGCTTTAATTCAATTTGATGCGGATGAAAATATTGTTGCCCAGATTATACCAACAAAGACACCAGCAATGATTAAGCACTTTTATTTGAAGTTTAAAGATATGATTGATGAGGTATTTTAATTAAAAAAATATTTCAAAATAATTTTCCGGCGGGATAACTCATCCCACTTCAAAAAAGATTTTTCATTTTTTTAATTTTAAGGAAATTCACAAAAGAATTATGGAAACAGACAATTTCGATTTTAATGGACAGGGATGTAGCAATAATTCAAGTAATTCTAGTAAAGATGAGCCAGAAGTGATTGAATTGGATTAAAAAAAGTATATTTTAAAAATATCATTTTTTTAAAGTCAATTCTGATTATTTTTTAATTTATTGAATGATGAGACATTTCATCCTAATTTTTTGCTTTACTCAAAAAATTTGAATTTTATGTGAGGGGTGTCATTTGTTTTTTTTCTTTGGTTGCTAAATTTTTGACGCTTCGAGAATAGACTTGTGTTAGGTTCATTTCCTTAGGTTCAGCCTATAACCGGAAAAGGTCTTGGCGACATTTAATCCTATCAAGAAAAAATCCTTTTGACCAAAACATTTATAGTAATTTATTTATGAGTGACATCTCCCAATTTTATTCTCTTTTTTGCTTTGATAAATTGAAAATTTTATTTCAATATTTTATATTGAAAGGAAAATAAGAAGATCCAGCTGGCTAGCATTTGAAACATTTACTAGGCGAGGGGGTTTAAGATGTATTAAAAGAGAAGCACCTGTACGTGGTAAAGGAAAACGCTTGGAAATAATTGCTAGGAGGATGCGGGATTGAGGCATGACCGAGCCTAAGAGTTTACCTCTCTTTTTAATATTTTGTCTGATTTTTGCCAAAAACGTCTTTTTTTCAAATTTAATCAAAAATTACAATACAAGTAATTAATCCTTTAGTTATTTGACAAAATTTTCTTTTTTCTTCTTCAAAATTAATTAAATTATTAAAATCCCCATTTTCTTCTTCCTTACAAAAAACTTTAAATTTTTCCCCTTCAAATTTTCTTTCAACAGAACGGCGAATAAATCTTTTAGCAATTGAAAGGTTGTCACCAATTAAAGCATAATTTATTGCTTTGGCAAGGATTTTTGAATTACACTTTTTATTTATTAAATGGGAGGTTTTTTTTGATAATATACGTTTCTGAAAGAAAAAATATTTTTTTTGGAAATTTGTTTGGAGAGTTTTACCCTTTTCCTTTTTATTTTCCTTCTCCTTTCTGCCTCATTATTACTAAATGTTTTTGTAGCTAATATTTTTCTTCTTCGTTTTTTAATTTTATTCTTTTTTATTTTTGTTGATTCTTCATCGTTTTCAAAAGATTCTTCTGGATATTCCAATTCTTCTTTAATTTTTTTATTTTTAGAATTTTTTTTAAATTTAAAAAAGCCACTTTTTAGCAAGTAAACCTTGTTTTTAAGGGGGTTAAGTCCTTTAAAATAAAATTTTAAGACAGTTGTTACGATGGCTCAGTCGGTAAGGGTCTGGGTTTAGTGGACATAAAATAGGTAATAGGCAATAGGTTCGATTCCGGTTGCCAGTCAACCCTTTTTTTCCAATCATTTTATAAGTGATTTTTTAATTTCAGATTTTATTCTGATGTTTTTCTTTTTCTAATTTTTTTCTGATTATTAAAAAAAATATTACTGTCTCTCCTCTACCTTGTTGATTATCATTTCTTTTTTCAACCTTGACAGATTCTGTTGCATTGCTTATTTTTGTCTCATTTTCTCCTAGAGTCGTCGTAACTGTTGTAATTATTGTTGTTGTGTTTTGTTGTTGCTCTTTTATTTCTTCTATTGTTGTTGTGCTTATTGTTGTAGATTCTGTTGTTGTATTCCCTCCTTCACTTTTATTTTCAGTTGGTGGTGGTTCACTACTTGAAGAAGATGAAATTGTTGTTTCTTTAATTTTTTGTGTTGTAGTAGTAGTTGTATTTTCTCCTTTTTCTTCTGTCCCAGATAATGGATTATCTAATTAAAAATTTATTTATTTTGTGAAGGAAGAATTGGTCAACTTTTTATGGCCTGGGACTTTAAATTAACGTTGCTAATTCTCACACTTTTTTGTAGGCCATAAATTAGTGGGTGGGATAAATGGTCAATTTAATAATAATTCCTCATTTTTCGCTTCTTCTTTCCTACCAGAGGTGGGTCGGAATTCCGATTTCCGACTTCCAATTTCTGAAAAAAAATTTGATTTCCGATTTCCGACACCTCTGACTGTTCCGACCCACTCTGCTTCCTACACAGCGAAAATCTGCGTTAAGCGGTTCACTATTGAAAATTTCGAACAGAATGTGTATATCTGTTTGGGACTTCTTTAATCCGTTGTTAACTAAGCCTATGTACATATATTCTGAGGCCTAGTATGTGGAAAAAAATAGAGGGGGCAAACCTCTAACTAATTAAAAAACAAACTTCCAATAATATAAACTGTTGGAGGTATTTGAATATTAGATATTGGAGGTGGAAATTGTGGAATAATAGCTGCTCCTCCTCCTCCTCCTCCTCCAATCGGATAATAACTTCCTATATTTAATTTATCAATTAAATTATTATAAGGTTGTTGTAATTGTTGTTGTTGATTGTTTAAATTACTTGTTGTATACCCAACATTGTTTTCGTAGGGTATTTGTCGTTGTGGATTTATTAAATAATATATGGGTAGGGATGATGGATTTGGTGGTTGTTTTGAGGATGATAATGGACATCCATTTAATAAATAATAGAAATTGTTATTTGTTGTTGAACTTTGTGAACAACAAGAATTTGAAGAAGTAATGGCAACATTATTGTTATTGCAACAAGAAGAAGAACATTGTCTTAAAAATGAGGATTTTGTGAAGTATATGTTTTCATCAGTTTCCGCCGACTTCCGCCTTTTTATTTTTCCACCGACTTAATATTCCGTTTTAGGCACCCTCTATTTTATTTTTTCAAGTCTCTTTTTTGGGCTATTGGTTAGTTTTTTACTTTATTTATATCACTTGTTATTTCGGTACTTCGTTTAAAATTATCGAATCCGAGATGCCGTGGTATGGTTAAACTCAGCTCGTCGAGTTGTATCGAACCAAAAAAAATCCCGGATAAAAAAATTATCCCGGATTCAATAATTTTTAACGAAGTTATAGCTCGGCAGTACATTGGGCTCACAGCCGGTTATAAATCCCCTTGTTATTTTTATCTAACAGCATTTAAAATGCTTAGGAGGGGGGTATTTAAAAGAAAGATACCTTAAAGGATTGCAATTACAACAATTATTATTAGGCATTTGCATTGAATAAATTTGATTTTTAAAAACACAACATGAAGAAGTACAACAACTACTACTTCCCCCTCCTCCTCCTCCTACTCCATAAGTAATATATAATTCAACTTGATTAAATTTTTGAATTAATAAAATAATTAAATTAAGCAAAGAGTTAAAGGAATAAAAATTTGGAAAATTCATTTAAAAGAAATTTTTTTTGGAAGAGTTTTATATAGAAAAAATACTTTTATTTAATAACCTAAACCTTCCTTTTTTCTCTTTGTATAATATTTAATTAGTGATGACAATAGAAACAAAAATGCTTTAAAAATGTTGCAAATAATAAAAGAAAGGTGTAAAATACATAGGCTTTTTTGTATTATTTTAAAAAAATCAAGTAGAGAAATTGCGCGGTTTTTCTTTCAAGTGGAGGAAGATTGCGTGAAGAATATATAAAAAATAAAAATTATTGTGTAAAATTTTTTAAAAATAATAAAGATGGAAAATTAGAGGGGGCAATATTTTTTTAATTAAGAAGCATTGAAGTTTAATAATTCTTTTGTTTCTTTAAATCTACAATGTATTATTTGTAGAAAAGTTGATTAAATGCAAATTAAAAATTTTAAATTAAATTCAACAAAATCATAAAATTATTGATATGGTGACTACAATGGGGACCAAAAACATGAATAAAATACAGTAAAAAATATCCTAGGCCAAACTCGATCATTGTTGTCCGAATCTGTCCATTTTGGCAATCCCATCCATCATTGTCAAAACAACCAACTCCGTCATCATTATTATTTAATATCCAACAGTTTATTTAATGTAAGTTGCTCTTCAGATTCTGCTTTATCCGATTTTATTTCACATTTCATTTTTACAAATTAAGTAGGGAAAATCACCTTGAAGTACTGTGTACATTCATATTCTTTGTATTTTTGTTCCTTGTATTATAAAGTATTTAGCATAAAAATTTATACATATGTCTGGCATTATTATTGTTTATAAATATTTTAAATAATTTAATTAATTAAAAAAACTTTTTTTTAATTTTTTAATTTTTAATAAATTTAAAAAATCAATTTGCGCGTTTAAACGGTAAAAATAGCAGAATTTATTGTATATTTAATTAAACAATAAAATCTGTTACCCTCGGACATGCGTTATTCTAGTGAGGGGGGGGGGAGGGAGGGGGGGGGAGGGGGGGAGAGAGAGAGATGGGTGGTTGGCAAGTCGGATGTCTCCCCTCTCCATTCCCTCCTCTCTCCCCTCCTCCCTCCCTTCTCTCAACAATAGATTTTAATTCATAAGACTTTTTATAATTTTAAATTTATTTATTTATTTACTTAATTTAATTTTTATATTCCTTTTAATTATTTAATTAAAATTTAAATTAATTTAAATAAATTTAGAAAGTAAAGGAAATTAAAAAAAAGAATTTATTAATGAATTCTTTTAAACTTGTCATGATTTATTTAAAATTCTTTGGAATTTTATTTTTATTATTTTTAATTTGTTTCGAAAATTCTGAAGGAACTAGAAAAAATAGTAAAAGTAAACAAAAAAGTCATAAAACTGTGGTAACTAGTCCCTTGCCTGACCAAAAACAAAAAAATAAGGGAGAAATTAAGGGAAATAGTAGCAACTCAAGCTATAAAGATGTAGTAATTAGTAGTCCTTCTCAAGTTTTGGAAGAAGGCGGCAGATTAGTAGAAAATTCTGAAGGAACTGGAAACGATAAAACTGGTAAAAATAAACAAAAAAGTTATAAAACTGTGTTAGATAGTCACTCAACTCCTAATGCTCCTCCTCAAGTTTCGAAAGAAGGCAGATTAGTAGAAAATTCTGATGGAGATGAACAAAGTTTAGAGCCAAAAAGTAAAAATAAGTTAAATTAATTTATATTAAAATTAATTTTTAAATTAAGAATTAGAAAATTATATGGGTTCTAATCTGAAAACTGGAAATTATTTTATCTGAAAATTATTTTATAAAATTATTTTCTTCTAAATCTAATATACATACCCAAGTTTAATTTAAAAAATAAAATAATTAAAATTATAAAAAAGAAAAATAAAATTCCATTCTTTCGTTGCCTCCATTTTTTGCCTCAACCATAAAACCTCTGGATAATATTTCCTAGAGAAATTTAATATTTTGTTTGGAAATTTTATGTAAATTAAAAAATCTATTTCAATTTTATTTTTATTAATCCTTTAAAGATGATATAAAATATAAAAAGCCATTGGAAACAGGACAACCTTCTAATCAAAATGAAGATATTAAGGATCACGGTAACCAATTTTTTGGAATTTAAAATGACGGAATAAAATCTAATACAGAAAATGAAAATTTCCAACGCACG